TCCATTTCAAAAGAGTTCCGTTTCCAAAAGTTGTGTCTCATAAGAGTTCTGTTTCAACAGAGTTCCGTTTCAAAAGAGTTCCATTTCAAAAGAGTTCCGTTTCCAAAAGTTGTGTCTCATAAGAGTTCTGTTTCAACAGAGTTCCGTTTCAAAAGAGTTCCGTTTCAAAAGAGTTCCATTTCAAAGAGTTCCGTTTCCAAAAGTTGTGTCTCATAAGAGTTCTGTTTCAACAGAGTTCCGTTTCAAAAGATGTCTGTTTCACAAGAGTTCCGTTTCAAACAAGTTCCATTTCAAAAGAGTTCCATTTCAGAAGAGTTGCATTTCACAAGAGTTCCGTTTCAAATGAGTTCCGTTTCAAAAAAGTTTTCTGTTTCAACAGAGTTCCGTTTTAATAGAGTTCCGTGTCAAAAGAGTTCCGTTGCAAAAGAGTTCAAAAGTATCCCATTTCAAAAAAGTTCGTTTTAATAGAGGTTTTCAAAAGTCTCTGCCAGATTGCAAAAGTCAATGTGAATCATCCAGTGTTTTTGCAGCTGGCAGAGGACAGCTCTTAAGGAAATTCTCAGGCAGTCAGTTCAAAGCTGATGTACATCTCCCATGATTGGTTCAATGGTGACCTCACGTCATCTGGTGCACGACAGGTATCTCTCCGATCATTTCTCGGTAGTTTCCCAAACATTTTGGTGTGACTGGTGCGGGTACACAGGTTCAAGAGTGCAGTATCATAAGTCAGTCCTTCTCAGATTGGAGTAAAAGACAGCTTTTCAAGACGTTTCTGAGGACTTTCGTGCGTCGAGCAAAATGAAAATTCAATTCTCACGGCACACTGATATTGAGAGTGGAAGTACTCCAGGTAATTATGTTGGAGGAAGTCAATTTGGTCTTGTGCAAGTCCTGCTGGTCGTGTTGTAGCTTGTGAAGTCCATGCAGTCAAAATGCAAATCCAATTGAGATGTACAGGGGAGCATCTTTGATGTGATATCTGTGTTGCTGAATGGCATCTTACAACATCCAGGCAAGACTAAGAGAGATCTGATCACCTCAGACTGTTTCATGTTGGCTTTCAGGAATCAGTGGTTGTGAGGGTCATAATAGTAAGATTTCCTGCGACTGAAACTAGGCAGCTCATCCGATCCAATGTCAGTTTGTAGTAGCTTCAGTTAACCGTGCAGCTTGCTTTTAGTGACTTCCCACAGGATTGACGAAAGTAGTGATGGCTGGAGGAGTGTCTTGATGTACACGTGTAGGCTTTGGGGGCAAACAACCATGCTGGTTTGGAAATCATTCCAATCGGAGCTGCCAGGGTGGTGCTGGGTCGAAGAATCTGTGTGTAAAAAAAAAAGGAAAGAGGATGTTTACAAAATCTGCTAGAAGACTACAACACACCTTTATGGATTCAAACAATAAGTCATTGGATGCTAAAGAGAAGTCAATTTTCAAAAACCAAATTTGAAATCTGTTTCTCAAATATCATTTGTTAAAAATTGAGGGGGCTTTGTGGCCCATAAGCAGTTAGTAGATAGTAATTTCCACATGTCAACTTTTATACTTTTACTTGAAGATTACAAAGCAATCGCAGTACTGCTTATAAATATAATCTGTACTTTAAAAACTGGTTTTATACAGTATTCACACCAATGTTCACAGAAGTAAATTGACCACAAGCACTACTAAAGTTGAGTTGCAAGCACTTACCATGCCTGTGTAGTTCCTGTTCTTGGCATGATAATCAATGACAGTTGAAGATGTTTAGGCCAGGGCGGATACCTCTGCCATCCATGCGTGGGTTCATGATGGTCTTCATGGCAATCTATAATGTAACCAAAAAATTAAAACTATAATTTGATACAAATGTTTATCAAGTTTGAAAATCAATTTTAGAAAACAATTTTTCTTGTTAATAAATAATGAAAGGTTTGCGGAAACACCATGTGCGAATAATTTCTCAACTAAGAGAAATTCTCTTAGTTGAAAAATTATTCGTACACAATGTGGTGTTTCCGCAAACCTTTCATTATTTAGTATCTCCACCATGCAAAGCCTCAAATCTTACTTAATTTTTCTTGTCTTTTCATTGTGTGGTCTGCAGAATCTCTATTAAATGCATGGTCCAACTTCAAAATTATGTGTGAAATTGTTCATGTGCTCTATTCTAACTGCAAGGGGTAACGATTTTAGCCATTTTCGTCAAATATTTTGTCAAACAGCTTACAACTCATCCGGAGCTTAAAATTATTTTCTGACAAGAACTTAAGGATATCTACTCTAGACATGATCTGCCGATAAATTGATTCACGTGGTTACATACCTGTAGGCGTACCTACAGCACTCTCACTGCAAGTCATTATTAAATAGTGCAGATGTGCAGAACGTTGCTAGCTTGCAGCTATTGCATCACATTGAAGCGGCTAGATGACAAGTTGACACAAAGTCTCACAGACCTGCAAGGGAGTCACAAAAAGAAATGGACCAAAGATTGAATAAATTAACTCATTCAGTGAAGAATTTAGAGTTTGACTTGTTAATTTGGGCAAATTAAATAATTTCGCACAAAATCAGACCATTCATAGAGAACATCTGAAGTAACATTTTAAGCAAGTAAAAGTTGCTACTTGGATTGTGTAGTGCAGAGAAATTGAAACCTTGATGTCCTGCCCAATATTCCCAATTATAAGGCCAAAAAAAATAATAATTCTGCTTCTGATTATGGCATTTGAAAATAGGGAAGGTGGGAATTTTTTTTTTTGGGGGGGGGGGGGAGTCATTTTTTTTTATGTATTATAATCATATGGACTATGGAGGTGTCTGCGTGTAGCTATGTAACAATTGATGGTTTTCAGGCCCCCCCCCCCCCCCCGGACCCCCCCCCCCCCAAAAAAAAATACGCAGTGGCTATTGTTACGGCAGCCGTAACGCATTTCCCATTTTCTATCGTTACGGTAGACTGCAACCTGGCAACTTTTATAAAAAAACATGACAAGAAAATATAAAATTAGAAGGAAAAAAGTGAATTTGAACTTTATGAAATTCGGACTTTATTTCCCTTTTAAAAAAAATCCTCCAAAGCCTCAGGTTAGAAAAGGAAAAAAATTCAAGTGCAAAACTGAGATTTGAACCCGCAACCTCGCGGTGCAAAATCCTACCCTCTATCGGCTGAGCTGGCGCACTGCTCGATAAAACGTGTGGAAACAAATAATTATATACCTGCGTGCGTATCAAAAAAATATCGTAGAGGGCGCTAAACAACGAGTGCCGTAACGATAGCCACTTCGAAAAAAATAAGGGTTGGGACTGTCAAAATAATTTTTACTCGACACACTGTAGGCCCCCTACATAAATTAAAATGCATATTTGTCGTATCAAACTGTACTTACCTTTATGAGTTTTAAGTTGAAATGTTTACTATTGAAGAATATGTCCGTTCGAGTTGAAAACACGTTGGGAAATCTCCAGTCAAATGTGCCGCTAATCATTTTTTTTTTCACAAAATGGCGTCGACGAAATTCCGGCGTGCGTTGGTTCGAGAACTTGATACGCAGAAAATCCGATAGCAGTTGATTTCATTTCTCCACTAATTGTAGACGGTCTGATTAGACTGGTTTGCGGTCCTTCCATTCGTAATCCGAGTACACATATGATAACGCCCTCTGTTGAGTTTCTTAAACTTGTTCAGTATTATTTTATTGTCTCTTTTACCTTTCAATATGCCTTAGTATTTTTACAGTTGCACTTAATTATCTTGGGTGGGATAATTGGTAAATTATTGAATTTTCTTTTAGAAGGATAACTTATCAAGTCAAAAAGTGGGTAGGCTACTTCCTTTTAGTGGGTATAGAAATTGGCAGGGTTTGGTTTGGCAAAAGTTTTGAATTTACTTATTTTATTCCACAAAAATAATTATCAAAACTAATCACACATGCAACCTGTATTTAAGTACCGAGACTTTGAGATTGGAACCAAGGAAGTTGTATTCAACTTTATTTTCTGCCTTAATTTCAAGTTCTTTGCATAGGCCTAATTATGTTAAAGGTGTAACTTAAAATTTTGAGCAATCTAATGAACTTATTTCTTTGAAAGGGTCAAGGTGTCACAGGAAACAATTTGTTTTTAAAAAAAATTCACACAGAAACTGCAAAATCCACTGATCAATTAGGATTACATGGGTTTAATCTTCATATACCACCACAGATATTATCAGAAGACAGAGATACAAAAAAAGTTGTAACAATTAAACACAATTATAAATAACTTGGGATATTTCTCTATAGGGCAACAGACTTGAACATGACTGAAATGGAATTTTCTGAGTGGGACGTTCAGGGAGATTCCCACTTTTTATAGACAAAAGTGGACAAAATTTTGAGCTACAGATCTTGAAAAAAAGCGTTTTAGGAACCGAAATGCAACTTGTAATTTTTTTAAGTTTGTTTTTCAACACATGACAAAGGGAGAACTTTACTTTAAAAAAAGTAATGGTCTCAATTGCTTTTTATACTTCAAACTGGAATATTTAGTGCATATGAGACATTATAAATGAATCCTTATTGCATTTTTGGTGACAATTTGGGCAAGTATAAATAAATAAATGACAAAGAGACAATTTTCAAAGGATTTCCTGAGCATTTGATCATCATAATACAAACAAACTGACAATTATACACAAAGCTTTTCAATAAATCTGTAACACAATCATAATTTGCTTCGAAAGCAAGTAATAAATATTATTACAACGAAAGCATTTACAATATAGCTGATATACAAATAGTGATTTTCAACTAAATGAGATAGAGTGACAAATATGGCCAACTTTTTCCAACTGCAACATGTCAAAGTTTCAAATCAAAGAAAACATTTGCCTTTAAAGGTAATATGCAATATTTGCAAAAATGAAATACCTTACTGGACTGCAAGTGAATAATAGTCTTTAGCATCCTGTGAAATCATGGCACCTGGTGTGCTGTCGTTTTCAAGAAAAGTGGAATTTTTATATCAATTTCCAATGATGGTCAGCTGACCATCGTTGGTCATAACTCAATAAATATTTACCCAATTGGAAAGCATTTTTCGTTGTTGAAAAGCTGATGACATATACTCTCTAAATGTGTATTGATATCTGCAATGTATTTTTTTAAAAGCTGTGAAAAAGAGGGGGATTTGATGGTTCAGATTTTTTTTTAGACACTCTGTATCCCCAAGAGCAATTCTTTAAATTCAATTCTTTAATGCTGTTCATAGATAAGCCAGGTAAATGTTATTTCAACGAGATACAAAGTAAAGCCCCTTTAGAGCTAAGGATGTTACACAAGGGAAGACAGTTAACTACAAAACAACACAATAAATTCAAAACTGACAGTTTTCATTGAAAAATGTGTATAAAATTCTTCAGCAAAACTTTATTAAATAAGTTTTCGAGCAATTATTTTTAAGGCACGTGACAAAAAGGACAACGATATTTTGGGACGTGCTGGGCATCACTTGTACTATACTGGACTCGGGTGGCTCTCAGAAGTTGGAGTTGCGCCTGGCCGCTTATTTACAAAGAACTGTAAAAGAACAGAGAAAAACAAAAATCAACTTTCAAATTTCTCCCAGAATTCTGGCATGTAGGCATTTATGTTTTACTAAAGATTTCTGAGCTCAGTTGGGGAATGATGCACATAATCATTCATAATCACTCATAAGAAATACAATCAGATGCATCCTTGTTTTTATGACATGCCGTTTAGTCCATGGTTTAAATCCGCACGTCATATACAGGGTGAGTAAAAAAAACCTGCAATAATGCAAAGGAGCAGTGACCGATTTACATTGTTGTCTAAGAAACGTCTAACAATTGCATAAGAGCACAAAATGTGTCCCCCAGAGCCGTTCTTTCCATGAGGTCTAGAGCTGAGACATGCATTGCTTTGCAGGGTTGCCAAGTAGATGGCAGAGCTGCAATTGTGTGAACAATGAAGGACACAGTCACTATAGTATAGCCCATAGAAACTTTGCATTAACATTAAGTTCATAGTGAAACAGAACAATAAAGCTTGAGCTAAAATTCAGTCAGTTTTAAATCTAAGGGAGCGATGGTCGTGTATCTGAAACCTGTAAACACTTTTGAATTTTTTAAAAATTCGCACAATATGTAACGGAGCAGACTAATGACCAGCCTGGCAGCTCATGCATGATGTCGATGTCGCTGTATGGTCTGATGATACCGTTTTCTCTGATTTTAGTCTTGACTATCCAAATTTCCTGAAGCATGTTCATGTCCGTCGAGATCGTAAGTGGTCTTACTGAGCTGAGGTCACCTCAAGCTCCACTCCATTTATGTGAGTTTTAAGGGGATTGAAGCATCATCTGCAACATCAGCCGATATTTGAAGAAAAAAAAGTTAGGGCAGAAAAAAAAAAAAACCTGCGTCGCCGCACCACTTTTGGGGAAAGCTCCATACCAGAAACCAGAGCCTTTTTTTGGCCTTATTGCAGTTTTTTTTTACTCACCCTGTTGTATATATATAAATACACAAACACAAGCACAGTCTATGGCATTATCTAACAATAAATCCCCTTGCAAATCAAGCAAATATGTGTGGGTACAAATTCATCGCCAATCGCGATATCGCAAGCTAGAAATTGGAAGTACTCCAAAAGGACTTTTCGGTCGTAAAAAAAAAAAATCATCGCGCATGATTAAACACAACATGTGGTTAAATTGTTCAGCACAAGGACATCACTTTTTATGAGCTGTATACATTACTGTTAATATATTGAAGCATTATCTTCTTCATATCAGTTTATTCATGAAGCGAAACAGATGTTGTTTTTTTTATAATATTCTAATACAATTCGCCGCTGTTTCTTTCTAATATGACTTTATTTACAGAGAGCATCAGTTCGTTTGTTGCTCCTTTAACATAGCCCAATCTTTGCAGAGTTGGAATTTTAGTGGTTTTCAATTCACAGGTATTTTTCAGTTTTCAGGGTACCCTCATCTTTAAAAATAACTACAAACTACACACACGTAAACATTGCGTGTACATGTAAGTGAACAATTGAAACGCATAATCATTACATAAATGCACAATCTACAACCTTGAGAATATTCAATGGCTGGTGCCTTAAGAATCTGCCATATTTGCATAATTAGAAATTCTAAATGGGGTTTGATAGGGGGGCGTTCGTGTTTTTCATGAAATGCATGACTGTATATACTGGAGACATAATGTTTATTCATTGGAAGACAGGCTTAGCAATGTAACAGCGAAATCTCGGTATCATAAATCCTTGTGCTTTGGCAAACTATAGACACACACAGTCTGATGATCTAGCGGAACGGCATCAGCATTCGCTTCCAAAGAGTCTATTGTGTTAGAAGTTATGATTCTGATTTTGATGCTTCTTGTTTGAAGACGTCAATAACGACTGAAACGAGTTTGACATCAGGCTTGAGATACACTAAACCAAACCAAACCACAGCTTTTTGGGGGAAAGACAATTAATCGCGGCTAAAGAAAGCGGAGGTAAGATTTCATCATTTCTTTGTCAAAGTCTTTTTTTTTCAGTTTTTAAGATTGAACGCTATCGGAGCCTGTGACTTCAAGAACTCACTCCGCTTAACGCATTGTGAACTGGCTCCCTGCTTTGCATTTGATAGATGCAGCTTTATTGGTAACCGGTGATATTATCAACTTTAATGTGGGCTGGTCCAGTGGTCTACAAGAATTGACCTATCGCCGTTTGCGAGTCAGCAACACCACTTAGACAACCCTATGGAACTTTTGTGCGTAAAGTTTTGTTTGCGCATTCCGCGTCCATTTGCATCTCATGTAATTGGACAATATTTCACAAGCTGCGATGACGTAATTCTACCGCGATAGGTTTATTGACTGCTTCGAGTGGTGTAGTAAAACTAGCCTCCCGAGGTGATCCATGGAGCATTCTATTTTCTTGAGGCAAAGCCGAGGGAAAATAGAATGCTCCATGGATCACCGAGGGAGGCTAGTTTTAATATAAAACTCGAAGCAGTCAATATTTGTTTTGTAACACCTCTCCCACAGATTCTGCTTGCTTTTAAAAGATAACTGATCAATGTAATCTAAATGCAATTAAAGCACATTTCTATTTCAATACGAAATTAGTTGAAAATTTACTTGAACTTTTCCAAAGCACCCCTCCACGAAAAGTTTGAACCCAGCTCTGCAGCGCTAGTACTTGGAAACAATACCTGTAACGCGCAGAGCGCAATGGGCATATCCGTATGCTTTTGCACACAATACCGGTTGCAATGCGTATAGTACCTTCGTTGCTATGCGTATTATACTTTGGTTGCTATGCGTATAGTCTTTTTGGCCATGCAAAGCAAGATAGCAAAAATAGTGAATACCATGTGACTCGCTCTCGGCTAATCAAGATACAGAATTTGTGGGTGAGGCGTTATAATACTCGAAAGGGAACTAAACTAGTCCAACCACCACTGGGTAAACTTTACTCCCTAATTTAACTAACTAAACTCTGGACATAAACCTTACTACTGCATAACAAGTCTGCAAAGACTAGAATCACGCAACCATGTTTTTTGTAAGACAAAGATATGAGATGCTTGACACTCACCTTGCTCATCATGGCAAAGGCTGGGCCGAATCTGGGCATGATCTGCATGCGATTCCTGATCCATCCCGGCAACTTGCCCTGCACCGACGGCCGGGCGTACCGCTGGTCTAGCAAGAGGATTGTGGCGTAGTCTCCCTTGTGGCGGATCGCCCTCCCTGAGATTAAGACAAGATATCCAGCAATTGATTCAGTGTTGTTGCCAAAATGTTCTTGTCTCTTTCTCCATTATGTCACAGGTCTTGTACTGTAACTCTGTCTATCTTCAGGTTGTTTTATTCTTATAATTGTGCATTCATAAATACCTAAAACAGTTTATTCATTCCTATAGGTCACGTGGCCAGTTTTTAAACGGTTGATAAAGACCGGCTGGCTGGTCTTAAACATTTTTCCAGTGTCACATGAAATTTTGACTCCTGTGAAATCCAGTGCCTTTTAGTTACCGTTTCATTGGTTGAATGTTCACAAACCAACAGAAATTCACTTTGTTCAGCCCCTTTTTTGTAGTTTAGTAACGTAACTTCCAGGCATCTTCTGTGAGAACAATCCACCTAAAGGCTTTCACTTTATAGAATAACAGCACAGAGTTGAGGAAGACACCCCTTAAATGAAACGTGAGTTATCGTGGAATCACCCAGATTTTTTTTTTTTCATTTTACTGTTGACATCAATTAACAGCAGTCATTTGCTCTAAAACAATGTTGAATTTTTTTCACAGACCCTCGGCAAATATTTGTAATTTATATGGTCAGTCTGTTTGTGTGTAATTGAGAAGGTAAATGATTTGCTCTTCGGTTGAGGAAGGGGTAGCTTACCGATGGATTGATTGACGGCTTTCATGCAGGTGTTGTCATAGTGCTGCTGCCCAGCTGACTTGCCGTCAATCGGAGGCTGAAATGGAGACAAAAGTTTTCGACGTTTAATTGTGTGAAGCAAAACTTGCAAGGCAAAGGCTACAACGGGATTTGAGCCTTTTTCAAGCCAGGGCCAGATGGAGTGTTCCATAGGCCCTAGGCACCAGTGTTCCGTAGGCACTACTCCGCCCTACGCACCGCCACCAATGTCACAGCTCTGGTAAGCGCTGGAGCCTTGCATTTCATGTTGATGCTGAGCTATGCTAAGCTGTACTAATTAAGCAAGCCAGGCCAAAGTGACAGCTATAAAAGTCTGTACAATGTATTCCATGTATTGGGTTAGCTACCAGTTATTACAGTGTATTACATGTATTGCTTCCAATTATTACAACGTATTACACGTATTGAGGTTCGCAGTCATCTATGTACTAGCTAGTTTGAAGCTTTCCCAAAATCGAAAACTCAGAGAGAGACACTAGAACGTTTCTTGTGTCTGTGTGGATTTGTGTGGGTGTTCTCTTGTATGGCATTACGATTGAGGACAGACCCACAAAAGGATAACAAAAGATCCTTTCAATTCCTCAAACGACGGTGCTTTTGTTCGAAACTGTCCTGGATCGTACGTTTCCGTGCTTAGTCTATGGGAAAGTGTTAAAGTACAGGGACAAAGGGAAACACAATAGGTTGTCCTCAGGCGTATAGTAAAACACGACTGTGTGTACATGTTTGTGTTTTGTGGCACACTGGTATTTTTGTAGGCCCTCAAATTTTTCGTATGCCCCAAATACTTAGTAGGCCCTAAGCCCAGTGCCTACTGAGCCTACTGGATAATCCAGGGCCGTTTCAGACACTTACCATAGTAGCGTTGAGGTAGTCCATCTTCTCCTTGAGTTCAGGAGACTTGATATTGGCATAGGGAAGCCCGACCATTATGACGCACCTACAAATACAATGAAAAACAAACCAACTAATTTAAAGCCATGATATTTCAAAACCAGGTTACTTGTTGAAAACACCTTAGATTTGTTTTTGTCCTTGCATAAAAATTTCATTTCTTCGTCACAAGAAACAAAACTTTCAATGCCGGTGGTTTGCGAGTCAGATAGAGTCCAACAAGTTTAACTGTCACTAAATGCCTTTCCTTCTTTTAAAACAATATTCGCCTTCAGCAGACACAACTACTTGTATTGTAGGAAGACATCCCTTAACTCTACGTATGAATTTGATGAATTCTGTAAATTACATAAAACAGCATTCCACAGGTGCTGAAAATACAGGGCAGTTTGAGCACTTTATCCCTAACGATCCGCAACCAGCCAAACTCCAACACCAGGGTTTGTTGGAATCTGTTAGGATGAGTACTGCACTAGTAAACTGACCATGCTTTGGGTGGTATTAGGCATCCCACTAATAAACAGTCCAACTGTTTTATGTGCACAGTTGACCATATGGTGTTGGGATTTGCAAGGATGAGGAAGATTCCTAGTAAATCACCCGAGGGAGTTAGAGTTTTAAGGAGTAGAAATAAACAGATCAATGCCATTTGCAGCATTCATCAGGGCTGATCTTTTTTTGGAACGTGTCCAGAAAGCTTTAGAGCATTTTTTACTTACAACCATCAATCCTAACATTGAAAACTGCCTCTGCCAATGAGCTTAATGTTGAGGTCCTAACCATGCTCACCTGCCGAGGTCATCAGAGAAGTTGATCCCCTCGCTCATCTTGGCTCCTACCACACACATCAAGATGGCTCCATTCATGGATCCAGGGATACCCCCTGAGCTGCATCTCTGATCAAGAATATTACAAAGAAACGATAGGTGTCAGATATTACGCCATTGAATTTTCTTTTACATTTTACAAGAATTTAACTCTCCTATGCAAACCATACATTCTGTACCAAGTTGTCCTTTTAGTCCAAATCAATCAGGTGACTATTTTTCAACAGTTAAGAGCTCCCAGCCTACATAAAGCAGGATTGATTGGCTTGTGCTTTGACTGCAGGTGATTGATAAGCCAGCTGTGCCCACCAGTTTCCTGCTATTATCTGTTGATTGAATTTGACTAGTCAGAGTGCTTGCTTGAAATATGATCTGACTGTTTATGACTAGCCTGTGTAAAAGGCATAGCAGGCAGAGGATGGATTTTTGACTGCCTGTGACTGTTTTAACAGTAGCAGGAAGAGTTAACGAATCTAAAGCAACTTCTTTGGGTATTGCTACAAGCATAATCTTTACATAAATGTACTTTTGAGTGTAGACCAAATAGTCAATACAGATTTCATGCCATTCTCGGGTTAGAACCTGTTGATGGCTAAATGCGATCCAGAAAATGACTATAAGCCCATTGATCAGGGGTAACGATACATTACACATAAACTGAACTTCCATCCTATTACAAAACAGTACAATTCTTATTACTATTAAATTTTATTCACCTCGATGAAGCTTGCGTACTGTCCGAGCACAAAGTCAGCCTGGCCGGCCTTGCGTGGTTCCCTGAAGACGCGCTTGCGCAATTCAATGCGCTTGATCAGACCGGTGCCTTCCCAGTGGTTATACAGACGCTTCTCGTAGTCGTAGGATGGCAGGAAGCAGACGACACCGCCAGGAACGACGTTGGAGACGTTGGCAAGAACACGCCCCACCTCATCCATCTGTGAAGAGAAATTAATTATTCTTTTGAACTACGTGAATGAAGACTGAAGAAAGGGAATGTGGTATACTTGTTTTGGTCTGTAACTCATCAATCATAAGGTCAGAGGTTCCAATCCAGCTGCTTGTCACATTGTGTCCTTGGGCAATCCACATTATCGGCATTTACTGAGGTGTAACCTTCGATGGACTGGCATCTCGACTTATTCTCAGACATTGCTTGCCAAGCTAGCTGGAGATCAAAATTAGCCAAGAGCCATATTGGCTCGCAACAGCCGTTACTTTCTGACACCCCTAAGAGGGACATGGCCACTTTTTAATGATAATAAATAATAAATTCTTAAATGAAATGTTAAAACACAGTAACATGTCCGTAATAACGGGGTTAAAACAGAATTTAACCGAAATTTAGAAAAATCTGCGTGCTCACCATTTTCGGCAGGTCACGTGACTGGTAGGTGAAATCCAGCTCGATACCGGAGGGGCCTTTGGCCAACGCTATGGGCAGCAGCTGCTCAGGTGGGATCACATGACCTGAAATGACCAATAGAAAAAAAGTTAATATACAAAAAAAACCGAAAAGGAAATCAGTACGAGTCCACAATAAAAAATAAAAATACTTCAAATTAGGTGCCACCTTCAAAATGACTATACAGGATAACCCCCATAAATCCAAAGCCTTACCACACGAGAACTCCACGATTTTGCCTTCATCGACACCCCCGCAGTACAGCAACTGCTGCTTGAACTCATCCACTGGCTGCATGGTGCCGCCAGCGACGATCACTGCCCTGGCCTTCTGCAGCACCTCGGTGAAATGCACGGCAGGGTTGAGCAAGAGGAACTTGATGCTGGACTTGCTGAGAATTTCTGTAAAGGACCGAGTAAAAGGGAAAGGCCCAAGTGCTGTAAACTGAAAATTACTGTACATGGTGTGCTTGAGAGCAATGTTGAATTCGGCTTTGGTTGAAATTTGGTTCTCAAGGGAACTTTCCTGTCCATGTAAAAATCTTACTGTATCCTGTGGCTTTGTGTCCTCTAGCAAGATAGTTTGCAGTGATTGTCCCTGTTGAATAAGGGCTTACTTTTCAGACCTTTTGATCCTCACTGAATTATTCACTAACGTACAGAAATAGAAAGACATTTCACAATTTTGAATGTCAATAATTATCAAACGAGCCTTCCTTGAAACTTTTTTTGGGGAGGGCACACCGTAGATTATATCATTCATTATGAAAAATGAGGCTTTGCCTCGCACACTTCATGGAGGAGGTGGCTTTGCTGCCTGTAGATTGCTTCGTGGGCAAGACAACTTGTGAACAACTCGTGAACACACAGACATACATACCCATGCACTTTATATTATAGCAGTGATTAAGTCAACGTTCTTATCTGGCCTACCTTGTTTATGAATGACTACACGTCCATCCTTGTCAGCATTGGTGAGCGACAGCAGAAATCCCTCAATGTGCAGGAGCGGAGACGAGAAGGTCTGCCATTCATCTTCTCTTCTCTCGTTTGTTTCTGAAACTCAAGACAAATCTCATTTTAATTCCCCAAAAACCAACATCTGTCAGTAGTCTCTCAAAGATTTGTGATTAAAAAATAGTTTCAGGTTAATCAATATTCGCAGCAACAATTTTACATTTTTTTTCTAATCTGAATATTCATCACCTGTAGAGGGCGCTGCTGGCTTGTCTTTGGGTTTCTGGCTGAGTTCTTGCAGGAATCTAGTCATGGCAGACTGTTGTGGGGTGGAGTTAGCCTCTGCTATCTTCACTGAAGGTTGGTAACGCTCAACAAAACCATTCAGCTGAAAAACAAGGGGGATATGATGTAGGTTTAAGCTGAAGTGAAGGGATTAAAACTTGGAATTAAAACAGAAGTGTCTTTGTTCTACTATGATTGAATCTTCAGTGAATGTCCCGGGCCTTCACGCGATTGAATTCCTAGTTACAGCTCTGTGCTTTGTGCACAGAAAATGGGTGATTTACTCTGTAACCAATTCTTTAGGAGTCGGAACCGAGCATAGCGGGTACCAAGTTCTTGATAAGATTGGTCTTGCGGTTCCGGTTCTCATATCGGACCGGCTAGAACCGGGTACCCGCCGGAACCACCCAATACTAATTTGAGTTGCTTTCAAAAATACAAGCTTTTTTTTACATGTACACATTTTGATCAGTCGGTTCTAAAAATGTGTTGAAAACCCTAGCCAAGGTGCCATTTTATTAGTCTGACTGAGCACAATAGTAAATATTTCGTATGAGGAACCATGAAGAATGTACAAGAGAAATTTAGAAAGCTGAAGAATCTTTGGGACTAGAAATTACTGCACAAGTTCCACAGGAATCTAATTCATTACCTTTCTGGAGATCTTGCTCACTTCACAATATCTCTGTAGCTGTGAAACAAAAAGGCAAACAGTGTTGACATGGGTATTCACAGGTAGGTTTGACAACTTAATTAACTTTGAACGGTTAATATCCTTGTGGACATCCTTCAGAAATGTTGATTTATGGCTTTGTTGTGGCTGTGCTGTTTTTATATTTTTTTTTCATCAAGAAATGTTGAATAAAACTAGCCTCTCTTGCCTTTATCCAAATAATAATAAATTAATAATAATAATAATTTTTTTTGGGGGGGGGCCTAAGGAATTGCGAAGGACACAGCTACAACGTGGTCGAGCCGAAGGGACGTCAAGGCGCCTCAGGCAGCTGCAATACGACCCATGTATAACCACGGAGCACAGCCAGAGATCAAAAGTGTTTGATTTTTGCAAAGGGAAGAAAACCGGAGGGCTAGGCAAAAACCTCTCATGGCACAGGAGAGAACCAACGCACAACTCTACTCACATATGGTCCGAGCCGGGAATCGATGCCAGGCCACAGTGAGAGGCAAGCGCACCAAGAACAATTTTTGAATAACCGATTCCCAAACTACCCGGAACAGTACAACCGAAATACTACACAGGAATTACAGATGATACCTTGAAGAGATTGATGTTGTCAATCTGTGTAGCAAACAGGAAGTCGTTGATTGTAAACAGCTTGCTGGTCTCTGGGCCTGTCTTCTGAGTGTCAGGCGGGCAGTCGGCTTTGCCTCCGAGGCACCGGATCCAGCCAGATAGAACCTGAAGGATCTGCTTGATGTACATCAGGTTCTTTGCCTTTAGACGACTCCTACGAATGTAGAATGGGAAGAATTACTTCCTGAATGTTGCTCATATAACCAATGTAGTACTCCCAAACCCTGTTTTTTTCTTATAATTTTGGTCATTTGATGGACAGAGCCCAAGTACCATTACTTAAAATTTGTGCAAGTTCCAAGATTGGACAATTGTTTAGTTGCGTACACCTGGAATTTGTTGTACAGGCCGAGTCAGAATGATCTGGACCCAAATTAAAGAAAATATTAAAAACATGTAGCAATTATCAAAACAAGTGCAAATGGGAAATGTTATAGGCTGGTGTTTTGGACATGTTTGGTGAAAGTTTCATGTATATCCATGTACCATTTTGAAGAAAAGCGCTAGCAAAGAACGCACGCTAAAAAAACTGACCACGGTTCCATGGTTCAACAAATTTATTGAAATCGCGTACTGATGTGAAGCAGTGTAATAACAAATAAAAACCTAGTCATGGTGACTGACTCACTTGAAGTTATCGACACATTTAAAAAAGGCAAAACCAATTCCGTGTGCAGACTGGAAAATGAGCCACTTCAATGAAAATGGCATACCTCCTCACCATAGCCACTTATTTGAAAAATTCAAAATTCCTATGGAAGACAAGGTAATAACCATTCATATGAAACACTCAGATTTTTTTCTCAATATACTCTAGTTGCCACCAAAAAATAACATTTTTTTTTAGGGACTCAAGCTTCAGCCACAAGAACTCATGCTGCAGCCTTCAGTTAGAAATATTTATACGTTTATAAAATATGAATGTCACCAACCTGTATTTTGTCATGTACTGACTGAGCTGTGAGTGTGCACGACAAAGCTGAAATGAAGCAAACATATGATACACAAGTTTTAAAAAAAAATTCTTCCCCTGTTTCACCAAACAGTATTATTTGCCTAAGATGGTTACCAGTAATACAACTTTTATGAGAACCAAGTAATGGTTGTTGAAGACTTAAAAATTTGAAAATATTTCCTTACCTGGCCTCCGGTTACCTCCACACTGTAAACATTGGAGATGGTTTCTATAAGATTGTGTGCTTCGTCTATGATGACAATGTTTCCGTCTAAGCGGATGCCGCAGGCCTTGCGAGTGGATGCATGGAGAAGCGTATTATACGGCAGAACAACAAGCTAGGAGAAAAAAAAGACGCAAGAGACGTGTCAGTTTCCGGCTTGTTTCCAATGGAATAATAAATTGGTTCCATGCTGGAATATTTTCGAAAATGGAATATCTTTTGTTACATGAAAATTCCTACTTTGTAAAACGAATACTTTCCATTTTCATTTATTTCTCTTGTTAGGACTAACTTTTTCTTTGCAATGTCTCTCATTTGATTTGTACACAAGTTCCACCTGAGGACAAGTTGCCAAGGGAGGACCTTTTGCCCTGTTCTACAAACTGTTTGTTCAGTGTCCTTAATCATAACCCAACTGCATGTTTTGTTGGAAACTGTTGGAGTGGGTACTGCACTAGTAAACCGATTATGCTTTACATGGGGTTAACAGGCATACCACCATAATCAGAGTCCACAGTTTGGGTGTTGAGTTTACCATATGGTGTTGGATTTTGCAAGAGTGAGGAAGGTTCCTAGTAAATCACTAATAAGGGGTTAAGGTTTGACAGCACAACACAAACATGCACAAATGGTCAAGAAATACCTTGAAAGCAAAACAGACAAAGTATCAAAAACTGACCAACCTCGGCCCCTGGGACGGCGTACCGCGTGCCGTAGTACGGGCAAGCCTTCAGCTCTCTCCCGACGGTCAGTAGCTGCTCTACATCGAGCACTTCCACCACCGCCCTGTCCTTGAAGGCGTCCATCTGATTTGCCGCGTAGAATGGGCAGCCTGAGGTGGCGCCCTTCTTTCTCTTGGACTTGCCCAGGTCAACATCTTTGTCTCTACTTTTCTCTGGTGGAATGAGATTCACAATACAGTTTTTAAAAAGCGTTATTAGAAGATCGATGTAAAGGAGCGTCTTTAAACTCTGAATAAACCTCTTTATTTTGGAGTGCTTTAGCATTGTATTTTGCCTGGGAACATTTGTCAGCAATTAAAGGAAGAGTAGATCATTTGCAGCTATCCAAAAAGAAATTGACGAAATTATTGTTGAAAAGCTTACTTAGTTTAAAGATAGTAATGGCACTAAACTCCCTGTGAAATTATTCTTTCTGGCATGCTGTCATTTTGAAGAAAATAAAAGAAGGTAATTTCCAAAGATGTGGGAAAAGTCACTAACTAAAAGTGGGAAAAGTCACTAACTACAATAAATGTAATCACCTTTCTTCTTCTTTTGCATTTCTAAGCATCGATCGTTGATCAGACTCAATGACTTTAGTTTCTTCACAGCTTCGTTGATGCACAAGTTCTGTATGAGAAAAACATGTAAATGTTATTTTCCAAATAATCACAGTTCGATGTCAAAAAATCAATGATATCATTTCAACAGTTTTCTATTTACTAACCTGTCTAGATCCTAGAGTCACCACTTTGGTTGTTTCGCCGTAAGGGCTCTTCTGAACCTCATGCACAAACTGACTCAGCTGGGAATGGGTACGGCTGCAGTAGAATATCTACAAAGAAATGAATAACAGAGAGAGAATAACATGCAAATGATGTATGTCCATGAGCAAGCCACTTCGCTGTAATTGCTGACCTTCAACCTTGAATAAAGGGTTTTGTTTGAGAGTGGTCAGATTTTTTGTATGTTTCATTAAGGTGTGATTTTGGAGCAAGTCTACACTCGATTTCAAGAAACTCATAGTAACATCCCAGAGCAGGACGCGTCGTATCCCAACGATGCATCACAGCTGCGACGCGTTCCTGCAGGGAATGTTTTTTTGTCCTTGAGCAAGACACTTTGCTACGATTGTCCAAACACATCAAATGTATCCCATTCAGATATAGTCAGTCCCTATGACCTACGACACAAGATCAACTTTATTTACATATTTCATATTACATATTACGGTCAATATAAAGTTGCCCATTTCAAAATAAAGTTTCGTAATACTGATGTTAAATTCAACAATTCTCAACAGTTTCTCTACACCCTCACAGTTTCTTGTTACCTTGGTAACGTGAGGCTCTCCCTCTTCCTCCTCATCCGAGTCGCCTGACAATCTCGTCTCCTCGTCGCTATGGTAATCGGCCACAAGGATGCTCTCCTCGTCAGAGTCTGGTGGTTTGAGGATGTTTTCGTTCTCGTCTGAGGGACAGGGCGGGTCAAAATCATCTGTTGGAGCAAGTCGCTAATGAAAATAGAAACAAATGTCACAAAATAAGATATTTAAACTTTTTCAATAATTACCATAGACTCGTTGCGAACTTAAGAAAGTGAATGGCAATTTTATCCTCCAAATCTTAACGAAACTATGTAACCAATTAGAAAGATAACACCAGGAAAGGAGGATACCTTGCGTTTGACCATGCCCTTGTGTTTCAGGTCTTGTCTCATCTGCTGTAGCTTAGACTCTCTCTTCAACAACTGCTGCTGTTCCTCCTACAAATAAAAAAATTATAACAATGTTTGGCATTCCAGTATCCATATATCTAGCTATACTTAGCTACAATTATACCAGGCCTGCCAATTTTGAGTAAGAGCTGATAGTGAGAATTTGGCGATGGAGCTTGTTCATAACTAATGCGAGCGCAAAGCGCAAAGCCCTAATGGCATAGGGTTCGGGGCCCGCTGAAGGGCCCCGAAATTTTTTGGATTCTAGATGCTCTGTGGTATGTGATCTGTTTAACCAATTTTTTGGAACAAAAGATCATCATTTAAACATCATTTTCGAGGGTGTTTTTAGCGTTTTCAAAAAAACCTAGAAACTGTACTTACCCTAAGCAAGTTAGCCTTTTCCATCTGAGCCCGTTTGTTGTCAAACTCCAGTACCCAGTCGGGCTCGGTGCTAGATGATGGCTTGGGTGCATCGCTCTTGCCCGAGCTGGAATTTCTGTGTCGGAAATGAAGCACCTATGATTAATTTTCCATATGGGTTATGCGTTCTGGCAACCGCGAGTCACAACCATAAGTTACATTGCAAAACAAGGTTTTTCTGTGGGATTTTGTCACAAAAGTACGGTACACAAGCACAGCATAATGTCATGACAAATACCGCAAATATGGGCAGAAACCCACAGCCATGGATTTAAAAACAGAAGATTCTTTATTGTGAGTCGCATTATAATTCTAAGCAATGCTTTGCTCCCCAAAACCCTTCTGAATAATAAATGCAAGTCCAGCAATTTAATTAATTAGGTCTCTCTCAAATGACGTCATTTCCTACAGACCAGCCACGTGCATCAGCATTTTGAGCATCAACTTGCAGAACGCGCATCGGCTGCGTCGTACTTGGAACACATTTCAATCAACAAGAGCGCGTGTTTGGAACATTTTCAACACTGCACAATGCATGCTTGACTGCGTAAAATACGCAGTTGCAAATCTCCTACAGAGATGGCCGTCTTAATTGAGAGAGACCTAGTGTCGGTTGCACCTACCCTGTTGTTTCTGTTTCCCCTTTAAGTATAGCCTCCACTTCCAGCCGCTGTTTGTCTTGGTGGTCATTCAGCCACTTCAGAGCACCACAAATTAGGCTGAGGGACTTGCCCTGATGATGGACAAAATACAAAGCAACATTGAAAAAAGGCTACATGTTACGCAGAAGAAGTTTTATAATAACTAGCATTGGAAGCAAAACAAGGAGATTTTGACAAATCGGGAAATGACTGTTTAGTTCATGGAGCATCAACGTATTGATACAAAGGTCCAAGCTAATTTGAGTCCCATTCCTGTAAATTCCTCCTTTCAACAAAACCTTGATTGAATTTGCACGTAAGTTCTGTTTGAAACAGAACTTACATGCTCTCAATTCCCCGTTGTTGTTTCTTTCATAAAATAGCATTGTAAATATAGTAGAGTCCCCTAACGTGGCACACTTCAACGTTTCCCTTGACTTTCCTCATGCAGTGTTGCCAAACCTCATTGTTGACAAACTTCAAATTCATTCAGTTAAATACTGGTACTTTTATGTTAATAATGCGTGCTGTTGAACCTTCATGAACAATTTCAGTGTCATGAAAGTTGGTCCCAAATTCAAAAAACTGTGGCGTCCGCAAATTCGGAACAAAATCGGCCGAGTGTTTCCTAACGTGGCGCACTTGAACATCCCTTGTTAACATTTAAGAATTTCTTTTAAGTTGACAAATTCTGATAAACCATTATTATCTCCACTCACATACCCAACTGGAAGTTTGTCAGAAAATTGTTTTCTTATTTTTGGGCACATATTTAATGGGGGTCATTGTGCACTTCAAAATAAAATCGGAAAATCACTCCAAAATAAACTTCTCTGTTAACTTTGTAACGGGTGGGCAAACTCAAGATTTATAAACGGGAATGTTTAGAGCTTGATGAAATTTCACTTACTGTGAAATTTGAGGTAAAACCTTTGCTCTAGCAAGGCACTAGACTACAAAGGTGAAAAATCAAAGTGCGCCACGTTAGGGGCCGCATCACGTTAGGAGACATCAACAATACCAAACAGTGAATATTGGAAAAGGGTGTCCTATATAATTTCCACGGTCAGAAATTATCAATTCAGAAATGTGCAAGAATTTGGTCCGTGTTACATGTCAAGAAACTTACAGTTCCAGTTGGGCTTTCAAATATCCCAATCTTGCCTTCCTCGATGGTTGAATACAGTCCCTTCATGAAGTCCTCTTGTATGGGGTAAGGGGTGAACGGAAACGGGAAGCTCTGTTGTGGTTTGGCGTCGTAGCCGACATCCATGTCATCGCAGCACGAAGACATGGACACATCGGGGTTCGCGTTTACAGGTGTACTGCGTGGTTCAGTGGTTGCCATGGTGTCATATAAGTTTGTAGCCTGCGTGTAAAAAGCAAAATCAAAATTATGAATTTATAGTCGGAAGCTACTTTGTCAATCATTTGTACAAAATCTATTGGAGTTTTGAAAATATTTTCTGAAACTTTTCTACTACTAGAAATCTGGCGCGTTTTTTTTGTGGGAGGGGTGGGTTAACATTTTGACGTACTGTTCACGCATGACTACTACTCATTGCATAGTCAAGACATGAAGCTTTTGGAAGAATAATGAAAAAAATTGTCAACATTGATGGACAATTGATTGATGGATCATAAATCAACAAGTTGTAAGGCGCGATTGGACAATCTGCAAGATTGGTCGATCTACAAGATCAGTCAATCGCGCTGCACCATCAATATCGGTCGATCATGACGCTATCGGTCGATAGCGCTGCCACCAGTCGAACACCTGTTCTTTCTAATTCACGGCTCTGGGGGATTTTTTTTTTACGATAGGCCTTAGTTAGTCCCACTGACTGGGGCGCTAGACATGCTAGAACTCCTTTTTTGACATTTGGGATGTTGGTCTGTCATGGTCTGTCGCGCACGACAGACCAACATCCCAAATGTCAAAAAAGGAGTTCTAGCGCCCCAGTTAGTGGGACTTCCAACATCCCAAATGTAGCTTGAATAATTCCAGCTCCAATGCAATGCTCATCTGGAATTCGGCATGAGCGATGGAGTTGGAGTTACTCAAGACAAGGTCAAGGTGGGATAGATGATCGAGTGGCGGGGTAAAATGCAGCACAGTCACTGACAGTGCACATCTTGCATCTTGAAAGTTGAATCGGTTATAAATCCAGCAGAACGCCCTTGAAAAAGGCAAAGCGTAAGTAACTAAGTTTGTTAAAACCAACTAAAAACAGGAAATTACTTTTTAACTGATCTTTCATACATGATACATGTCAAAGGTACGTACACATCATGTTGGAAGGAAAATGAACCCAAATGATAAATGTACATGTACACTGCTGTCATGACTGTACACACACAACACTGGCGCACGAAAAGCGCGCGCCTTAAATAGTACATGTCAAGCGGCGTCTAGACACGATTCTACGATTTTTAGAAGGTTAGAAATAACATTATTTTGCATTAATAATACAGATTATGCGTCATTTTTTTTACTGCAAACATTATTATTGTAGATAAATAATATATTTTTGCAATGCAAAGTAATATTCTCGAGATTGATGATCGTTTGAGCTTTGGTTTTATATACAATTTACTCCTTTTTATTACACTTTTACCTATAGTTAAAGTGGTATCGTCTCAACAAGTCAAAGGTCATGCCCAGTCTGGAAAATAGAGCATGGTGCCAAGTCGTAAATTTGAGTGTGTTCCAGTAGCAGTGGGTCTATGTACCATACCGTACCGTACTTGGCCTGGTTGAGAACACATTAAATAAGACATGATAGGATCTTTGTTTAATGTTAGGTTGATCGAAGAGTTGCCGGGTTCTGTCATTTTCAGTGAACCATGGATTGCTATCGTTTATCTTCTGCGATGATATTCCTGTTTTTTGCTGCTGTGTTTGCGTGGATCGTGATGTCTTTTCTCAACAGACAGATATTCGGAGTTCTCAACGATCTCATGTAAATAAATGACAACCACCCCGGCACCTGCCACTGCAACAGACATTGCCACTGCCAGATCGCTGATTGTCAATGACTCGATCACTGAATCAGTTAACGCGATCAATGCCATTCCTTCGCCTCTTTGTGCGTGTGGCCCTACATGTCTCCATTAATCGTGTTCATGTTCAATTTCAATTGTCACTTCGGCCTATTGCCCCGGCACAATTGCAGAATACCCCGCCACTCAATCTATCCACCTCGTAGCCGGCTACAGAGTCACGGTTGATTGCCTAGTCAATAAACCTTCTCAGCGCTACTTTATGTACTATGCGTCATGCTCCACTGCACTCCCACTCCGTATCCGCGAAGCCGCCAACAGGGTGGTTGGTTTGGACTTAACATTTTTCAGCAACTCCCAATCCTTTTGTGTTGCTGATTCCAACCTTGTAGCCAGAGATTTTAGGGGCATATTTCCGAGTTGCGGGGTATTCTGCAATTACTCCGTAACGTCAATAGTAAAAGCCAGTTCACGTATTATTCTAGCTGTGCGAATACTGACATTGTATACTTTTTGTAATTTTAAATAATATTTAGGCCTATTCAGATTTTACTTAAGGATATTTTCCCGTTTTTTTGTACATTATTTATAATATTGTGAAAATATAGATTTTCAAAAGAAGGCAACTTCACACTTGTATATAAAAGAAACATTTTGTGCAGGTCTGTGCATTCCTTTCTTCTTATTTCATTTATTCTATTATAATTTCAATTTGCTACGTTATCTGCAGCAGAAACTGTACTGAGTGTCGCTCAGTGTTGCAAGCAGGCTTAAAAATTGGCAAAACATTAAATTGTGGGGTGAATGTGTTGAGATTAAAACGTGTGTTTGGTCAGGCCTGAATACATGTTCCAGATCCGCAGAATATATCTCATTTTATAGGCAAAATAAACTCAAGCCAAGGATATTGAGATATATGTACAGACTAGCCCTAATGACACTCAGCAGAGCTTTCTTTCTCTGAGTGTCAACACATTATTAACTTTGTCTTCTTTTTCATTTCAAGGGACAAGACTGATTTTTAGAATGGATCAACAAGGAGTTCAAACAAATGATGTAGATATGGAATCCTGTTCAGCCAGCTCAGACGGCCTGCCACAGCCCACGGAGAGGGTGGATACTTGTCTGCAAGCGCTGGAGAGGGCCAGCTCCGACACGGAGGTCTTCGCTGCTCTGCTGCTGGTGAGATGCTAGGATCCCTGTACATAGGTTGAGGGGAAGCTGTTCCAAATCCAGGGAGACCAACAATTAGGTTCCTTTTCCCTTACTGTGCCCACCTCAGTTTTAACCAGTCGAAGGATCAGACATTTACGGGTGCAAAGCCACACCATGAACGTCTGATACTAACATGCAAATTGTATGCGACCCAGCGCGCCAGTTAATCAGAGTCCACTTTAGAAACTGTGACAGCGTTTCGATCTGAAATGTGGACTTAGCTGTTGGTTGGGTTACGAAACGGGTTACGGAAGACCTGAGAGAAGGCGCCCGCTGAATGGTCAGAATCTGGATGTCAAGATGCAGTCTTGTTTTGCATAATTGATCGCCGAATCAGCGCGAATATTCATAGACGCTTGTGTGCAAGCAGCTATTCCATTGACTAAGTTTTGGCAGGACATGCATTGAAATTTCTATTCAAAGCATTTTTTGTTGCAAAAGTACTGCCTTTTTTCTTGTAAGTTGATCTTTTTTTATGATCCAAATGATTAACACAAAGCACTAAATGGCAAATACTACTGTGGACTGCTGTGGCCTCGTGGTCTGGAGCATTGAATTCGTGGTCTGCGGGTAAAGCTGCAGGTTGTGGGTTCGAGTCCAGCCTGGGGCTATGGTGCCCGTGCCCTTGGGCAAGGCACTTTGTCACTCATTGCTTCTCCCCACCCAGGAGTAGATGGGTACCTGTTAGGGCAGAGATGGTTATTGTGGTTGATTTTAGCTGCTTTGTGCCGAAATGGCAGCATCGAGCTGAGATGGTATTTGGAATGTTTCATTGGCCCAATGACCAGGGTAATAATGATGTAGCGCCTTGAGCACCAAAACTGGTGGATACGTGCTCTTTATAAATACACACATTATAAATACACACTACTAAACCTGAGTAAAAGTAGAATACATGTATATTCCATTTTGTGGGATCCTATGGAAACCCATAGTTAACGCACCGACCTTTTGCAATAATATATATTGAACTCTCACTGCAATTTACAGGTTTTAAATCACTGTATTTCATTCATGTTATTTATTTTCATTGATTCAAAAGGTGGCAAAAATTGTACAGGCAGAGAATACAGACGCTGCAACCAGAAAGCGAATCTTCGATGCCGTGGGATTTAGGTTTATCAACAGGCTACTCAAAGCAGGTAGACCCTTTTTTCTGACTCCAATTTCAATTTCAGCAGGCCTGTCTTTTTTGTTCTCTACATGGTTCATGGTCTTAAACCACACTTTCTTTTAATTTGTCCCCCCAGCTGCAAAACCAGATAAAAAGGAGAGTAGCACGTACCGCAGCCTGGCCGTGACGCTGCTTGGCTGCTTCAGTACATCACCAGAGTTAGTCAGTCATCCCCAGATGGTCAACAAAGTACCAGTTTTGATTGAAGTGATTCAGGAAGCTAGGTGAGTTGACAATGAGAGTGCAGAGCAACCCTATTTGACAAAATAAATAAATAAATATTATTAGCACGTTCATTTATCATTTTAAGTTTTGTTGAGGTAAAAAAAAAATTGCACCAGAAAAACTTTTAAGCTTTGTGGACAATGGAATTTTTCAGACATTCCTTAAAGGAATGAGCCCTTTCAAGGTCATTGATTGACCTCATCAAAGCATTTTTTGTTGTTGGTTATTTGAGTTGATTTGAGTGATTTGAAATTAACGGGTGCATTTTTGTACAGCTGTTAATACGCTTTTACTGATCAAAATGTAATTACAGAATATTTTGATTTGACTTTTTGATCAGGACATCGGTTGAGGACAACGAGAAACAGACAATCGACGATGCCTATCAGATACTGGTTACCATGGCGATGGAGGAATCTCCAAGGAAGGTTCTGTGCTCGCCGGAGGTCATCTCTGCATTGTGCGGGATGATGCAGGGCTCATTCTATGGTATGTCCACTATCATTCTTATCAATTTTTTCTGCCTACCATAGTTTTAGAACATGTACCAACTTTAAACATGGAGTATTTAATTAGAAAGAGAACTTGTGAAATGGTCAATATTTCTCAATCAAATAAGCCTATAAAATATTCCCAAGTCATTAGGACTAAGTTAGATTCGAATATTTTTTCTTATTGTTATTATTTTTTTTAAGTTGATCAAGATAAAAAAAAATTGGTATTTGGTCTTTAATTGAGCAATTTTTCAACTTCCGCAAGTAAGGGAAAAAAAGTGAATGAATTTTGAATATTGCGAAAATATTTTTTTTTTATGATTTTGTATTTCTGTTTCATTAGGTTGTGATAGAGCTGAGCAAGTTTTGTTGTTATTACTCCACCACTGCGGCCAGCATGTCTGGAGACTCAATAAGCCACACATGGATGCGTTACTCTACAAGCTGGCTAGCAAGTTCAAAGAATGCCAGGTGGGTAAACAAGTCTTTGTGGTCAAGACACAGACTATAATCTGGTGACCACAAGTTGAAGCCAGTTAAAAAAATTCATAAGCACAAGTACAAGATGAAAACTTACAAGCATCTGCAAATTGTGAGAAATTGGCACACTCGGATCACAGCAGAATTGTCCATTAGACCAACATTGTTAACCTTTCAGTGATATTTTAATAATTTGACTAAAATATCTGTATTTGTTCTACAGGATGAGGCAAAGTTCCAAGTGTGTGAGACTCTGTCACGGCTGCTGTCTGCCTACCCTTCAGTAAGTCTCGAATATCGAAAAGCTTTGTCAAAAAGTTTACGCCATTATTCTGTTATGCTCTTGTCAGTTGCACAGCTGTTTCGCAAGTTGCCTCACCCCCAAATACTGGTACCCTGTTTTCACTGCAGGTCCCTATGGAGCAGTCAGAATGGAGCCCACTCGTATTCCGAGGAGTCAGCGATATTCTCATGAGCAAAGTTTGTAAGTAGTTGTCGATCAGTTCTGCGCATTAGCCGAGCAACGGAATGAGCCATTTGAAGGTTAAAGTTAATTTGTGAAATGTGATTCAAGGATGAACAGGGCGTGAGAAGAGGAGTAATTTGATACTTTTATATTTCCACAGCTGAGAAGCAACGAGACCCAGCCCTGTGCCTGGCGTCTCTCATGGTCAGCCACTACGGCATGAGCTGGGCTCTCGGACCCAATCGCCTGGACAAGAAATTCCTTCTCTTGCTCATCCACCTGGCTTGCGTGGAAACTAGAATGGCACTGGAAAGCCCTGACCACCAATATGTGAGTTTTGTTGAGTTATTTCTTAAGGGGCCCCTGAAATGTAATTTTTTTAAGCTATCCTTGAAATGCATCTTTGTGTCCAATTTAAGTTTATTTTCAAGTTGCATCCGTCCATTTTTAAGGGGAGTTTGGTGCCTTTTTGGTTTTTATGCTAATGTAAATTTCCATATTTATGACAAAAGTGTGATGTCATTTCAGGCAGAAACCTCAATGTTACGGCTATTTCAGTGCCAAACTTTGCCAGAATTTTGGATATTTTGCTGTCTTAAATGTTCTTTTCTCTGGTAATTTGGTGTGTCAGTACATTACAGTAAGCCAATGAGCAAAATGATGATTATCAGCATTCCAGACTCCAACCAGTCTTAAACATAGTGTTTAAAACCTCCAAAGCACACCTTTATTCCCTTATTTAAATATGTTAATTCTTCTACTCGCCTCCCAGAGAACTTCCAAGGAGTCGGTCCTCGTCTCCTGCTTCAGTCTTTTGGAGCAGTGTATCGAGTACCTGACATGTGGTCCACCCTTAGCCCTGGATGACAGACAGGTGGTTCAGCTCCACACGGCCATGACAGGTGCATTCGGTGCCGTCATGTTCTATCTGCAAGGAGCTCAGTATCAAGAGTCCTGGGTGAGTAGGCAGGCTGGTTCAGAGTGATTTAGAATAATTGTAATATCTGACTCATACGCATTGGTATGTAAGAACTCCAACTGAGTTTCATTGTGCTTGTGTTCTTGGGCAAGACGCTTTACCACAATTGCCTCTCTCGATCCAGGAGTGTAAATAGTGACACACCATGATGTGATGTGAAGTGTATTGGTTTAGAGTGATTTAGAATGATTGTAATATCTGACTCATGCGCAGTGGTATGTAAGACCTGAGTTTCATTCAGCTTGTGTTCTTGGGCAAGACACTTTACCACAACTGCCTCTCTCGGTCCAGGAGTGTAAATGGGTACCTGTAAGGGAAGAGACCAGATATTGCTGCAGAGAACAGATAGCATTTTTCTTTTAAATTCTCACTGTTGACTTCATTTGGAGGGTCAATAATTCTCTGATATGTTTTTCTTCTTATCAGCCTGATCAGCCGTTAGTCGTAGCGGCCGTCAGAGTCCTATGCGTGTGGTTGGCTGAAGAGACCACAGCGCTCAAGGAGCAGGTCTATCAGCTCTTACCGTTCCTCATCAAAGTTGTGTAAGTTGAAGATGCTGGATACTTTTGCAAGACACAATTCTTTATGTTTGAGGTAACATCATGACACAAATAAGCAAGGACAAATCAGCATGACCTCTTAAAGGAGATGGGATGGTCTCTGGAATGTCGTAGGGACATGAGAAGGGGGAATAACGACGTAAAGTCCTGAGCACCATGTTGGTGGATATGTGCATTTTGTGATCTGATATCTTTTAATTATCCCACGTTGTTCTTCCTTTTTTTTTTTTAAATAGTGACAAATCCTTCAAGGAGGTGACAAACTCTAGAAGCCATGCCAACGCTGCGGCCGCCGCCTCTACCCCGCAGCAGAGCCTGAGGAGTTTTGCTTCCACGGACCTCCTGCGTCTTCTGTTGCCCGCGCTGTGTCACCTCACGGCCGAGGACGAGCCGAGAGCCAGGCTCGTGGAGGAAGGAGGGATCGAGCTGCTTGGGGAATGCTTCAGCTATCACTGGAAGAGATTCGTGGATGGCGACGAGGATGGAGATTCAGAGGTGAGTCTGTTTGTTTGTCGATGGTTGGTTGGTTGGTTGGCTGGGCGATCGATTGGTTGGTTTATCGGTTGTTGGTTTGTGAGTTCGGGGGTGAGGGAGGGGGGGGGGTTGAAGAGCTTCTTAAGGAGTGCTTCATTCACCACTGTAAGCTATTTGTGGATGGAGACGAGGATTGAGACTTAAGAGGTGAATTCTGTTTGTTGTGTTTGTTGGTTTGTCGGTTGGTTGAATTTTTGCAAGAAAAGCTTCCTGGGAAAACATGTAGTATCCATATGCCACTTCTTTGGTTGTGTACAAAGTCTATGGAGACTTGAGTGCATTTTCAAAGTATTTTCTAACAAAATTGGAAATGTTTCTCAGTTCCAGATTCATGTCTTTTGAACATTTTTGCAATCCCTTCATGGAGATAATATATGATGACAAAAAAGTGGCATCAGGATCCAACATATTCTCCGTTACCTGCTTTGAAACTACCACTAAGTACACACTAAGTACACACTAAGTTTCGTATTTTGTGAAATAACATTTTAAAGTTTTATCCTTCTCTTACCTTATATGCAGATTGCCTTGACAACGCTGTGCAGTGTCTTCCTGAACGTGACCTTACAGGATGCAGAGGCTGTCCAGAGTCACTCCACAGTCTTCAAGGAGTTACTGTGTCTTCTGGCTGCTGCCTTAGCACACACAGGTACAATAAGGCATACTCCATGAAAAGTATACAAATATTGAGTGGCTCAGAGTGAAATGGGAGGAATATTATCGCAAGGTAAAGTTTGGACTTCTCCATTTCACAAGGCGAAGCCGAGTGAACTGGAAAAGTCCAGATTTTACCGAGCAATAATATTCCTCCCATCTCACAATTTAAAGCCACCCAATTTTTGTTTTATATAACTGACATATAGATCCTTGTCATTTGATATATTTGAACTTTTATTTCAATACAAAATCGGTGGAAAATGTATTTCTCTCTTCCAAATCACCCTTTCACGGAAATGTTTGAACCCAACTCTGTAGCGCTGGCTTTTTGGAACAATACGCGCTGCGCGCAACGCTGAACGTGCACACCAGCATGCATTTGCACACAAATACCGTGTCAATGGAAGCCCAGCGTGAATGGGAGCAATAATGAAAGTCATGTGATGTGAGTTCCACCAATCAAATGACAAGGATCTGTATGTCAGTTATATAATGATGCTTAACAATCACACATTTACTTCTCCGGGGCAGTAGTATGCATAGACTATATGGGTTGCATGAACTAGTGCAAACTGGTGATTTGTATCAGTCGGTAAATTATTCTTTTGATTTTTTTCAGTGACTAATACAGAGCATCTCATTCTGTCGTTCAACTTTGCGGTTCTTGGGTTGACCCTCCTCAGAACGTTGGCACACCATGCAGGTATGTATGGGACTAAACTCGATTTGACAGGATTTAATCTTCGATTAAGCACTTTTAGAATGCCTTTAGTTTGTCTTGGGTTATATTGTCACATGATACTGGATGGACGTCGTGATTGGCTCCTGTTCATGAATGGCGATTGGAACAATACCTGATAATATTGTCTGCATCGTTTGAGCACATTAGGGGACCAGCCAACATACATATGCTTTATATTATGAAAGTGGGTCACTGGTACTTGGCTCGGATTTATTTTCTGTAACGCTGTACGAAAATGCATTCAGCATCTATGTACATGCTTTATAGGTGCCAATGTTTGCATTATTTTTTTCCATAGATACTCAAAATTTATCGGCCATCAAGAAATTTGTGGGCCGAACGCTGGACCTGTTCAGGGCCTCCTTCCGGGTTGCCAGTGATAATGTACACGAAGTATGTGAGGCATACCAGCCATATTGGGCTGACGTGAATGAACTGTGGCTTCTTGGCATACAAGGTTAGTCAAGAACATAAACAGAATCATGAACATGTTTCATGTTAGACGTTGTTAAGAGATTTAAGGGCAACCTCGTTCCCTATGGGTACGATCTTGCTGCGCCATGTTAGTTCCAATCATGCCTTGCGCGATCTTAACCCTGGAATGTATCACAGAGCGTTAAATTGACCCAATATTGTGAAAAATTATTTGAAGAAAAATTTGATTTTTTTTTTACAGTGCTTTCAGAGTGTCTGATGTGCATACCCTGGCTTCCATCCATGTGTTTGCAGAGTGGCTATCTCCAGCACATCATTGGGCTGCTCAAGATTGTTGTTGGTAAGGCAGCCAGGCTACGGCAAATGCAAAACTGTAGGGCAATAGAGTGCACAAAATTACCTAGAATATACGGCCAGTCCCATGCTTTTGTGTTTTGAGGTGCGATTTTTTGCTCAAGTCCAAAGATTAGTTGGAAAAAACAAGTTCATTATCTCATGAACATGAGATACACAACATGAAAGGCAGTGTACAGACTGCGTTCGGTGAAAAGAGCTCAATATTATACGAATAATGAATGTTTGTGAGTGCAGTGGTAAGAATAATTTCATGAGGTGAAAGATGGAATTTTCTTTGCCGAGTGGAATGGAACATTCCATCTGTCACACGATGAAATTATTCTTTCCATTGCACGAATGTGAAACATTCATTATTTGTTTTATACAACACCTGAATAAATCCTCGTCATCTGATTGGTCAGGGCTGCCAAAAGTGTTGTGCGGCCGTGCCGTGCATTGGGAAGAATCATTCAATGGCACGTGATCAACGAACCACCAATCAGATGACGCCTTGATGGGGATTTATTCAGGCGTTGTATAAAAGAGTTCAATGCTTTTTTACCTTCAAGACAAGACAAACTTCACAGTATTTAATAAGATGAAACCTTTTGAGGGCTTGTATTGTTAAAATTATTGTTGTAATAGTGTATGAATTCCATAAACAACTTACTTGTGTCCCCCATCTTGTATTTCAGCTGGAACGGTTGAGGAGGAGACTATCATTGTGTATAGCGCCCTCTTGGGGTCAGTCGCAAAGACCGAAGTAGGAGCCCAGTTGAAGCAGATGGGAGCCCTGGACATTGCAAGGTAATACAGTATCCACAAAATAAAACCCAGATATAAATGTAAATTTTAAAGAATCTAATAAATATTTTCAAATAAAATAAAGATCATATGAAACACCAATGTGTCCTCTTTCCAATGGTTTACTTGCAGTATTTTATCTTTTGTCTTGCATCAGGAAATATAAGATGGAGGAGCTTTCCATGAGCCTGCAGATGGACTCGAGGTGATTGAACGAACCCCAGCAAGATAGCTACTGCTCTGGGTCGGGGTACCAGACGGGGCTTGGTCACCATGGCAACAGATGTCGGAACTTTCAGTCGTAATATTAGTAGCCAATCCGTTGACATGTGGACTCTTTAGTACGTTAGTATGGATAACCGTGGAGATTACATGAGTGTATCTACATCAGCATGTGCTATTTGCAACGTTGGAAAGCTCAGAGCGCAAGAGCATGCCGTGTCGACACATCTATATAGTGAGAATCTTCTATTGGGTTTGCGCACTACCCTTTGGTGGCAGCATAATCAACATTCCAGCGATGCAGTGGGCAGCTTCTTGTGATTATGTTGTGCGTGTGGATCATCTGTGGATATTTTAGACTGCCGTTGAAACCATGCAAAGTCTGTATATGTAAAGAGTAGAAGAAAAAAACTTATACAAGAGTGCGTAATTTGATGGAATTCAAACGTGGAATACATCTCTGTCTTGCCCCACGTAAGACTGAGATGTCTTACTCTGCAGTAGTTACAAAACTTTCATCCAATTTACGGAAAGAATGTTGCATCCTGACGCCACTTTTTTATCATTATGTTATCTCAATGAAGGTCAGTCATTGCAAAAATGTTGAAAAAACATGAATTTGGAACTGAGAAACATTTCCAATTTTGTTAGAAAATACTTTGATGCGTAGACTTTGTACAGAGCTAAAGAAGTGGCGTCTGAATACGACACTTTTTTTCAATTTACAACTTATGGGTTTTTGACAAATTATGGCCAATATTATACACATAGTGTGGTCAAATTTGTTTATGTTGTATCAAAATATTGTTTGATATTAGTTTTACCTATTTACTCACATTTGGTTGCGTTGTGGAAATTTAACCTTTGGTTTGAATGCTTACAGTTATTAACTATGTTGGGAAAACTGTTAAACTATCGAGTTATACTGAATCAATGGGACTTTAACATTATGAAATTATGCATGAGGGTTCATCAAGCGGTTAGCATTCAAAATGTGTACATATAATCAATTCAATAAGATGTAAACTATTGTGAATTTGTTAGACTGAAACAGTGGATATGTTAGCGTGTGATACGTTCAAAGAATGAACATGCTGTTAGATGTATGTAAAGTGTGCTATGTCATTCGTTGTGTGGGTACGAACAAGTACGCCCTCTAGTGTTGAAAAGGTGAAAGTTACTTTTTTGATGACAGCATTTTGTGGTCGTATTTCCGGCATGCCCTACTGCTCTGGTGAGCATCGTTGAAAAGGATTGTGGATTTTTGGACATCCATTTGGAAAGACTTTTGAGGCACACATCCATTTGTGATATGGGAAATTCCCCTCTCGGCGTCGTTACGTGTGCCAATAGCGCCCTCTACGTCCACGCATAGATACTTTGCAGATGCTGTGGAGAAGGACCAAAGTGTATCTATGACTACAGGCTTCGTGAACAGCAACACGCTCTACAGGAGGGGAAAATGTCAACTCCTGCCCAGTATGACGGTGTTGGAACAATGCTTGATTGACCACGCCAGTGACCAGAAAAGTTATTCAATGCAGCTGATTTATCCATTTTTTTCTTCTCTTATACAGTTAAAAGCAGCTGTGATGTACAATGGCGATAAAATAAATCCCTAACAAGAAAACTTGAAAAAAAGTTCTAATTCATGCCAGTACAGGATCCTTCGGGATGCCTAAATGCCCTGCACTGTCCTCCGAGATGGATGATCTTGTATGGATATTTGAATGGATTAACTAGTTCGCGCCAGAGGACATGTACACCCGCAAAGGTTTTGCAGTAACCAGAACGGATGACAGATAAACACGCAGGGCCGGAAATATCTGTCAGTGACCCGCTCGCAGCGAGCGAGGCCAGAAATATGAGTGAGCTGCCCGATGGTGATGGCTTTAACCCGCCTGGCATTGAGGTCCAGTCAAAATAATCCCGCGCCTTGTCTTGTCAAAATAATCCTGGCGTGAACTGGTTAAGGCTCTTTTTAAGGGATGTGTTCTAGAACATTGAAAGTAGATACATGTACAGTAGAAAATGTAAAAGGTAAACTCTTAGAGAGTCCGAACATTTGACAAGTTTAAAAATTTGAAGCCAAAGTAGTTTCAAGTGGGTTTGATTAGATGCTAGAGCCGAATGTGCTGAAGTTGGTGTTACAGCCGTGGTTTGGAAAATGGCAGAGGCTCAGTGTTTTATGGGAGTTATGCAACTACAAGCTGGTGCAAAAAGGAAACCCACATTTGACAGCAATTTTCAGCTACTTGTTGAGCATATTTCAAAAATTCAATGTACTGGTACTAAAATAGTGATCTTTAAACATACGCGACGAAAATTCGATTGCAAATGCACATTTTGTCTCTGAGATATGGTTGTTTAAATATGTCATGTGCCAAACCTGTTTGTCCACGGACAGCTTTATGCCATCCGCTTGACTGAGCTGAAATTAGTAAAAATTTCTGCAAAAGTGGGTTTCCTTCTTTTTGTACCACCCCGTAGTAGTACATTTGTGGCAACCTTTTTCCATTTTGCTCACATTAAGATAGTTTCAAAATAAGATAGCAACTGCGATAGTACTTCCGTTTTTTTTTTTTTTTAAGAATGACTTTATCTGTCAGTCTGTTGAAGTCCCACTATAAAAAAAACTTGAATATTTTCTTTTATCTTTAATTCAGTTACTGTTATTACGAGTTCAGTTACATTTGTAAAAAGTTTATTCTGTTGGAGAAGCTTGTAAATACTTGGGTTCTTTATTTTCTCAAACATGATTGAGCAGTTGACTATCAAGGATGCTGTTCACTAAATGCACTTTTACCATAGTAACCATGACCTTTAAATTGACAGAATATAAACAGCAGCATGTCATCTTCAAAACTGGGAAACTGAATTATACCTCCCCTGGTTCAAAACAAATAAAAGATGTGTATATAAGCACACAGCATGTATTGCTTTACAGTTTAAATAATGGTGAACACTATATGGCAGTGTGAGCCAGTAAAATATTAACCCTAACCTTCCCAAATCCTCCAAAATCCTCTTTGCAAAATGGAGGATTTTGCAGGATTGAGGCTGTTATGGCAAAAATGTGTGGCTGATTTGGGAGGATGCACGGTGTCAAGGTCTTGGGCTGGACCTTGTGTTGTTTATGCTCAGCCGTGCATAATTTAGCCTTATAGATTAAACTTGAAATCCTCCGCACTGCTCCAGGATGTTGCTGGCTCTGCCTTAACATACTGACAGTGATTGCCGGAGGATTTTGCAGGATTGAGGCGGTGGTCACCCCTCCAAGGACCACATTCAAGAAATAACGGAGGATTTTTACATGGAGGCAGTTGGAGGATTTTGCAGGATTTAGGTTGCATCTTAGCAAAAATGCCTTGGGAGTTAAGGTCAAGAATCAAATTCTTTAAAAGTGTTGAATTCTCTGAGATGCTAGCCCTGTCTCACCCTTTGGTTCCTGTACTGCCCCAAAGCGCCATGCCTGTTACTCCTTATCCACCCAAGCCACCCCAGTATTCTTATGGTGTGATGAAAATACAATGTAATACAATGTAATACAAGTGCTAGTGGGTTAAATTTGTATCATGTTCAATGCAAACTGACAATAAATGAGTAATTCTTGTCTTATACAATGTACATCACGTGATCATGTTTCTGTTCATGTGCCTCCATTGCCAGCAAAACTGAAAACTATTCATGTGGGGAATTTCGGGCGTCAAACTTCTACATATTCTATTAGAATTATTTGTTATCTAACCCCAGGCATCACACACATTTCACCTATCACATTCTAGTAAAAAAGTAATAATAATACTTGACTAAAGAGTATCAAAATATATTTTATCAAATACTTCAATATTATAGTACAAGTCTTCACACACTATATGCATACTCTGGCAGTATCAATATATCGTGTGAATATGTACATGCGACATGCATCTTCTAAGGTCAGTAATATATAACTGAATGCACCATATCGAATAATGGTTACAAGAAAATACAATTTAGATATTTTGATAAACTGACCATTAGAAATAATTGTATGATGTTCAAATGTTGAGGTGCACAATAAACTTCTTGTATGCAAGGCAGTGTAATAATATTCATTGATGTGGCAGCATGTTTATCCTACTATCTGAACAGTCACAGACAATCAATCATCTTCCCTGCCATGCCTTTTACACATGTTAGTTACCAACAGTCAGATCATATTTCAAGGAAGCACTGTGACTAGACAAATTCAGTCAACAGACAAAAGCAGGCAAGTGGTAGGCACAGCTGTCTTATCAATCGCCCACAGGCAAAGCATAGCTGTATCAAGTTACATGAAGAGTCACAGCCAGTCGATCCTGCTTTATATTTATGTAGGCTGTGGGCACTTAAAAACAGTCACTTGATTGATTTTGACTGAAAGGACGCCTTTGCAATGAATGCATGTTTGCATAGGAGGGTTAATACAAAAGACAGTGTGTATAGACCATTATCATGTTGCGACCATCTTGATCTTTTCCCATTCAAATCAACATAACCAAAGTGAGGCTTGAAGGAAAAATAATCTGGTTCCTTTCTGCACAAAAATCATCATTCAGTCCTGTTATTGGACACAGGGAACATGACTGAAATGGCGGCAGCATGATAAAGGTCTATAACTCAATGTTATTGAACAAGAATTTTGCTGCCTCTGGCCGCCTCATGACCCGTGGCACTTTGAACTGGTTGACGGACACGCTCCGCGTCTTCAGCGAGAATCGCTTGAGGCGTTTGAAGGAACCTCTCCTGACGATGTGGACCACTGCGGGAGCGATGCTGCCTTTCTCCCTGAAGGAGTTGTAGACGAAGGACTGCTGGCGTAGATTCTCATCCAGCTGGGCCAAAAGACAAGAAAAGTTGTTTTCAAGTTCTTAGGATTTTCTCTTGTGGGACTCGAACCCAAAACCTCCTGCTTACTAGTGCAGACATCTGAACTTCTTGACCATCTAGGGTCAGCTGGTCAGTTTAATGCTGTAATAGAGCAGTTATGACATCTTCAAATTTATATTTCCTATGCGAAATTCCAATTTTCCAATGAAACCAAGAATGTTTTGTAAGGGCTTAAGCTTGAAAACCCAAGGTTACCTGTGTAGGAATGACAATCAAAAGTCCAGTAAATTGGACAATAACAAATGAATGTTCTTGCCAAAGTTCATTTGAATAGGCCCAAGACCAATATTCTATCTGAGTGCAGTAGCTGACGAACTGTTCAAACAAATTCATACCTGCAGCTTCTGTTTGTCGTCTAAGTGAACCGGTGCTTTAACATCTCTCTCATTGGCCAACTCCACAAAGACAATATAGCGTGGGAACGAATTATCATCTGTTACCAAAAAATTGAACGAGAAATACCAAATTGAGCTCATTTTCCATAAGTCTACCTTTCGAGAAAAAAAAACGAGTTAGTTTCTTGACTAGATATTTGATCACCAAGGTTCAATGACTGAATGTCTGTTGTGATGTAGGAAGAAATAACACCTTGAGAGTTAGGGTTAGGCCGCGTTCGAAATACTTCCCTACGGCTTGCACATGCACACGCCCCTATGGTAGCGGCTGTAGCCACTATCCCACAGACTCTTGTGTTACCGCTAGCCATAGCCATGTCATTTGGACGCAACTCAAGCTCAACTGACCAGTGTCCTGTTTTTCCAGCAGGGGGCTCTCAGCACACGAGTAGTCTACCAGCGACACTCCCTCCCAGCCATCCACGGTCTCTGTCAGAGCCTTGTACAAGATGTCCTCTGACGTCTTCTCCCCTCTCACATTCAGATACTGGCCTTTCCTGGTTGCAGGAATAACATCAAAATACATGTCGTCATTTCTTCAAACAAGTCATCTTATATTAACCAGGTCCTATTCAAGCTTAAGTGATCTGCAAGAAGGATTAAACCAATATTCATAAATACCTGTCACGTGAGAGGGGTGGCGCAATATTCGTAACGCACATAATAAATACAAATAGGTAACGGAAAAGAAGAGGAAAAAAAAGACGATTGTGACAATGCAAATGCTCAAGATCGGTTTAATTTGTTCCCTACTCTCACAAGTACCTGTTCATACTCCTTGGTGGAGAGACTGGCAATTACAGTAAAGTGTCTTGCCCAAGAACACAAGCACCATGAACCCTGTTGGGTTTGAACTCACTGTTTTTTTTTTTTTTGGTGTTCCCTGTTTTCTGCTCAATAGGACACTGAATGAGTTGGGCCATGATTTTTCATTTTATTCACTTTTGGGGATTTTTTTTCCGTGCATTTGAGACGTTACCTGTATTTCAGCTCAATGACTGGACACTGATTGTAGAAGTCGACGACTTTGACCACATCGCCAAAGCGGAACCTGTACAGCCCGCCGGCGTTGGTAATCACCAACTCATAAGATGAACCTTTGGTGACTTGGTCTATGAACAGCGTCTGGGGTTGGTCCTCAAAGCTACATGGAAAAGAAAAAAAAATTCTTTGGGACTGTTCAAATTCCTTTTTTTTTAAGCTGGTCTTAAATCTTGTGACAGTAATACTTAAAGACTACCATGGCCTTTTTTAAGTTGATGAATTTCCATTGAATTGAAATGAGTACAGATCGCACAAATTACATTCTCAAAAATAATGTGAACAAGTATGACCGTTATCAGTAAGCAAGCTGTTTTTCTTCTAACTAGATACCTGTTTATGGTAAACAATTTTGTGAGTTAAGCAAATTGTTCTGTGTGTTAAGCAAAATTTTGGGGTTTAGCAGCTTCTCTGTGAATTTGGCCCCTGGTAGGTAGACAACATTTCACCTCTATTACATCTAATTCCCACATTTGACTGGTACTTTAGGCAATGTAGCTGGAGTGATCCATGAGGGTGTGTGGGGGTCTGCTTACATTTTGTCCACTGGGATGAACTCGTAGAACATGCTCCGCGGGGCCAGAAGGTATCGTCTCTTTTCACTCTTGGGCCAGATGTTGACTCCGATAAGACCCTCTGTTGCAGCATATAGAGCAGAGTATGTGGGAATATCTAGAGGAGACACAGGAAAAAAATGAAAATAAATAGGTTGCTTACTTTGGGGAGAGGGTATGGCAATTTTTTTTTTCCAAGTTGTTGTTTTGTTTTTTTACTTTTCAAAGTTAGAAGTGACATTTGGTTGTTTTAATTAGTGAAATTTGTCGATGGCGTACCTTTTGTGTAACATTCATCTAGCAACTTTCCATACATCTGAAACGGACCAGAATCAACCGCAGCGACAACGTTCAGATGTGGCCAGATTCTCTTGGCGATTCCCTCGAAGCCTTTCTCAAACTCCTCGCGCAGCTCTGCTGCCCTCGCAGGGTCTGGCTTGATCATCTGGTCTAGGCACTTGCGCACGTCGTCGTCGATTTGGAGGCTTGGCGAGATGCGACCGCACTCGATGTCTTTCACCAGGCTCGGCCACTTACGTTCCAGTTCAACGAACGCAGTGTGGACCAGCGACGCAAAATTTGCCTCGATCATGCCCAGGTTTCTGTCCATCAGACCGAACAGGAGGTGAATGTACAAGGCCTCAGGCTCGGTCATTATGTCGTAACCAGCCAGAGGGGTGGTATAAAGTGGGAGGAGCCCCTTGGTGGATTTAGGGGAGGAGGAATTCGGTCCGACAGGTATGCCCCCAGCGGAAAGGCGAGACTTGGGCGTGTAAAAGAACTTGAGGATCTTTTGTAGGTTGTTCGTCTGTGGGTATGCATTGTACATGGCGTTGTACAGGACCGAGACTCCCTGCGTGAAGAATGCCAAGGATTGGCCTTTGGTCATCGGGATGATGCTACTCTTGCCGGAAGTTCCCGAAGTAACGCCGAGTATGATTGGTCGGTCTGGGGTCAAGATCCCATGCTCCCCCGCCGCGACGCGCTCAATGTATGGCTTGACGTCATTGTACCTCATCAGTGGATGCTTCCTACGGAACTCTTCTCTATCGGTGACATCCGCAAAATTGAAGTCCTGTCCGTACACAAGACCAGAGGCCTCCTTGATCCTTGCTAATAGGATTTCATCTTGGACTGCCCGGCAGTTCTTGGTGTCGTTCTCCAGTCTGTTCCGCATCCTGTTACCGATGAGACTGATCAGTTTGTTGATGACATACTGCCTCACAAGGCTGTCGATGGTGTGCAGTTTGGATCGTCGCTGGTGGTAGATGTCATTGGCGACCATTATTGTGGATACCAGGGCAACTGCACCAAAACCTTTATAAAGGAAGGGGGAAAAAACACCAAATTTAAATATGAAACACATTGTAGTGTACAGTGTAGTACTACTACCCCGTCTATGATCCTTACCTGGTTTGACATCACATTCACATCACATAATATTTTGTTACTTTCTTCAATGATGATCATGTTAACTTATAGCCCGACTGCGTCTGGCCGTACAGTACTATCGCAAGCTCTGTAGTACGGCCAGACGCCCGATGCTTCCACAGAGACTGAATTTTTTTGGCCGCCGATGTAGCGATTTTGCTACATCTTTCGATCGCGTTTATCTTTTCATCCAGGACACGAATTTCCAAAGTTAAGGTTCGTAGTCGTAGAGCAACTCATACCTTTTCGAAAAAACGTTCTTTGGTCTCAATATTTTCATCCATCTGGCCACAAGACGAATTTCAGTCATCAGATTCCACAAATATCGTCCCCCATGCGATCCCCCATGCGATTTCAAAATGGCGGCCGCGCTGTAATGTATGCATTATGCGAGCGCACTTGGGCAAGATAATGAATATGCATCATAGTTTATGACGTTTGTCGGACACTCAGCGCGGCTGGCCATACAAACACGAGGTCATGAACTAAATAATGCATATTCATTATCTTGCCCAAGCGCGCTCGCATAATGCATACATTACAGCGCGGCTGCCATTTTGAAATCGCATGGGGGATCGCATGGGGGACGATATTTGTGGAATCTGATGACTGAAATTCGTCTTGTGGCCAGATGGATGAAATTATTGAAACCAAAGAACGTTTTTTAGAAAAGGTATGAGTTGCTCTACGACTACGAACCTTAACTTTGGAAATTTGTGTCCTGGATGAAAAGATAATTGCGATCGAAAGATGTAGCAAAATCGCTACATCGGCGGCCAAAAAAATTCAGTCTCTGTGGAAGCATCGGGCGTCTGGCCGTACTACAGAGCTTGCGATAGTACTGTACGGCCAGACGCAGTCGGGCTAGTTAACTTAATGTGTCTGTAACAAGTACATGTACAGCACTTCCTAGTTTACTATGAAGATTAGACTCATTAGAATTTTGAATCCTTCCCCCCCCCCAACCTCCACCCCCCCCCCTCCCGCAGTCGCAGACAAAACTAAAGTTGAGTGTTTGCACTCATCATGCACGTCTAGCTTGAGTAACTCCAGCTGACATGCTTGTCACGCCCCAACTATCGCATCGGTCCCAACTATAGTTGGGCCTGTCCCAACTATAGTTCCACAGTTGGGCTAGCCCAACTATAGTTGGGCCTGTCCCAACTATAGTTGGGACGGTCCCAACTGTAAGTTCCACTGTTGGGCTGGCCCATCTATAGTTGGGCCACTCCGATCTTTTTATTTTGCGGTGTCCCAACTATAGTTTACATTGATGTACAACTGTAAAACGTTCCCTACAGCTCTGATACACGTCTGACTTTACTGGGGACCACTGAAATTAGTTATTGATGGGGCGAATCTATAGTTGGGCCACTCCAATCTTTTTATTTTGCGGTCCCAACTATAGTGTACATTGTTGTACGATTATAAAACATTCCCTACAACTCTAATACACATCTGACTTTACTTGGGACTAATGAAATTATCTATGGGTGGGGACCATCTGTAGTTGGGCCACCGCAATATTTTTATTTGGCGGTCCCAACTATAGTTTACATTGATGTACGACGACTATAAAACATTCCCTACAGCTCTGTTACATACTGTCCGACTTTACTTGGGACCTTTGACATTAGCTATGGGTGGGGCCCATCTATAGTTGGCCGGCCATGGCAATCTTTGAATTTTGCAAAATGTTGCTGGACAATCAACCCAGCAGCTGGACAACTCATCCAACTAGGCAGTACCACGTGACCGGCCAGCCTTGCGGCATGCATGCACGACGAATACACGGTGCCAGCGCCGCGGAACATTTAATCCAACAAGATCTATCAAGCATGAAGCATCCGGCGCAACTCCAGTCCTAACTATAGTTGGGCCGACCCAACTGCCGCACTATAGTTGGGACAGTCCCAACTATAGTTGGGACCGATGCGATAGTTGGGGCGTGACATGCTCATATTCATTCACATGTGAATGAATATGAGCATGTCAGCTGGAGTTACTCAAGCTAATGCACGTCATGCAGTTAGCCAAATTGTAAACAACATGGTTGGTAAACAGACATTTTAATTTTTATTCCTCCATTACGTAAACACTTTTAAAAAGTATGGCTCTAGTTCTCGAGTAGAGTAAATTGTCTCCAAAACAAATCTGACGTTGGCCTTTGTTTACCTTTCGCAACAGCTCTTAAAACCCCCATATCTGTGGAAAATGTTCACGGACACGACATCCGTCGCGGTATCACTCGTCAACAGGATAGGAACAGGACGTATGTGTACGTATATAATTATACACAGTCTGTATGGAGATCAATGGTACACACGGGTCGCACTAAACAGCGTCAACACAGCGTCAACACAGCGTCAACACATGACAGAAGCGTCAACACACCGTCAACACATCCAAAACACATTCTGAATTGACAAAAAGGGCATATAATTGTGAAACATACAATAAAGGAGAATTTCCATTGGATTGAGTTTCCATTTCGTTGTTAAAAATATCGTATTTTCACGCGAAAAAAATGACCTTAACTTGCACGGCCGTTGTCCGCCATCTTGACTTCGCACAAAGCTTGGACTACACCATTTCAAGTAGGGGTGTGTAGGTAATGACATTATCTTGTCATAAACAACAGAGGGCGCCTTGCAATATTATACAATAATGTAAATACCAACGAACAAGTAAAGAAAATTAAACAACAAAGGCAATTGCAGCGTAAACACAGCATTAAATTGTTAGTCTTTGCAGATATTTTTAACACTGGCGACCCCGGCCGCGTCCCTCTCTGTTGGTTTATTGTACAACGCTATCACCCTTTAGAATAATGGTATGGTCCGCGCTGCCATTGAGGCAACATGGCGGGTGTTCGGTAGCCGATTTCGGAGCGGCACGGAGCCAATTTTCTTGAACTAAAAATCGCGATTTTCAGACGTTTAACCTATTGATTTTAAGCACAAATCTTGTTTCGGTCCATACTGTATGGGTTACATACTGCTTTTGTCAATTTTAATGCATTTTGGATGTGTTGACGCTGTGTTGACGCTGTGTTGACGCTTTGGAGTGTGTTGACGCTGTGTTGACGCTGTTTAGTATGACCGGTACACACACGTACGCGCGGCACACTAGACCCGTGAACGTGGCTTTAACGCCACGTTCACGGGTCTAGCGCGGCACCAGCCTCACCATATGTCGAGCGCACTCCGAGTCCCACGCGCAAGTTTAAACCTGCGCGCGCAAGTTTCCTATCGCATACAAATTATCTGATCCCACTTCCATGGGCGTCGCCAGGATATTTTTTTTCTAGTGGGCAAATCACATTTTCCTGATTTATAAATTTGTTCGAGGGTGGGCAGGACCATTGGCCCACCGCCACCCATTAAATTGACTTCGCTCCTCCCCCCCCCCCGCGCCGCCCATGAAGACTTCTCTTGAAAACAAAAATTAACAATGCCAAGACAGAATAATAGAATAAAATCAATCTTTCTCTCTTTTTTTAATTTTATTGCGTACTTTTCGAAAAACTTGTACATTGGTACTGTGTAATTACAAAAAGATCAGTACAGATCACAAATTTGTGACAATCTTATGAAATTAAAATTTTAAAATGAAGGCTAAATATTGTACTAAAGACTTGTGCCCCAAATAACTTGTGTCTCTGATGCATTTTTACCCTTTTCAATAATTCTTGGAACCTGGGAAAGGCAAAAAAAACCTAAAACCCTTTATGGGGAAAAAAATGTTAAAAATTCCTTTCCGACCCTCTTTGTTTAGCGATCAAGCACAATGCTCCAGGTGTAATTAAAATGGCAGCGCCCTCTGTTGGGATTTAGTTGACTTTGTGCTTTCATTCATAATGGCTTATTCATACTAGTTGGCCATTTTTGTCGAGTTGCCTGAATGTATTTCATTAATTGATATTAACTGTTGAATGGGATGGCGCCAGGCTATTTATGCAGACATAATGCAGACTTATTTTAATGTCCTTTTTTTTTTTTAATCTGACTCATTAGGGAATGTTTAATTACAAATATTAAAATATTCATTGAAGCAGACTGGAGTTAATTAGTAATTAACTTGCTTTCATTTCTCTTCGCAAGTTCCAAAAATTAAGATTTTACCTCACTCGTGCATAACTTGGCCCATTGAGGTTTAAATGTGGATTCGAAAGCACCCTCTGTTGATTCAAGTATTTTAATACAGAACGAAGGACATTAAAGCACCGCCTTTGATTTAGGACTTACAAGTGTCAGTTTTGGAAAACAATCCGGTTCGTTAGTAAAAACGTCATACACGCACGTGCACCACTGATTACTAGCGCCCATTGGCTACAAACACTCGAGCTGCGTTAACTTCCGGTTCCAATCGTGCAGAAAGTGCTGGAGGTGACGTCACACTAACGAACCAGATAGAATGAACCTGCTTTCCAAAGTTAATAAATATCGCAAATATATCTTTTTGAGTGTTGAAACTGAGGATTTCGAACTCAAAAAGCCCCTTCTTTGAAGAAAAACAGTTTAATTATACTTAAAGGATAAAGTAGGGGCCTATTTATTAAGATAGGTTCAGCTTTTATCAATTGTTTACATCAATATTTTGTTAAAATCAAAAGAGTTGGGTGTGAAAGGGAGGCAAAGGCTTCGGGTCCCCTCCCCCCCCCCCCTCCCCTCAATCAAAATTCAGTATTTTCTTATTTTTTGTAAGTCAAAATCATGACATTGGGCAAATTAACACTGTGCTTATCTTTTTGCTTCATATGAACCATGCAATTTGATTAAACATGCAGGGAGTAACAAAAAAACAATCAAACTAAACTCAACTCGAATTCATGCAAACAAACATTACAAACAGAAAAGCACAGTGTAATTTCAATGTCTAGATGCGTTTTGATTAAAAAAAAGGCTCCAATGGTTAAAAATTCTATTTGAATTTGTGAACTTGTGAGTACCTTTTTGTAAGTGCATGAGTTGGTCTGTTTAATTTCTTTTTTTGGGGGGGGGGGTCCTCTAACCCTAAACATTTGTATAGCTCTGACATTTTAAACAGCATATTTTATATAGCTACATGTATCTGAACATTGCTCAGTAATTCAAAATTCCATGAATTTTTAAACTGCCTCCTCTATTGGGCACAAAAACATTTTTTTATGGGAAAAGTGCAAAATTCTTGTAAATTATAATATCTATATTTTTAAATTGGGTTGAGAGCGGTACTGCTATATAACTTTCATTGGGGTGCATTTATCATGAATAATTCAAATCATTTTAACAAATAAATAATTGTGCTACATATTTCAACCATTTAGAATACTTATGCTAAATTGTTATGTAGATGAGTTTTCAGGTTTTATTGGTTTCGTAAAAGGTCCAAAACTTGCTTTTTGCATATTTCAATATATTTTTGAAAGCATTTTAGCTCAATTCAAAAGTTTATCAGCAAATTCCAAAGTTCACAGATTACAATCTTCTTTCAATTTTTGAGGGGACATTTAATTTGTTATTTATTCTGTGGTCAAAGGGAAGGGGGTACACAAGCGGCAGCTGGCAATCCATCTCTGTATCTGCTGTCGTTGGTGGCTAAGCTTGGCGAATCTACAAAAAGTATGAAGATCAAAAACATGGCATTAAATAAATAATTTTAATAGGTCAGTCACACAGTCACATTTGTGGAAGCATAACACTCTTGCAGCAGCAGAAGGCCAAACCATGTGACTCACAAAGCAGTTAACTATTACATGTACTTTTTGTTTTCTGGAAATAGCAAATTATCACCTAAGTAAAAACATTATACAAAGTGGTACAAAAAGAAGGAAACCCACTTTTGACAGCAAGTTTAACCTGCTTGTTCAGCATAGTTCAAAAATTCAATTTAAAGGTGTTAAAACATTTTTCTTCAACGTAAGTGACGAAAAAAATGATTACAAATGCACGTTTGTCTCTGAGATGTGGTAGTTTAAAAAATTCAAGTGCCAAAGATGGCTTTAATCCATCCATTTGATTGAGCTCCGGAGCTTGATTTGAAGAAAAAAAAACAATACACTTGACTTACATGTGGACAACAGTGTTTTTGGTGACTTGTATTCAAACAATCACAATAACAATATATTTTTTTTTAAAGATTTTTTCACCATGTATGGTTGAAGACCTATACTTCACTACTTTATCAAAAAGTTCAAATAAGTTAAGTATAAGTAGGTTACCATTCCTGTCAAAAGTGAGTTTCCTTCTTTTTGTTCCAACCTGTAGCTGATTGATGAGACTGAACCAAACACGGGTTACTGATTGGTTCATTTTCATGGGTCAGTTTACCTCAGAAATAGGTGTTCTCCCTGTCTCCAGTTCCTCAGGTTCATCAGAGACAGGCGTTGATACAGCTACATCAGCCTCTCACTCATCAACTGTATCAATGCATGGTCGTCATCTTCTAAAACATTTAAAAGAGAGAACTGAATACATCAGAAAATATGAAACAAAAGTGAAATCAATTACAATAATTATGGATCCTTCACGTCCACCAGAAAAGCAATCTATGTATTTTTATGAAATACATGTATCTTTTTTTTGATTGGGACCCAAAATTATTTAAGTAGAAAAAGTCTCAATTAAAGATTACATTTTTTGTTTTTTATCATTCTAGCCATCTTTCTTACCTCTCAGGGAGAATTAACCTCAAAAATCAGAAACTGCAAGCTGAGCAAACAGAGCGGATCGCCTGCATGGTTATCTTCCTTACCTCCAGATCTTCTGTTTCATCACTATGGGTAGGGGTATCCTCGTCAGGATGGAACATCCTCTTGCTCATCTAGTCAGTCTCATCTGGGCTTGGTGGTCATCATCTTCTGAAAGAGTTAAACAAGTACCAGAGGAACATGCGCGGTTCTAGAACCAATATTTTGGGGGGCTACCACGGTGGATCCAGAATTTTTTCAGGGAGGCGTGCTGAAATGTTGACCGGTTATTTTTTCCAGACACTTAGGCCTCCGAAAATCAATGGGGGGGGGGGGGGGGGGGGGGGCTCATGCCATATTTTCAATGGGGAGCGCCAATAAAATCCTAAAATCATTCATACTATATTAACTAATGCACCCTTGTCACGGCTATTTCTTCTTTAGTGGGAGACCGTTCGCTAGTACATCACAATCCTTCTTTTTGCTAATGCAATTTTTTTTTTTAACGGAATTTATTTTGGGGGGGCTAGACAAAATTTGGGGGGCTACAGCCCCCCCCCCCCCTAGCCCCCCGTAGAACCGCGCCTGCAGAGGAACATGTTAGGATTCAACAGATTAGTCTATAAGCATCTACATGGTACATGATCAGAAATGTGTTCACTTTATTTTTGTTCTTGGGGTTGTTGTCATTGTTTTAATTTTGTTTGGGGGTTCTTTCTATTTGTTTAATTTGCTGATAAACTTACCTCATGAATCAGAAATGACATAATCAGCAAGCAGGCTTGTCAGTCATCTGTTGGTCCCTGCTTCCGGTTCCCAAACATCTTTCATTCTCCTCAAGTAATGGCTTGAGATGTTTCTGATGACAATCTCCATCCTGTAAAATAAAAAAAAAAACACTTCTCGGCCTGGGCCAACTAGGTCACATTAGTAAGAATTCCTGCTTGGCTGGCAACAAAGTAAAAGAGAGTTTCATTTATTTTATATTTTCTTGTGTAAGTTGTGCTTCCTTATCCACGAGAAGAGTCTTTTAAAAAGTCTTGTACTTTGTTTCAGGATTGTAGCTGTTAAGGCAATGCTCCAGGCATTGCCCTCCTTTTTACATCAATGTGTTAAATCATTATTTTTTAGTAAATCCACCTCACAAAACCTCAAACTGCAGGTTCAATAAGCAGAGACAACACTCATCTGTTGGTCCTCCTCCCTGCTTCCTGCTCCTTAGTTCCAGCTGAAGTGGGGCAGGAATAGCAAGGTCATCCTTAACCATAAACTTCTTCATCTAGCCACTGTCATCCATGTATAACAGGCTCCATTTTCTATTAACAGATCAAAAATGAAGAGAAAAGAAGAAATTTCAGAATCAGGATTGATGAGATATGTAATTCATCCTGCGAGGGGGAATTTAACCAGACAAGTGAAAAATAGTCTTTTTTAACACAGTTTATCATTGTTCATTTGTTTTCCTTTTTGAAACTTACTTCAAAAAAAAAAAATGGGAAGCCCGACAAGCAGGTCATCCGTTCATCTGTTGGTCCTCCTCCCTGCTTCCGGCTCCTTAGATCCAGCTGAAGTGGGGTGGGGAGGGCAAGGTCATCCTCAACCAGATGATTCTTCATCCAGCCACTCTCGTCCATGTATAACAGGCTCCATTTTCTACTAACAGATCAAAAATGAAGAGAAAAGAAGACATTTCAGAATCAGGATTGATGAGATATGTAATTCATCCTGCGAGGGCAAACTTAACCAGACAAGTGAAAAATAGTCTTTTTTATGACAGTTTACCATTGTTCATTTTTCCTTTTTGAAACTTACTTGAAAAATATAAAATGGGAAGCCCAACAAGCAGGTCATCCGTTCATCTGTTGGTCCTCCTCCCTGCTTCCGGCTCCTTAGTTCCAGCTGAAGTGGGGTGGGGATGGCAAGGTCATCCTCAACCAGATGATTCTTCATCCAGCCACTCTCATCCATGTATACCAGGCTCCATTTTCTATAACCAGATCAAAAACAAAGAGAAAAGAAGACATTTTAGAATTGAGATTGATGAGATATGTAATTCATTCTGTGATGGGGAAATTAACCAGACAAGTGAAAAAAGTCTTTTTATGACAGTTTACCATTGTTCATTAATTTTCCTTTTTGAAACTTACTTCAAAAATCAGAAATGGGAAGCCCGACAAGCAGAGTCGTCAGTTCTTCTGTCGATTGTCCTCCCTGCTTCCGGTTCCTATTTTCATCTGTTGAAAGAAAGTTTACTGAAAACATTTAAAAATCTGAACTCCAACCTCTGGCAAGGCAATTAAACAGCAAAATACCACCACAAGTTTTACACTTAGTCTTTTAACATTAACATCATTGTCCTTTTTGCTTCTAGAGGAAACCAACCTTGAAATTTAGAAATGGGTAGCCCTGAAAGCAGCGTCATCAATTCATCCTTTGGTCCTACTCCCTGCTTCCGGTTCCTTGGAGGGATTTGTTTCCATCCTGACAAAGCAGCCTCTCCTCATCCAGTCAGTCTTAGGCTTGTAGATGTTCATTCTTTGCTGAATGAGCTACAGGGAGAAAGAAAACTCGACCCAGCCTAGCTAGGTCACACTGTATCTCTACAGATGGTTAGAAAAGAGCTTATTTGATGACAATCTGGGCCAACAAAATATTTATTATGAGAAAAAAAGAAAGAAGCAAAATTGTTTTTAAAAAAAGCTGCATATTGTTCACGTTTACTTTGATAAATCCAAAAAGGTACAAATACAAGGGCACATATGTATGACTACTGAAGGCAATAATGTCGAATGAGTTCTAGCTGCCAATCCCTGCTGACTGGACTTACTCTAAATTGAAGACAGTTAAGGCGACAATCAGGCGACTTAATGCCAAAGTGCATCCCTGCCGATCATTGAAGATCGGACTTACATTTCTTTTCTAATAAAAAAGGGGACTAAAAAACACTTTTGAAGACGGCATAGTGGTGTGTCACCGCCGGTTCTGAAGGAGACAAAATAACAAAGTTGTTACTGCCGATCATTGAAAATCGGTCTTACTGTTTAAAATACAAGACATGCCTGGGAATTATTTTTGAAAGTTGACATATAAGCCACAGGTATCACTGCCGATACATTTACAGATCGGACTTACTGATTAATTATAATACACAGCCGAGTTAAATCTTCTGAAAATGACACATGACATTTCCTGAGATGCAGATCAAGAGTGGAGGAAAGCTGAACATTTTGAAATAACAATTCGCGAGGAGAGATGGTGGCAAGTACACTATGGCCCGAGTTTTTCGATGAAAAAAAAAGACCGGAAATTAACCTATTTCGTATCATGTCGTAAATCATTTTGTTGTTATCTTGTTTCCTTTAGTATCATTTTGTTAATTGTTATTTTTCTCACCACCGCTAATCGCATTGCATCGTATCGTAACGTATCGTAACGTATCGTGGTGTATCGCATCGTGTTGTATCGTATCGTATTTTGTAGTATCGTGCAATGTCGTATCCACCTTTAAGAAATAAATAACTCCGATTTTTCCAGTATCACTTCTTTTTTTCTTTTTTTGGGGATGGGAAACAAATACCATTTTTCAAATACTTTTATTTCACCGCCGCTTTGTGTTAACCTTAATAATTATTTTCGTTGCGTGATATTTTTTTTTCAAACGTGTCCGATTAACTCATTTTCGTGGCCGAATTTTACAAGGAAGAATCCAAATTCCCTGGATGTGTCATTTCGCATCGCATTGTACCGGTACATCATTTAATTTCTTTCGTTTTCTGAGTGAGAAAAAGATCACTTTTTAAAATATAACTTCTCTCAATACCGCTATCATATCGTACCTTTGAGAAATAAGTAACACTGATTTTAAGTATTATTTCTTTCTCTACAACTTTGATTTTATTCTGTTTTTGTCAGAGATCTGTGAAAAGTATGACTAGGATTTTCAAAAATCACTGGAAGAAACGCATAACACCGGAAATAATCACACCGTACCCATGAAATAATCACACCGTACACATGAAATAATCACACAGTACACATGAAATAATCACACCATACACATGGAATAATCACACCATACACAGAGGGCATGCAAATCGTGGCTAAAATAATGACTGAAGATTTTTTTTCTTCTTACTTTCAATCATCACTTTTTCAAAGAGGAAATTCACTTTCTTTGGTTAACAGACAGTTCTAATAAAACCGACTGTACAATTATTTCTTTATTATATTTGCCGGGGGGGGGGGGGGGTTTCTTGGACAGGATGGATTCCGTTTCTTTCTCAATGGTCATGGCCAACATTGTCCATAGTGTTATTGCTCAAGTTTTGTTTCTTGTAAATCGTGTTTGCTCAAGAAAAATTTATGAAATCCAATACCAATTGTACAATGACAGCGCACCAGGCACTGTTACATCTCAGTTCTTCCTCGTCTTCCTCCTGGAATTTAACATTTTATCAGCAGTCGTGTTTTAATTTTTACCGTAGACTTATGATAAACCTAATTTAAGGCTTCAGGATAATATTCCAAGTAGTGTGACTTTTGTTCGTTGCAGTTCGTCTTTACTGAATGATATTTTCTTGGAATGTCATTGACGATTCAACGATAAAATATATCAGGCATAAAGCCTTTTCAGCCTTCCGACTTCGTTCGTTCCAGATGTTGCCATTTATGTTCATCTCATCTCTAGGAATGTCATTGACTGTTCAAATATTTCTTTCAATTATAATGAAGTTTCTTGCCCAATTCTTCGATGGGGGTTTCACTCCATAAAGAAGTGTGTCAGACACTGTCAAAGTTTCTAAGTTTGTAGTGGATTCCTAGCAAGCTCAGCAAGCAGAGTCCATAGTCCTCTGTTGGTTCTCTTCCCTGCTTCCTCCTCCTTAGCGTCAGCAGAAGTGGAATGAGGAGGGCAAAGTCAGCCTCAACCAGAAGCGTCTTCATCTAGCCACTTTCATGCAGGTATGACTGGCTCCATTTTCTATTACAATATCAAAAACAAAGACAGAAGAAAACAATTCAGAATCCTTGTTGACAAGAGATACACCATTCTGCGGGAGGGAACTTAACCAGAAGAGTAAAAAATAGTCTAAATGTGACATTAATAATGTCACATGTAGACTATTTCTTACTCTTCTGGTTATTCTATTATCCATTAGTTGACCTTTTCAAACTTACCTAAAATATTAGAAATGGAGAGCCCAGTAAGCAGGGTCTTCCGTTCTTCTGTCGTTCTTCCTCCCTGCTTCCGGTTCCTCGGTCATCCGTGATGATGGTTTCAGGTGTCAAGTTAACAGACAGACTTTCCAGGTCTTCATCATATGAAAACAAAAGGCCAAAACAGTTCAATATAATACACACAAAAGAACTCTGCACTCTGGACGTTATCTTGCGAGGCAATTATGCAGCAAAACACCACCAGATAAGTTACTGATGGTTCCTTCAATTTATGGCACTGTCTTCCTTTTTTATTTCCTTTCAGAGGAAACTAACCTTGAAAATCAGATATGACTAGCTCAGTAAGTAGGGTCTTCAGTTCATCTGTCGGTCCTCACTCCTCCCTGCTTCTGGGTCCTAAGGTACGTCTGTGATGGTTGGGGTGTGTCAAATCAACAAACAACATCTCCAAGTCTTCATCAATCCAAGACTCATCCTCGCTTCTAAACATGATAAAAACAAATGTGGAAACAATGTCAAGTTTAAATTCAAGATAATCTGCATTCGTGTCATTATCTTGCAAGGTAATTAAGCTGCACAGGAGATACAAACAAGCCGTTTCATTTGTGGCATTATCTTCTTTTTCTGTTATTTTCTTTTGGAGAAAACTAACCTTGAAAATCAGAAATGGCTAGCTCACTGCAGAATCATCAGTTCATCTGTTGGTCCTCCTCCCTGCTTCCGGTTTCCTGGGACGGGGAGTGCAATGTCGTCCTCAACCAGTGGCTTCTTCCTCAGATGTATTCGTTAACATCGTCATTTGATTTACGAAAGACAATAGTAAGTTAAGGAAAACGATAGTAGAAACCTTACTGCAGACAATTATTCAAATGCTTTAACAAATAAGTGTTTTTCATTTTTAAAAGGGAGGCTTTCCAACTAAAAAGCCAATCCCCTGAAAAAAATGTTTCAAGAATGAGGAGGGGGCCATTTCTTTTAATTTTTTTGTCAGATTTTTTTTGGTGACATCAAAGAATAAGGTGCGAAAGGGAGACAAAGGCTACGGGATGACCCCCCCCCCCCCCCATCAAAATAATGACGCATTGAAGTGATGTTGATGGCATTTTAACTATTTTGAATTATTTAAATTTAGATTAATATGTTAGAATTTTTGAATGTAATAATTGTCAGACTATGGCCATACACTGTGGTTATCTTTTTGCTTCTTGAAATCAAAAAGGTGCGATATGATATTAAAACATGCAGGAACAACACATGCCAAAATGGAACAGTGAAATCATGCGAACATGCAAACAAAAGCAACAACATAAGCACAGTGTCATTTCCATGTCTTGATGATTTTTGTCTGAAAAGAATTCTCAAAGGTTTGAGCACCGTTTTGTTAGTGCATGAGGCAGGCTGATTCAACTAGGCAGGATGGGGGTGTCCCATAGCCTTAAAAAATGTACTTAGTCCAAAGTCAGGGATTATATTCTAATTTCATTTGTTGCAGTGAATTTTTATCAATTTCTTGTTCTGGTAAGGGGTGGGGGCTGGTGGTTTTAATTAATTTCTTGTTCTGGTAAGTAGTGGGCTTGGCAGCGGTAGCCGGCAAGCCATCTTCCTATGTCGTTGATGGCTAACATCTTGGCGAATCTGCAAATAAGTATAAAAACCAAAAGGCACAGCATTAAATTGACAATTTAAGCAGGCTTGTCACACTGTCAAACTTTTCCAGATTCAAAATTCAACATTCAATTTTTGTTGGGGTGGGGGGGGGTACACTTACCTCATGTATCACAGATGTCATGTTGAGCAAGTAGACTCATCAGTAGTTTCCTGCTTCCGGTTGCCAGACATCTTTCATTCTCCTGAAGTAATGGCTTGAGATGTTTCCTATGACAATCTCCACCCTGTAAAATAAAAAAAGCTTCTCGGCCTAGGCAAACTAGGTCACATAAGTAACAATTCCTATTTGGCTAGGAACAAAGTAAAAGAGACTTTCATTTATTTTTATATGTTCTTGTGTAAAATGTGCTTCCTTATCCATGTCCTTTACAAACTCTTGCACTTTGTTTCAGGATTGTAGCTGTGAAGGCAATGCTCCAGGCATTGTCCTCCTTTTTACATCAATGTGTGACCTCTAATTTTGGTTTAGTAAATCTACCTCACAAATTCTCAAACGGCAGTTCAATAAGCAGAGTCAACGCTCATCTGTTGGTCCTTCCTTCTTCCGGCTCCTTAGATCCAGCTGAAGTGGGATGGGGAGGGCAAGGTCATCCTCAACCAGAAGCTTCTTCACCTAGCTACTATCATCCAGGCTTCATTATCTATTTAAAGATCAAAAACAGGGAAAAGAAAACATTTCAGGATCAGGATTGACGAGATATGTAATTCATTCTGAGGGGGAGCTTGACCAGACAAGTAAAAATTAGTCTTTTTATGACAGTTTACCATATGATTGTTCATTTGCTTTCCTTTTCTAAACGTACTTCAAACTCAGGAATGGGAAGCCCGACAAGCAGGTCATCCGTTCATCTGTTGGTCCTCCTTCCTGCTTCCGGCTCCTTTGTTCCGGAGTCATCCAGACTCCGTTTTCTATTAAAATATCAAAACCAAAGAGAAAAGAAAACATTTCAGAATCAGGATTGACAGGATATGTAATTCATCCTGTGAGCGGTAACTTCTCCAGACTAGTGAAAAATAGTCTTTTTATGACAGATTACCATTCATTGTTTTCCTGTTTGAAACTTACTTTTAAAATAAGTAATGGGAAGCCCGACAAGCAGGTCATCCGTTCATCTGTTGGTCCTCCTCCCTGCCTCCGGCTCCTTAGGTCCAGCTGAAGTGGGGTGGGGAGGGCAAGGGCATCCTCAACCTGCAGCTTCTTCATCCAGCCACTCTCATCCATGTCTACCAGACTCCATTTTCTATTAAAAGATCAAAACCAAAGAGAAAGGAAAACATTTCAGAATCAGGATTGACGGGATATGTAATTCATCCTGTGAGCGGTAACTTCACCAGACTAGTGAAAAATCGTCTTTTTATGACAGATTACCATTCATCTGTTTTCCTGTTTGAAACTTACTTTTAAAATATAAAAAATGGGCAGCCCGACAAGCAGATCATCCGTTCATCTGTTGGTCCTCCTCCCTGCTTCCGGCTCCTTAGTTCCAGCTGAAGTGGGATGTGGAGGGAAGGTCATCCTCAACCAGAAGCTTCTTCATCTGTCCATTTTCATCCATGTATTCTAGTTTCCTTCCTCTATTAAGAAAATCAAAAAGAAAGGGGAAAGGAGATTTAACAAAAAGAATTGATGACAGATGCAATAATTATGTGAGAGGAACTTCTTTTTAAACTTACCTTAGGAATCAGAAATGGGTAGCCCTGCAAGCAGAGTCATCCGTTCGTCCGTCGGTCTTCCTCCCTGCTTCCGGTTCCTCGGAAGGATTCGTTTCCATCCTGACAAAGCAGCATCTCCTCATCCGTTCAGTCTCGCGCTTGCATGTTCATCTCTTGGCTGAATGAGCTACAGGGAGAAAGAAAACTCGACCCAGCCTACCTAGCCTACCATGGTTAGAAAAGACTCCCGGTACTTATTTTAAACCCGGCCAACACAATAGTCATAATTATTATGAGGGAGAAAAAAGAAATAAAAAGCTGCAAATCGATGGGGCTCACTTTGACAAATCCATTAATGCTATTAATACATGAATATACATGTATGAATACTGAAGACAATAATGTCTAACGCTTTTGCCAACCGTTGCACACTGGACTTACTCTCAATCGAAGGCGACATAATGCCACAAGTGTTTCCCTGCCGATTGTTGAAGATCGGACTTACAATATTTCTCTAATTCAAAATGGGGCTAAAAGTTACTTTTGGAGACGGCATAGTGCTACAATACCTATCAACAAAAATAAACATTCTGAAGGAGACAAATATCAGAAGTTTTACTGCCGATCGTTGAACATCGGACTTACTGGTTTACAATCAAGACACGGCTGGAAAGAAAACTTTTGAAGGTGACTATAAGCCACAGGAATCCCTGCCGATGCATTTATAGATCGGACTTACTAATTAATTAAAAACTAAAAGACACAGCTAAACTAAATCTTTTGAAGGTGACACGTGACATGTCATGAGATGCAGATCAAGAATGAAGGAAGAAATCTGAACATTTCGACGAAAAAACAAATCGCGAGGAGAGATGGCTTGGCAATACACTTGACAATAAACATGCGGCATGACTGGTTTTTCTTGTCACTACCGCTTTTTTTCCCAATCAAATAAATTCGTAGCCGATTTCTTTACTTTAGTCTGTCCTTATTTATTTTGTTTCACTTTTTTGCAGTAGAAATCTTACTGATTTAAAAATTTCTGTTTTTTTCTCGAGTTGCAAGCTGGAATCAGTTATTTTCGTGGCCATTGGTTTTGCAAGAAGGTATCGCGATTGACTTATTTCGTATCATTTTGTATTGTTTTACATGCTGTGTTGCATTATTGTGGGTGAGAAAAATAACACTGTTTTAACAAATGTTATTTGTCTCGTGCTCAGCCGCTTTTTTATTCTACCATAACTTCAATTTTCGTCCCATTTATTTTATTTTGTTGGTTGCATGATTTTTTCAGGCTGAATTTTTTTTGCCGAATTATAACACTTTTTATAACACGTATCGTGTCGTATCGCATCGTGTCGTATCGTACCGTGTCGTATCATGGCGTGTCTTATCATGGCGTGGCGAGTCATCCCTCACTTCGAGAAATAAATAACACCGATTTTCAAGTATTATTTCTTTCCCTACATTTTTTTGGGCGAGTATCAATTTTCCAAATATTATTTTCCTCACGACCGGTATCGTGTCGTATCGTATTGTGTCGTATCGTATCGTGTCGTATCGTACCCTCGCGTATTGTACCTTTGAGAAATAAATAACACTGATTTTCAAGTATTATTTCTTTCCCTACATTTTTTATGGGTGAGAAAATAACACTTTTTCCTAATACATGTATTATTTTTCACACCACCGCTATTGTATCGTGTCGGATCATGTCGGATCGTATCGTACCTTTGAGAAATAAATAACACTGATTTTCAAGTAATATTTCTTTCTCTACTTTTTTTATGGGTGAGAACAATAACACTTTTTCCAAACATTATTTTTGCTCACCACCGCTATCGTATCGTGTCGTATCGTGGCGTGGCGTGTCATATAGCCTCTCGAGAAAAAAAATATAACAATGATTTTCAAGTATCATTTCTTTCTTTCATGCATTTCGTCTCACCTCCGCTTTGTTTTAATATACCGGAATTTAATTTTTCTTCGCATTTCTTTCTTTTGTTGTTCGCATGATTTCCAGTTTAATTTCTTTAACTTTCACGGCTGAATTTTTGGACAAAAAAATTCGAAGTTCACCGCTCTCGTATAATCGTATCGTACCGTAAATCTTTTTTTTTTGGACCGTCTTTTTTGTGAGAAAAATAACACTTTTCGAAATATTTTTGTCTCGCCAACATTATCGTATCGTATTGTATCGTTCGTATCGTTTCGTACCCAATCGTATCGTATCGTATCGTATCGTATTGTAACTTTGAGAAAATAAATAACACTGATTTCAAGTATTATTTATTTCTCTCTAGTTTTGATTTTGCGCTATTTTCGTTGGAGTTTATCAAAAAATACTAGAAGAAAATACACTACGCAGGGAATAATCACACCATACACAGAAATGATCACACCATACACAGAAATAATCACACGGCACACAAGGAATAATCACACTGAACACAAGAAATAATCACACCGTACACAGGGAAAATCACATCATACACAGGGAGCAATTCAGAAACAATGTCATTACTCTGGGCTATAAAGTGATGATTGACCTTTTCAAAGAGCAACCTCTTTTTCTTCAGGTCACAAATTATAGTTTGACTCTCTAATGATTTTTATGTTGATTATCGGGCAGGATGGTATCTGTTTCTTTCTTAATGTTCATACAAACAAGTATCAGCCAATGTCCCTTTTGATGACTCAAGAGTTTTTGAATCTTGTTTTCTTTGGAAGGTTTTACTTGTTTTTTTAAATGTGGATAAGGACAGCGCCCCAGATGCTGTGACATCCCAGTTCTTCTGTGTCTTCCTCATCGAATAATAAATTACATGAGCAGTCTTTTTTTTAAACTTAAAACTTATGATCAACCAAATTATAAGGCTTTTAGATTTATTCCAAGTAGCGTGACTAATGTCCATTGCAGTTCGACATCACTGAATTGTGAAACTGTGGCATCTCAGTTCTTCCTTGTCTTCCTCGTCGAATAATAAGTCATGTAAGTAGTCTTTTTTTAACTATAAACCTATGATAAACTTTTTGATAATATTCCAAGTAGTGTGGCTAATGTTGCAGTTCGTCATCACTGAGTTGTGACGCTGTGACATCTCAGTTCTTCCTTGTCCTCCTCGTTGAATAATAAGTCACATAAGTAGTTTTTTTTCAAGCTATAAACCTATGATAAACTTTTGGATAATATCCCAAGTAGTGTGGCTAATGTTCAGTCCTCTAAAGGTTCTCCTCTCTGCTTCCTCCTCCTTCGTGTCAGCAGAAGTGGGGTGAGGAGGGCAAAGTCAGCCGTAAACACAGAAGCCCCTTCATCTGACCACTCTCATCCAGGTATGACAGGCTCCATTTTCTATTAAAATGTCAAAAACAAAGACAGAAGAAAACAGTTCAGAATCAGGATTTTGCAAGAGACGCACTTCATTCTGCAAGAGAGAACCTGACCAGAAAAGTGAAAAACTAGTCTTGATAGGACATTATTCTATTATCTATTTGTAGCTCTTATTTCAACTTACTGTAAAAATCGGAAATGGAGAGCCCAGCAAGCAGGGTCTTCCGTTCTTCTGTCGTTCTTCCTCCCTGCTTCCGGTTCCTCGGTCATATGTGATGATGGTTTCAGGCATCAAGTCAACAAACAGACTCTCCATCCAGGTCCTCATCAATACTCGGCCAGGTTTCTAAATAGAATAAATTATTTGGAGAACAAAAGGCCAAAACAGTTTAATGTTATACTCGGGTAACTCAAGACATTTTATCTTGCAAGGCAATACAGCAGCAAAATACCGACGGATGAGTTACCGATGGTTCTTTTTACTTTATAACACCATCTTCCTTTTCTTTGGAGGAACTAACCTTGAAAATCAGAAATGGCTAGCTCAGTAAGCTGGGTCTTCAGTTCATGTGTCGGTCCTCCTCACTGCTTTCGATTCCTAAAGGTACATCTGTGATGGTAGTTTGGTGTGTCTCCAAATTCGGCATCTCCAAGTCTCCATCAATCCAAGACTCATCCACGCTTCTAAACATGATAGAAAAAAATAGCGAAACAAAGTTTAGTTTAATTTCAAAATAATCTGCACTCGTGTCATTATCATATAAGGCAATTAAGCTGAAAAGGAGATAAACTAGCCTTTTCATTTGTGGCATCATCTTCTTTTCTTTTCTCTTCTTATAGAGGAAACTAACCTTAAGAATCAGAAATGGCTAGCTCACTGCAGAATCATCAGTTCATCTGTTGGTCCTCCTCCCTGCTTCTGGCTCCTGGGACGGGGAGTGCGAGGTCATCCTCAACCAGTGGCTTCTTCCTCATCAGAGGTATCCGTTGTCATCCTCGTTTGATTTAGGATGGTCAATAGTAAGTTAAGGAAAATGATAGAAGGAATCTCACTGCAAACAATTATTTGAATATTTCAATAAGTCAGTGTTTTTCATTGTTGAAAGGGAGGCTTTCTGATTAAAAAGCCACCTCCCTGAAAAAATATCAATACCACCAACTTGACCAACAAAGTTCTGCTTTTTTCCAGATTTTTTTATGTCGAAGGCTATGGGATGAACCCCCCCCCCCCCCCTCAAAATACATTATGCAATGAAATGCTGTTGATTTCATTTTAGTTATTTTCAATGATTAGTTTTCAATTAATAGCTTAACATGTTTTGAGTTTTTTAATGTAATAATTGTCAGACTATGGCCATACACTGTGGTTATCTTTTTGCTTCTTAAAAACAAAAAGGTGCGATATGAAAAAACGTGCAGGAACAACACATGCCAAAAGGGAACAGTGAAATCATGCGAACATGCAAACAAAAACATAAGCACAGTGTAATTTCCATGTCTTGATGTTGTTTTACTGAAAAGGTTTGAATTTTATTTAAAGTGACCACCGTTTTTTTAAGTGCATGAGGCAGGCTCATCAATTAGGCAAGGTAGGGTGTCCCATATAGCCTCTTAACATTTTGCTTAGTCCAAAGTCAGAGTTAAAGTTCCAATTTCATTTGTGGGAGTAAATTTTAATTGATTTTTTGTTCTGATGGGGGGGGGGTGTTAGCGTTAGCTGGCAAGCCATCTCCGTATAGGCTGCTGTTTGACGGTTGGCATCTTGGTGAATCTGTAAAAAGTAAAAAGACCAAAAGCACAGTATTAAAATTGACAATTTTAACTGGTTTGTCATACTGTTGAACTTTTCAAGATTCAAAATTCAACATTCAATTTTTCTTTTTTTTTTGGGGGGGGGGGGTTACACTTGCCTCATGTATCACAGATGTCATGTTGAGCAAGTAGGCTCAGCAGTCATTCCCTGCTTCCGGTTGTCTGACATCTTTCACTCTCCTCAATTAAAGGCTTGAGATGTACCCTATGACAATCTCCATCCTGTAAAATAAAAAAAAAACTTCTCGGCCTAGGCAAACTAGGTCACATTAGTAACAATTCCTGTTTGGCTGTCCAACAAAGTAAAAGATACATTCATTTATTTTGATATTTTCTTGCGTAGGCCTAAGTTGTGTTTCCTTTTCCATGAGAAGAGTCCTTTTGAAAATCTTAGACTTTGTTTCAGGATTGTAGCTGTTAAGGCAATGCTCCAGGCATTGTCCTCCTTTTTACATCAATGTGCTAAATCATTACTTTTAGTAAATCCACCTCACAAATTCTCAATCGGCTAGTATAAATAAGTAGAGTCTACACTCATCTCTTGGTCCTCCTCCCTACTTCCGGCTACTTAGTTCCAGCTGAAGTGGTGTCAGGCGGGCAAGGTCATCCTCAACCAGAAGCTTCTTCATCAAGCCACTGTTGTCCATGAATAACAGGCTCCATTTTCTATTAACAGATCAAAAACAAAGAGAAAAGAAAACATTTCAGAATCAGGATTGACAAGATGTGTAATTCATCCTGCGAGGGGGAACTTAACCAGACAAGTGAAAAATAGTCTTTTTATGACAATTTAAATTTTTTATTTGTTTTCCTTTTTGAAACTCACTTCAAAAATCAGAAATGGGAAGCCCTACAAGCAGGTCATCCGTTCATCTGTTGGTCCTCCTCCCTGCTTCCGGCTCCTTACTTTCAGCTGAAGTGGGATGGGAAGAACAAGGTCATACTCAACCAGAAGCTTCTGCATCCAGCCACTCTCATCCATGTATACTAGGTTCCATTTTCTATTAACAGATCAAAAACAAAGAGAAAGGATTTAAGAATCTGGATTAATGAGATATGTAATTCAATCTGTAAGGGGGGAACAATCAGACAAGTGAAAACTAATCTTTTTATGACGATTTACCATTGTTCATCTGTTTTCCTTTTTGAAACTTACTTTAAAAATCAGAAATGGGAAGCCCTACAAGCAGGTCATCCGTTCATCTGTTGGTCCTCCTCCCTGCTTCCGGCTCCTTAGTTTCAGCTGAAGTGGTGTCAGGAGGGCAAGGTCATCCTCATACAGCCACTGTCATCCATGTATACCAAGCTTCGCTTTCTATTAAAATATTAATCATGAAGACAAAATAAGACATTTCAGCATCAGTTTTGACGAGAAAATCAAGTCATTCTGCACGGGGGAAACTTAATCAGACAAGTGAAACCTCCAAAATCAGAGATGTTATAGCCCGGCAAGCAGGTATCCTCTCTGCCTTGGACTCCTTAGTTTTACATTCAACCAGAAGCTTCTTCATCTTGCCATTTCATCCAGGTAGGCTTGTCTCCAAAACAAAGTGGGCAGAAAACTACAGAAATAGACTTGATGACTGCATTTTGTGAGGAGAACCTTTTTAAAAGCTTACCTTTGAAATCAGAATTGGAATCCCAGCAAGTAGGGTCGTCAGTTCTTGTGTAGTTCTTCTTCCCTTCTTCCGGTTCATAAGTTTCATCTGTTAAAATAAAAATTGAAATAAAAATTAAAAGTATTTTTTAAACATCTGAACTCCAATGTCTTGCAAGGTAATTATTCAGCAGCAAAACACCAGTAGATGATTTACAGTTTAGTATTTTGACATTGACATCACTATCCTTTTCTCTTTTTTATACGTCGTTGGGAAACCAACCTTTAAAATCAGAACTGGGTAGCCCTGTAAGCAGAGTCTTCAGTTCATCTGTCGGTCCTCCTTCCTGCTTCTGGTTCCTCGGAGGTATTCGTTTCCATCCCAACAAAGCAGCCTCTCCTCATCCAGTCAGTCTTACGCTTGTAGATGTGTATTCTTGGCTGAATGAGCTACAGGGAGAAAGAAAACTCGACCCAGCCTGGCTAGGTCACACCGTATCTCCACAGATGGTAAGAAAAGGCTTAATTTTATTGAAATCCCACCCAACAAAATAGTTACGAGGAAAGGAAAGATGAAAGCAAAAGTGTATTAAGAGAGAAGGTAAAAAAGCTACAGAAATCTATAAGCTATTTACAAATACATACATGCATGACTACTGAAGGCAATATAATATCATACACGTTCTGCCAATCGTTGCAGACTGGTCTCACTTTAAATCAAAGACAAGTTAAGAGTATAAGTACATGCTGACATAATGTATCCCTGCCAATCGTTGAAGATCGGACTTACTTTTTTTCTAATGCAAAACAAGACTAAGAATTACTTTTCGAGATGGCATAGTGCCATACATATAGTCACTGTTGGTGGTTCTATTAGACTTTTAAAAATTCTTCTTCACAAATATCAGAAGTGTAACTGCCGATCGTTGAATATCGGACTTACTGTTTAAAATTCAAGACACGGCTGGAAAAAAAAACTTTTGAAGATGACATAAAGCCACCAGAATCCCTGCCGATGCATTTATAGATCGGACTTACTATTTAATTAAACATTATTAGACACGGCTGAACTAAATGTTGTAAAGGTGACACATGACATGTCCCGAGATGCAGATCAAGAATGGAGGAAAAAAGCTTAACATTTCAACAAAGAAACAACTTTCAAAGAGTGATGGCTTGGCATACACTTGACAATAAACCTGTGGCATTGCATTTGTTTTTTTGTCACTACCACTTACTTTTCCCATAAAATATATTTGTTGACGATTTTCTTTATCTGTCCTTTTTAAAAAAAATATTTGCAGTAAAAATATTACTAATTTAAAAAGATATGTTCTCTCTATTGAATTTCAAGCTGGAATCATAGTTATTTTTGGGGCCAATTTTTTTTGTTTTTGCAAGAAGGTATCGCGGTTGACTTTCTTCGCATCGTTTTGTATTGTTTTTCATTTTGTGTTGTATTTTTGTGGGTGAGAAAAATACACAATTTAACAAATTTAACCAGTATTATTTGTCTCATGCAAAACCGCATATTTCTTTATTTTACAATAATTTCAAGTTTTTCCCATTTTTTTCTTTTGTTGGCTACCAGATTTCTAACATTATGTTTTTCAAACGAATCATTTCGTTGCCTAGTTCGAGGAAAGAAACTTCGGAATTCTCTCATTTCGTATTAAGTCGTATTGTATCGTAAATCATTTTAAGTTGTTTTTAAGTTTCGTTCGGTATCATTTTGTTACTTTTTTGTGGGAGAGAAAAGTAACACTTTTTTCAATTATAATTTTCTCACCATCGTATTGTATCGTGTCATATCGTACCCTCGCGTATTGTACCTTTGAGAAACAAATAACACTGATTTTCAAGTACTATTTCTTTCCCTACATTTTTTTTTGGGGGGGGGGGAGAACAATAACACTTTTTCAAACAATTACTTTTCTTACCACCACTATTGTATCGTATCGTATCATATCGTATCATGTCGTATCGTATCGTGTCGTATCGTGTCTTGTCGTATCGTGATGTACTGTATTATGTCGTATCGTATCGTATGCCGCTATCGTATCATCGCGTGTCATGTCATATTGCACCTTTGACAAAAAATAACACTGATTTTCAATTATTATTTCTTTCCCTACGTTTTTTGTGATTGAGAACAATAACAATTTTTCAAACAGTTATTTTTTTATACCACCGCTATTGTAGTGTATCGTATCGTGTCATATCGTATCGCGTCGTATCGTATCGTGTCGTATCATATCATGTCGTATCATATCGTATCGTATCATATCGTGTCGTATCGTATCGTATCGTATCATATTGTGTCGTTTCGTATCGTATCGTATCGTATCGTATCGTGTCGTATCGTATCGTATCGTATCGTGTCGTATCATATCGTATCGTATCGTGTCGTATCGTACCCTCGCGTATTGTACCTTTGAGAAATAAATAACACTGATTTTCAAGTATTATTTCTTTCCCTACTTTTTTTTTAGGGGTGAGAACAATAACACTTTTTCAAACACTTATTTTTTTATACCACCGCTATTGCAGCATATCGTAGCGTATCGTGTCGTATCGTGTCGTGTCGTATCGAATCGTATCGTGTCGTGTCGTATCGTATCGTATCGTATCGTATCATATCGTGTCGTATCGTATCGTATCGTATCGTGTCGTATCGTATCGTATCGTATCGTGTCGTATCATATCGTATCGTATCGTATCGTGTCGTATCGTACCCTAGCGTATTGTACCTTTGAGAAATAAATAACACTGATTTTCAAGTATTATTTCTTTCCCTACTATTTTTTTGGGGGTGAGAACAATAACACTTTTTCAAACAGTTATTTTTTTATACCACCGCTATTGTAGCATATCGTAGCGTATCGTGTCGTATCGTATCGTGTCGTATCATATCGTATCGTGTCGTATCGTACCCTCGCGTATTGTACCTTTGAGAAATAAATATTATTATATATTTTTTGTACCACCACTATTGTATCGTATCGTATCGTATCGTATCGTATCGCGTCGTATCGTTTCGTGTCGTATCATATCATGTCGTATCTTATCGTATCGTATCGTGTCGTATCGTATCGTATTGTATCGTATCGTATCATATCGTATCGTATTTTATCGTGTCTTACCCTCGCGTATTGTACCTTTAAGAAATAAATAACACTGATTTTCAAGTATTATTTCTTTCCCTACTTTTTTTTGGGGCGTGAGAACAATAACACTTTTTCAAACAGTTATTTTTTTATACCACCGCTATTGTAGCATATCGTAGCGTATCGTGTCGTATCGTATCGTGTCGTATCATATCGTATCGTGTCGTATCGTACCCTCGCGTATTGTACCTTTGAGAAATAAATAACACTGATTTTCAAGTATTATTTCTTTCCCTACTTTTTTTGGGGGGGTGAGAACAACAACACTTTTTCAAACAATTATTTTTTGTACCACCACTATTGTATCGTATCGTATCGTATCGTATCGTATCGCGTCGTATCGTATCGTGTTGTATCATATCGTGTCGTATCGTATCGTATCGTATCGTATCGTATCGTATCGTATCGTATCGCGTCGTATCGTATCGTGTTGTATCATATCGTGTCGTATCGTATCGTATCGTGTCGTATCGTATCGTATTGTATCGTATCGTATCGTGTCGTATCATATCGTATCGTATCGTGTCGTATCGTACCCTCGCGTATTGTACCTTTGAGAAATAAATAACACTGATTTTCAAGTATTATTTCTTTCCCTACTTTTTTTTTGGGGGGTGAGAACAATTACACTTTTTCAAACAGTTATTTTTTTATACCACCGCTATTGTAGCATATCGTAGCGTATCGTGTCGTATCGTATCGTGTCGTATCATATCATGTCGTATCGTATCGTATCGGATCGTATCGGGTTGTATCGTATCGTATCGTATCGTATCGTGTCGTATCGTATCGTATCGTGTCGTATCATATCGTATTGTATCGTATCGTATCGTGTCGTATCATATCGTATCGAATCGTGTCGTATCGTACCCTCGCGTATTGTACCTTTGAGAAATAAATAACACTGATTTTCAAGTATTATTTCTTTCCCTACTTTTTTTGGGGGGGTGAGAACAACAACACTTTTTCAAACAATTATTTTTTGTACCACCACTATTGTATCGTATCGTATCGTATCGTATCGTATCGCGTCGTATCGTATCGTGTTGTATCATATCGTGTCGTATCGTATCGTATCGTATCGTATCGTATCGTATCGTATCGTATCGCGTCGTATCGTATCGTGTTGTATCATATCGTGTCGTATCGTATCGTATCGTGTCGTATCGTATCGTATTGTATCGTATCGTATCGTGTCGTATCATATCGTATCGTATCGTGTCGTATCGTACCCTCGCGTATTGTACCTTTGAGAAATAAATAACACTGATTTTCAAGTATTATTTCTTTCCCTACTTTTTTTTTGGGGGGTGAGAACAATTACACTTTTTCAAACAGTTATTTTTTTATACCACCGCTATTGTAGCATATCGTAGCGTATCGTGTCATATCGTATCGTGTCGTATCATATCATGTCGTATCGTATCGTATCGGATCGTATCGGGTTGTATCGTATCGTATCGTATCGTATCGTGTCGTATCGTATCGTATCGTGTCGTATCATATCGTATTGTATCGTATCGTATCGTGTCGTATCATATCGTATCGAATCGTGTCGTATCGTACCCTCGCGTATTGTACCTTTGAGAAAAAATAACACTGATTTTCAAGTATTATTTCTTTCCCTACTTTTTTGGGGGGGTGAGAACAATAACACTTTTTCAAACAGTTATTTTTTTATACCACCACTATTGTAGCATATCGTAGCGTATCGTGTCGTATCGTGTTGTGTCGTATCGAATCGTATCGTATCGTATCGTATCGTATCGTATCGTATCGTATCGTATCGTATCATATCGTGTCGTATCGTATCGTATCGTATCGTATCGTGTCGTATCATATCGTATCGTATCGTGTCGTATCGTGCCCTCGCGTATTGTACCTTTGAGAAATAAATAACACTGATTTTCAAGTATTATTTCTTTCCCTATTTTTTTTTGGGGGGTGAGAACAATAACACTTTTTCAAACAATTATTTTTTGTACCACCACTATTGTATCGTATCGTATTGTATCGTATCGTATCGCGTCGTATCGTATCGTGTCGTATCATATCGTGTCGTATCGTGTCGTATCATATCGTATCGTGTCGTATCGTATCGTATCGTATCGTATCGTGTCGTATCGTATCGTATTGTATCGTATTGTATCGTGTCGTATCATATCGTATCGTATCGTGTCGTATCGTACCCTCGCGTATTGTACCTTTGAGAAATAAATAATACTGATTTTCAAGTATTATTTCTTTCCCTACTTTTTTTTGGGGGGTGAGAACAATAACACTTTTTCAAACAGTTATTTTTTTATACCACCGCTATTGTAGCATATCGTAGCGTATCGTGTCGTATCGTATCGTGTCGTATCGTATCGTGTCGTATCATATCGTATCGTATCGTGTCGTATCGTACCCTCGCGTATTGTACCTTTGAGAAATAAATAACACTGATTTTCAAGTATTATTTCTTTCCCTACTTTTTTTTGTTGGGGTGAGAACAATAACACTTTTTCAAACAATTATTTTTTGTACCACCACTATTGTATCGTATCGTATCGTATCGTATCGCATCGTATCGTATCGTGTCGTATCATATCGTGTCGTATCGTATCGTGTCGTATCGTATCGTATCGTATCGTGTCGTATCATATCGTATCGTATCGTGTCGTATCGTACCCTCGCGTATTGTACCTTTAAAAACTAAATAACACTGATTTTCAAGTATTATTTCTTTCCCTACTTTTTTTTGGGGGTGAGAACAATAACACTTTTTCAAACAGTTATTTTTTTATACCACCGCTATTGTAGCATATCGTATCGTATCGTGTCGTATCGTATCATGTCGTATCGTATCGTGTCGTATCATATCGTATCGTTTCGTGTCGTATCGTACCCTCGCGTATTGTACCTTTAAGAAATAAATAACACTGATTTTCAAGTATTATTTCTTTCCCTACTTTTTTTTTGGGGGTGAGAACAATAACACTTTTTCAAACAATTATTTTTTGTACCACCACTATTGTATCGTATCGTATCGTATCGTATCGCGTCGTATCGTATCGTGTCGTATCATATCATATCGTGTCGTGTCGAATCGTATCGTATCGTATCGTATCGTATCCTATCGTGTCGTATCGTATTGTATTGTGTCGTGTCGTATCATATCGTATCGTATCGTATCGTGTCGTATCGTACCCTCGCGTATTGTACCTTTGAGAAATAAATAACACTGATTTTCAAGTATTATTTCTTTCCCTACTTTTTTTTTAGGGGTGAGAACAACAACACTTTTTCAAACAGTTATTTTTTTATACCACCGCTATTGTAGCATATCGTAGCGTATCGTGTCGTATCGTATCGTATCGTGTCGTATCATATCGTATCGTATTGTATCTTGTCGTATCGTACCCTCGCATATTGTACCTTTGAGAAATAAATAACACTGATTTTCAAGTATTATTTCTTTCCCTACTTTTTTTGGGGGGTGAGAACAATAACACTTTTTCAAACAATTATTTTTTGTACCACCACTATTGTATCGTATCGTATCGTATCGTATCGCGTCGTATCGTATCGTGTCATATTGTACCTTGGAGAAATAAATAACACTGATTTCAAAAATTATTTCTAACTCTACAGTTGTGATTTTTTTCATTAGAGTATTGCAGATATGTACACAGTCAGAGACTAGAAACTTTAAAAATCACTAAAAGAAAGCACACCACACACAAGAAATAATCACACTGTACGCAAGAAATAATCACAACGTACACAAGAAATAATCACACCGTACACAAGAAATAATCACACGGTACACAAGAAATAAGCACACCGTTCACAAAAAATAATCACACCATACACAAGAAATAATCACGTGGTAAACTGAGAGCAATTCATAAACACAGTCATTACTGTTGGCAAAGTGATGATTGTTTTTTTCCTTCTTACTTTCAATCATCACTTTTTCAAACAGCAAACTGATTTTCTTCAGTTCACAAATTATAATTTAACTCTCTAATGGTTTTTATGTTGATTATCGGGCAGGATGGAATTCGTTTCTTTCTTTATATTTATAGAAACGAATTAGTACCAGTCAATGCCCGAATTGATGACTCAGAGTTTTTGAAAATTGTTTGCTTTGGAAGGTTATATATTTCGTTTAAAATGCCTATTAAGGACAGCGCCCCAGACGCTGTGACATCTCAGTTCTTCTTTGTCTTCCTCATCGAATAATGAGTCGCATAAGAAGTCGTTTTTTAATTATAAGGCTGATGGATCATATTCCAAGTAGTGCGACTAATGCTCGTTGCAGTTCATCTTCACTGAATTGTCTAACTTGAAATGTCATTGATGATTCAATAATAAGATTTATAAGGCATAAAGCCTTTGCATTCTGACAGTGTTCAAGGCGTCTGACCTTGTTCCAGACGCATGCCGCTGAAGTCCATTTTATCAGTTCTCCTTTGTATTCCTCATGGAATAAGTCATATAAGCAGTCCTTTTTCAACTTATGATAAACCTTATTATAAGGCTGTTGGATCATAGTCCAAGCAGTGTGACTGTTCATTGCAGTTCCTCTTCACTGAATTGTCCAACTTGAAATGTCATTGATGATTCAATAATAAGATATAGAAGGCATAAAGCCTTTTCATTCTGACAGTGTTCAAGGCGTCTGACCTTGTTCCAGACGCATGCCGCTGAAGTCCATTTTATGTGTTTTCAACTGGTTCTTTTCAGAACCACATAATTCACTTAGCTAAGAGACACCATTCACATGGTGCTACCACAAGACCCCATTATATGCAAATACCAAGTCTTTTCATTTCATCTCTTGAAATATCTTTTTATTTAGTAATTACTTGCCCAATTATCCGGTGGGGTTTTCTCTCCATAAAGAATCATGTCCGAAGTTTGTAGGAATTCCTGGCAAGCTCAGCAAGCACAGTCCACAGTTCCGAGTTCCGTAGGTTCTCCTCCCTGCGTTTTCCTCCTAGCAGCAACGGGGCCTCCATCAGAAGCCTCAACCAGAAGCCTCTTCATCTGACCACTCTCATCCAGATATGACAGGCTGCCATTTCTATTATGTCAAAAACAAAGAGAGAAGAAAACAGTTCAGAATCAGGATTGGCAACAGACGCACTTCAGTCTGCGAGAAGGAATCTGACAAGAAGAGAGAAAACTAGTCTTGATATGAAAATATTTTATACAATTCTTGGGTTCTTAGTTTGGGTTTTCTCTCCATGCATGCAGCAGTGTTCCAAACACTGTCGTATTTTAGTTTAAAGTGGATCCCTTCCACATAGAATCATCTTTTCCTTTGAATGAATTTTTATTCAAGCTAACTTAGGCTGTACCACCTATTTCAAGTATGGATAGGGGCCTACATGAACTAAAAATAATACATTTTGCTCACTGATCGCACTTGGAAATTTTCTCTTAGATCCACTCTGCCAACAGAGGACAGTGGTTTTTAATGTTTAACCAAAAAAAATAAAAAAGGTCCAGAACACCAGTTCATACACCAGTATACTGATTTTGAAGGAGTGTTGACAATGCTGCTGATGGCATTGTCACAAGTTAGTCAAATGTTACAGAAACTAATATTATGATTATGCACATTTTTTTATAATTGAGGGTTTATACTACAAGACAACTCCTAAAGTTAAGAGGCTCCCTTAAATTGTCAGTGAGATGAATTTTCCTTAAGAACACATTTTCTACAACTTTATGCTCTTCCTAAATACATGCATGTATATAACACAACTTGACATCCCTTTTTGGTGAATTTTATTGAAAAGTGCACTTCACTAAACATTGTTTGAAATTCCACGATTTTCTAAATACCCGAGGGCACTGTTGCTCTGATTTCATTTCAGGAAGACACTGTAAAGTTCAGGGGTTTTCTGTTCAAAGTGTGAACCAAAACATTTGCTCATTGAAACCATTTTGTGACAAAAAATGCTCATCTTGGCTAACTGCCATGTACTGACTCAACAAATATCTACCAAAGAAAAGAACATTTACAACAGTAAAATATCCACAATTCTGGCATTTTTTGGTGCTGAAATAGCTGTTGCATTGAGGTTTCTGCCTGAAATGACATCACACTTTTGCTAATGAATATGGAAATTACCATAAGCATCAAGCTAAATACCCTTGAAAATGGCAAAACTAAAAGAAAAAGGTTGTGCCCATTCCCCCCCCCCCAGATCTCAGCCATCGAATGCCACACAATTATGAAACTTGGTGAAATGCAGAGAACAACCTAATATAAACATACCCAAGAAATTTCCTGACTATAGGTAAATGGTTTTACAAGTATGGCTAATTAATTCTTAATATGTACATAGGCTATGGTATTAATTCTGCTTTGTGTATATATAAGTCGGAAGTCAAATTTAACCTAAAAAGTTATTGGCTGTGCAGCAACCTATTGTCAGAATTTCTTTTGTTTGTTATGCAGATACATAATCACTAAGTCACAAAAGATACGCAAGACTCTAGGATAAAAAGTCAGGAACTTTGGTCTGACCAGAGACCGAGTATTTTTTTTTGGGGGGGGGGGCCTTACTACCACTGACCAATCATTATAAAGCTTACATGAATGTAATGAGCAAAAGTTAAGACTCCAGACAACGATGACAAACTGTCAGTCGAGAAGTATATAACAGAAGGTTTGATTTAGCAAGTAGTTCCACATTGCCACTAGATTTTAGTGAGAATGTGTTGACATTAAAGGGGAAGGACAATATTTATGTAAGTTGAAAAACAAGTCTGGTACTAAATTGAAAAAAAGGTGAGTTCTTCTGTCAAAAAATGCATGATTCATTGATATTTGTCATTATGGTTTCAAGATATTTTTAAACGGAATGTACATCATTGGCTTTTGCTTTAATTTTCAGAAATGAACTATTTGAGGGGTTAGTATATTAGATCAAATTATAGTTGCACTAACATGTTTGAAGATGATTGTGTTCGGAAATGCTGAGAAAAACCAAGAAAAACAAAAATGTTCAAGTAGTCTGGTTCCCTGACTCCACTGAAAATTAAATGGATCAATTTATAGATGCCGGAAAATTGTACGGTAAGGGAACCAGTCTAGTTGGCCTGCCCCCCCCCCCCCCCATTCATGAACATGCAACCAATAGGAAACAAAATTTGGACTGAAGAAAAAATGGTAAATTTGGAGCAGCAGTTAAAAAATAGTTAGGTTTTTCCAACGGTGGTCGGCCGACCAACCGTTGGAAATGTATACAAAAATACCATTTACTTGAAAATGACTTCACACCAGGTGCCATAATTTTACAGGATGCTTTAGACTGTCATTTACCAACATCCTGTAAGGTATTTCGTAAAAACTTGGTAGTTTTATTTTTCGATGCTTGCAAATGTTGCAATTTCCCTTTAATGGTACGTTTTAAAATGGTCATGTGGCTGCATGATATTTACCACACTTGCAAAAGTAACAATGCAAATGAGTGCTATGTTCTGTTCTTTTCAGTATTTTCCACTAATTTCAAAATATTTTGTTGAGTTTCCCTGACTGTCCTGCCTTATGTCCTACCACAAATTATCCATATTTGAACTAAAGTTAATGCCATTTTTTGCACTTAGCACTGATTTTCTACTCTACATTTTGGTTAGTTATCTGAAATAACTAGCATAAAAATTACTGATTTTTATGCACTATAATTTCAAAGGCAACAGTCTGAAATCCTCCATACCACTGGAATGCTATACTCTCTTAATTACACACTAATTCAAAACATTGTGGATGTCTTTGATAACCAAATGATTATTTTCAGTGTTTGAACAGTCTGTCAATTATTTTTCCACCCAGGAAAAACATGCTTTGTCAGCCATAAACATCACCTGGCCATCCAGAGAGTGGCCACATTCCAAGGTCTTGGCACAACTTCAAAAACTTTTTGGGATCAGCTGAGCCTGTAGCCACGCCTACTATTTTGTTCACAGGTGCCAAAATGTAATACAATTTCATCACAGCACCAGATTGATCAATATGCAAATTAACTTGAAAAGGGCTCCAGAGATGTCTTTTGATACTCTACACAATGGGCTAGACTTAGTTTACAGTTTAGAATGAACAGAGTGGAATTTAATTTTAATGCCCTAGGTGAAGCTTATAGAAAATATAGGTCCATGACCTTTGACTGCAAACAAAAAATAAGGGGAATCTTTACACTAAAATGAAAATCTTATACAGTACATTAAGTAAAGCTGTTGTCTAAGTTTGTAAATGAAAGGGCAGGCAATGTACTTTTTGTAATGCTATCCTTGAGTCCCATTTTAAACTTACTTTCAATTTCCGTTTTTCCATTTTGAGGCTAGTTTTCGTGCCTTTTTGGTTGTTATGCTGATGCAAATTTCCATATTCAGTATAAGCAAAACTGTGAATGTCAAACCACAACGTTACGGCTCAGACACAAGTTGGATATTTAGTGAAAGGACATTACAGCAATAGCGCCCGCAATTGACCGGAAAAGCAAGATTTTCCCTAGTGATTAAAGAAGTGGTTTTTTTGGGGGGGGTTTTGCAGACATTTAACCAAAAGAGATGTCAAACAGTTTTCATACATGTAAGAGGAATAGAAAGTAGCAAAAAATGTGTTTCTTATAAAATTCATCGCATGAAAATAGCTTTCACTCACCTCAGATATCTGTATTCTTGCGTGAAGCTAGAGCATCCTCCAAGTCGAGGTTCAGTTCGAGTTCAACGCGTTCAGTAGGCCTACTACTTTGTTTCATGTTCAGTTCCATTCAAGTTCAGTTTAACGCAATCTGTGACGCTCGGTACTCCGGACTCCGCTCCGAGCTTGTGCCGACTCTCCAGGCCGGGCGGGATTCTCCGCCGTGCGAAGCCTGTGATGATGCGGTGGCTTGTACAATGCCTTGAAGAGAAGATGGTTTGAAATTGGTGCGCTGAGCTGGCTGAGAAGAGCAGCCAGTTCAGAAAAGACCAAATGGAGGATGCCAGGATGAATTTACAACTTTGTGTGCACATTAATTGAGATGATGCGAAAAAGTCGCGCTTGTTACGAGGAGCAAACTTTCTGAGGTCCTCTCCTGTTGAAATTCATCTGCGGAGTGAGATAAAAGTGAAAAGACGAGCTGTTTTTTTACGCGCACCAAAGGCAAATGGTCCAGAGTATATCACTCCGCTTATGCCATTTTTTATGATTTTTTTGTCTGTAAAGTGCATTTTTTAATAAAATATATGAAAAAGTGAAGCCATGAATGCGGTCGATAAGAAAATAAGAATAAGTGTAAAATTTATAATGAATAACATCATTTCATAAAACTTTAGGCCCTATTTTTTTCGAAATCAGAGTCAGACGATAGAAGGCCGATGACGTAATGCTAACGGGTAATTGCGATTGGTCAGAAGTGTGAAGAATGACCGCGCTTTGTTAATCTGGGCATTTTGATAGGTTAAGACGGACTAAAACAGGTGAGAAGTTTACTGCGTGGGCGGGAAGGGAAATTTGACTCGAAAGTTGTCCCAACCGGTTCCAACCGGTTCCATAGACTTGCCAAGTCACATAATTATCCAGAAAAAATGTGCAAAAGGTGATGGGATGAAGTAATGCAAATGGAAGGAAAGCTGCATACGAATTTTTTTCAATGTCAGAAATCCTAACAAATTAATCGAAGGTTTGTGAAAAAAAGCAGAGGTTAGATGGCGTAATTAGGGTCCAATTTTCAGGGCTGGGGGAGACAGATTGTGCATCAGTTCCAGGGACGTTACTTGCACCATACATGTACACTAACACAAAAGAATATTGTGGATTTAGACTAGAATTTAGGGGGCAGGGATTTTTTTCAATAATAAAAAATCTTAAAGAGGGGAACATCTTAAAATAAAAAAAGTAAAAATTAAGGCTGAAAATGTGGAATACTTAAAAAGTTACAGATTTCTTTGTATAACTGTTTATAGTTTCCCCAAGGAATTTGGACCCAGACATGTGTTCTCTTCAAACAGTAGTAACCACTAAGTGATTTTCAAGTGCCTTACCCCCCCCCCCCACCCCCATAATTGGATATATTGCTCCTAACCCAATTAATTAGGTGTTCAGTTGCTTGCAAAATGAAACACTTACATTTTGCTCTGAAATGTTCCTAGTTCCTGTCCAGATTGAATTTTTAAGAATACCTGAGATATATTTGTAAACAGTAGGGGGAACATGCAGTATATGTTCAAAATAAAATTACACACAAACATTTAAAACATAAATTCATTTTCACAGCAATACTCATATTTTATTTATTTACAATGTGTACATCAATATCACTGCTCTGTACATTTTCTGTTGAGACCACATGTACATACATACATCACAAAAATAAGTTTTACACAAAAAGTGCTTTCTGGGATTTTGAACTAAGTATATTTCTACAATGAACTCTGAGCTTTATTTTGTTATTACAATTCTACAATGACAGTTTTTTTGACAAAAAATTGTCAAAAAAATGTCGGTCCAACATTTGGACCAATGTTGATTTTATTTGTGATTAGAGATTCATAATCGGAAATGTTTCCAAAAGAAGAAATTCTGTACTAAATGGAGTTCAGCAAAAAAATGCAAGTTTTCCCCTTTGAAGTAATCTCAGATTTAAAGGTAATATACAACATTTGCAAACATCAACAAAACAAAAAGCTTCCAAAATATTATGAAAACCTTACTTGCCTTAAAGTGAATAACAGTCTCTAGCATCCTGTGAAATAATGGCACATGCAGTGCAGCCATTTTCAAGAAAAGTTGAATTTAATTTTTGTATCAATTTCTAAAGATTGTCGGCTGACCATCAATGGAAAAAACTGACTTTTTTTCAAAACAGTGCCCCAAATGTACCAAATTTAGTTAGTCCACATTTTGTTTGCAATCAGTCACACATCCGTGAATGGGTGCAAGCCAGCTAGGCTGGTTCCCTGACCTGACAATTCCCAGACGTCTATTAATTGCTCCGTTTCGTCTGCAGTAGGGTCAGGAACCAGACTACAGGAACAGCATTGTTTTCTTGGGTTTTTCCAGCACCTATGAACACAAACCTTTTAACAGGTCAGTGTAACAATGTTTGCTAAAAAAATACTAACCCCAAATCCATCCATTTCTAAAAAATTACAGCAAAGGCAAACGTTGTATATTCCCTTTATAGTGGGGGAGTGTGGACTAGTGGTTAGGGTTCAGGACTCATGATCACAGGGTCGGGGATTCAAATCCAGCCGCTGGCCATATATTGTGTCCTTGGGCAAGCCACTTCATCCCCACTTGCTCTCTCCACCCAGGAGTATAAATGGGTACCGGCATTAGCTGGGGAATAACCTGCAATGGACTAGCATCCCGTACAGGGGAAATTCTCAGTTGTTTCATGCTACTGAAACTGGAGATAAACGGTTGGGCCAGCCTGATGGGCCACATTGGCTCATAACAGACTTTACTACTATATTCCCTTTAAGACGAGCTCGGATGTTAAACAGTTACAGTCCTGGTCTCAAAATGAGAATAGCAAAACTGGGTTTGCCCAGTCGAGCTGGACCTGAAAGTGTCAGTGTAGGACATTATTTACGAGAGAAAATCAGTCAGTTAGTCAGTCAGTGACTCAGGCAGCCAGAGGGGAGTAAGACTGGTCCTTCAGGTCCAGCAAAACTAACTGTAGGTTTGTTTTTGAGAGAGGCAGACAGATTCCAGACTTGTTTTGTTTCTAAGATCCAGCCGAGTTGAAGAAGTCGATGAGGTTCTGCAGCTCGTAGTTATCCAGGACCTCTAGGAGCTGAGGCACTTTGGTCTTGACGTTGGATCCCTTGAACTTGAACTTGTCAATGAAAAGATCTGTGATCATTCCTGGAGAAGAAAAAAAGGAGAAAAAAATACAAATAATCAACGAGTTTGGTCGCAGTTGCTTGCTGCAGTATAGTTTCTGTCAAATGTTTTCTCCTAGAACTTATGAACATGCAAATCATACCCCACAAACAGTCCAGAATTTTGAGGTCCAATATGGGGGGGGGGGAGATAAACGTCCTTACTCAAAGCTGAGAAGCTGAATTGCGAAGGACGCGGCTACAACGTGGTCGAGCCGCAGGCATGTAAAGGCGCCTGTGGCAGCCGCCATACGACCCATGTATGACCATGGAGCACAGCCAGAGATCAAAAGTGTTGATTTTTGGCAGAGGGAGGAAAACGGGAGAACCCAGAGAAAAACCTCTGTGGCACAGGAGAGAATTGACAAACAACCCCACTCACCTATGGCCCGTGCTGGGAATCGAACCCAAGCCACAGAGGTGAGAGGCAAGCACTTAATGCACTAGCCACCCATGCCACCCATGTGCCAAAACAAGAGCCCATGCGTGGCCATGTCTGAATTTCTTGACTACGGCTAACATTAGCACTGGAGTATAGTGCAACTGGCTTCAGCCGCTAACATAGGCGCATGTGTCATTGCAAGCCGTAGGCAAGAAATTAAGTTGTGGCTTTCCCAGTATGTGTCCGATCTCATTTTGAGAAATTGACAATTGAGTCACCTTCAACCAAAGTGGGCCAAAGATAAGTTTATACATGTATTCCTTACCATACAATCTTTCTAGGTGGCACGGTTGTTTCTTGTACTCAGCCTGTAGTGTGCCCGCATCGCTCAGTATCTGCCGATACTCGGGGGACATGAACTCTAGATCACCCTCGTGGATCTGTAACTCCTGTGTGGAGAAAACAAACCATTGTCTCGTGTCAAACAGTTTGCATCTAGTGTCAAATAGTTTAATTGAGCTAGTTCAAGGTCATGTATTGCAACTTTTTATAATTAGGGAATAAATATGTGCTTGGCCAGTTTTAAACAAGTACATTTAAAACCGGCTCAGGGCATTTTCCGCGTCCAGGCACTGAGCTGGTTTTAAACATATTTGTTTAATACCGGCAAAGCACATATTTGTTGCCATTCATTACTACCTTTTGGTCAAACAGTCAAACAGGTCAACAATTATAAATTTCCAATTATTTTTTCAACAAATTCACTTCATGTGTTGCGAAAAAACCCTCCAGCACCCGATTTCACGAAGCGACGCGTCGCAACTCGAGTAACGACGTGTAACACGTCGCAACTCGCGACGCGTCGTATCTTCCATTTCACTAAAGTTGCGATGTGTTGAACGCGTCGTAAGTTCCTTGACAACGGCTTAAAACACGTCGCAAGTTACGACGTGTCTAGTGGTCATCGCAAAATAAGAAGAGTCATTTCTAAGCCAGTTTTATGCCACAAACATTACATTAACGAGATTATAATACCGAGGCAATGTGTGTAAAGTTGTAAATAGAAAATTCATTGAATAATTATGAATTAGACCGGAATATTAGAGTTGAAATTTCAAAGTAGCTATACAGTCCAATGAGAGCTTGTTTTCCTTCAAAATTGCATCACACGGCTGCCATTTTGTTTTACGTTTTAACAAATTTCGAGCCGAGATCCAACGACTCTTTGTTGAATATCAGACGACTATTTACTGTACGCTGACTAAAGACATAAAACAGTCACCGAGTTGTGCTATAAATACACCTACGACGCGTCGCACTTACGACGTGTTTAGTGAAATGGATCGCAGGACGCGTCACAGCTGCGATGCATCGTAGAGATGCGACGCGTCGCAGCGCTGCGATGCATCGTAAGTTACGAAGAGTTTGATGAAATCGGGTGCAGCTCTGTGCGAGTAGTACTAAAATCTCGTGCGAGTAGTACTAAAATCTCCTTATATGGAGATTGGTGCGACTGTGGCACGTACTGCGTGATGTGGCACGTACTGCGTGATGTGTCACAGAATGCAGCAGTGCAGTGTAGTGTGCATTTAGGGCTCTATGAAATACAGACTCACTGGTAGTATTGTGCATGTCTAAGTGAAGATAATTAGGAGAGTGTGGACAGGTCACGTGTGAAGAATATATAGAACAGTAAAAGACCAATAAAACAGTAAAAGGGACCAGATTTCATAGGAGTCCAAATTTCAAGTGACACCTGGAAAAAGTGTTTAAAAGCAGTTGGTGTTTTATCAACCGTTTAAAACCACCCACGTGACGGGCTCTCAACCAATAGGAATGGGTAAACTGTCTTAGGTATTTATGAATAACTTCTTATGGTGTTGTTGCTACACATGGCTGAGATTTTTTTTTAATATTCAGGAAGGCTCCAAAGAAACCATGACTATTAAGTTGAGGGTAAATAATGCCCTGAACATTAGCACGAATGATTTTTGTTAAATCTACCTTCAGTGCATCTATGAGTTGGACCTTCTTAGCAAGCAAGAGCTGATACTCTAGCTTGGGGTGTAGCCGCCTCAGCGTATCAGGGATAGAATCATCCTGGAGCTCATAGCTGATGTTCAGATTGATCTTGCGTTTGGTTGCCTCTTTGGTCAAGACGTCTTTCAGGATGGAGACGGTGGAGATGTTGTCCGAGCGGAAGATGCCCTCCCCTTTCCTGGAGGGAAAAAAAATTGCATACTTTGTTTTTGTACATTTACTTTAAAGGGACATTACGACCTGAAATCCCCGAAAATTTTATGTTTTGGATTGTTTACTTATCCTGTTTCAAAGGTCTGGTTGAAAGGGAACTAACCTAATGTCCTACCGTTTCCGAGATGCGGCGGACATTTTGTGGCATACACATACATATTTGCAGCAGTGTCAATTCAATGTATGTACACGATGTGTGTGTGACACATAATACTAACAGCACTAATACACAAATGTTGTTTCTCACACGTTCGCATAATATGATGCACTGGTGGAACACGTGCGGCAGGATTCACAACTAGCACCCAACAGAGTCAAAATGTTGACCCCCGAAATTCGTTCTCGCAAGAATAACACAAAAACGCAGAGCCACTCACCTGTACAGGCAGTCCAGCTGAGTGTCCAGAAACGTGGACAGGAAGTGAAAGTTGATGGAATCCCCCGGCGGGGTGCGTTCGGGGATCTCTGGTAGGCAAAAACAGACCCAGGAGTGGATCTCGGCCAGACTGAACTGACCGCTCAACTTCAGGGTGTTCATGGGCCTGTGTCCAAAAAAAGGAAAGACAATAGCTTCAGTTGAAACTTTTTAGTGGAGAGATTATGATTTAAAAAATTGGGCTCTTCATAGTACGGTTGCTGGATTTAATAGTAACCACTATTACGATGTATTGAATTCAGCAATTTCATACTAAGACTTCTCACTCACCTTGTGTCATCCAGCACATGTGTTCTCTGGTGTAAGGACAGCGGTTTGATCTTGTACTGTCTGACTTGGCAGGTCTTGGGCTGCAGTCGTGGGGTGATGTAGGCCTGAAGGGTCCCGTACTGGCCCTCGATGGACCGCACCTTAAGCTCCAGGCGGGTGGTGTTGGCTTGGCAGCGATACGTGGCCAACAGAAAGTTGCCATTCTAAACAATGGGAAAAATTGTCAAAGTGACATATGGAGTTTGGCAAAACTACAAATCTCAAAAGTGAAGATTTTTGGCACAGTTAGGTGGCACTTATAAAGAGCACGCTTAGAACATAACTTTTCAAACAATGAGACCGAATCTAATGAAGTAAGATTCAAAAGCATCCGTTTTTTCCAGTTTTTCATTGCATGAGAAAGAGCACACTTGGCATTTCGTTTTGATGTAACACTCGGTTATACAGGGTGGTAACAAACAAACGCAACCTCATACTTCAACTATTCAGAGACCTACACTGTTGATATAAATGGATAGGAAATTTTGTTGGAAGGGAAATGATACCAAGAACTCCCGAACGGTCCAGTAGTTTCAAGGCAACAACTGCAAGTGCATTTCTATACTGGTCTCGTGCTGGTCTCTGCCCAAAATTCCGAGAACAGTAGGCGTGAGACCAAGACCAGCCTTTTCTTCCAAGACCATGCGTGGTCGAGACCGAGAACACGTTCAAACTTGTCTCGAGACTGGTCTCAAGACCAAGACTAGTCTCAACGGCTACAACACAGGCGTTTACCTACCTCAGTATCGCATGCGCTGTAGCTAACCACAGCCGAGTTCTTATCCACGTCCAGCAGGTCAATGGGCACGTCGCTCTGCAGCAGCACGTTGTCTATGGCCACCTGCACCTCAATACTGAGCGTGTAGCTGGCATCGTCACGGTTCAGCGAGAAGCGGTCGTTGATGTTGAAGTACGGCACGGCCGAGATGGCTTTGGTGTTCATGGCAGAGTAGTGGTACTTCTCTCGCTCCTGGATCACACGGCGTTGGAGACCCTCCAGCTCAGCTCTAGAAATGAGAGAAACCAGACCAGATAAACTTACCAGGGTAAAGCGTTAGCTGTTGCCAGTGTTCTAGTTGTGTCATTTTTTATCTGACTGCCCACAAACCTTAAGCGTCTTTGCGTGGATGCATGACACACCATGGCCAAGCATCTGTTTAACTGCTCATCGCAAAAACATTCACAGCAAACTTGCCGCTATCAATATGTTGGCAATTTTTTGCAAATACACTGTGCGAATACTTGCTGTGACGTAACAAAATGTGTATTCATGTTCACTTTCGCGTCAAAGTATGAAGTAGTCCTTTAACATGAATCTTAAAAGATTTCTGGCGAGTCTTACTTGAGGCTGGAGATCTTATTCTGCGTATCCTGGCTGACCTTGACCTTGTCTCCAGGCCCCGCCTCTTTAAGGGGCGGTTCTGTGCTTAGACCCTGGATCCAACCTGTAAACAAAATGTGGCAAAACAAGCAAAAATGTACCTTACATTACAAGTCCAATAATGGAGGGGAAAAAAAAAACAGACAAACTGCCATCACAGTCCATCCATCAGTTCACTGAAAGCAAATTTTTAGTTTACTGAAGATCGTTTGGCGACTTCAAAGATTTGAGGAGTGACGGGGGATAACTGACCTGCATATGTGCAAGCCACCACCTCATCATAGCCTGGGGTGGCCACCGTACCTCCCTGGATGGAACTGATGCTTTCACTTAGCGTCTGCCAAAAAAAGGGGAAATTTGATGGAAAACAGGTAGAATGTTGAATCTTGACAGCTGTACTAAATGACGAAGAATATATTCATTTTTGGGGGTATTGTCTTCCCCTGAAAATATACACTGACTAGATGTGTGGAGATGTGACCAAAGTAGAGTTATCACAGGTATGGGACGAAATGTAAAATAGGCCTTAACTGAAACTAATATTAGGCTTGGCCTTCGCCAATGTCAATAGCAAAACCCAATATTGATATTATTATTTTTTACCTACAGTTTGCACGCTTGTAAGATTACATTACAATTTTGTAGCGTTTTAGTTGAGTCAATCACAAGTCCTCACAAGTCAAAAGCAGGTCCTCCAGTCAACTCACAAGCCCTTCAAATGAAATGTTATAAAATGATTCTTCTGAAATTCAATATTAGGTTTTGCCCTTCATCGACGTATAAACACTTGTATACTCAGTGTGTTACCTCCCGAGTGAAAGTTGGAAAAAATCACTCGGGTGGGACTCGCACCCACGACCTCCTGCTTACTCTGATGGGCAAAACCTAATATTGAATGTACATCATCCCGACGCAAATTCCATCTTATGAAACCTTCTGGTATTTTTCGTCCCTTTTACTTGTGACCCTACCTGTATATTGCCTTTTGATTTAGAATTTTGACTAGTCACCGGACCTGTGATGGACTTGAGATAGGCTCAACTACAACAATGCAATTTTGTTTATACACAATTGTCTTGGGTAATTCAGAGTCTTACACAGGTTTATTATACATTGTAAACATTTCAAGGCAAGTACCTGACTGAATCTCAGGACAGGTTCATCGGATTCGTCATAGCCGTACACCTCAACCAGACCATCGTCCCTCCCCACCAACAAATCGGCAATTCCGTCCGCCGTGATGTCATAGTTGTCCAGGCACAGGACGCCCCCACTGCGCTTCTCATTTGGAATCTCCCACTTGTGATTTGGGGCAGATCTGTGAAAAGACCAAGAAGAGATGTTATAACAAAATAGTCTCAAAGGTCAAGATTTTATTGAATTGACTACTAACAACAATACTCCTTGAAACTTCTCCGCTTATTGTACATTGAAGTCAGCCAAATTTCCTAACAGAAAATTCAGTACCCTAGATTTCAGTACTCCTCTGAAAGGAGGAAAGCGATTGCTGTAAAGTAGCTTGCCTATGAACACAAGCATTTGCCCTGATTTTCACAGCCTTTTTACCTGCCAAGTTGAACCAATCCTATCTTGCCATCTGATGTGCCATACAGAACTTCCTCACCATCCTCACCTATATGACAAGAGACACAGACACAAATTATCACATTTACAGAAACATTTTGCCCCCAAAAAGTAGCAAAATAATACTGTGGCTTCTGAACCCTAAAGCTACAAAATACTACCGAGTAGAAACCTGTAGTATGCATTTCTTTCCATACAAGTGTGCACAACACATGTAGTATTCTGTGGTATTTGGTACTTGACCCCAAAAGAGCCTTTAGGGGGTTAGGGCTAATGTCTTCAAAGTTATCGTACTTAAATATTAAAAGGAAAAATGTACACAGATCTAAAGTTCAGGCAAATGAAAACCCCTTTACGAAAAATGGTACCTACCCCCTTCATCAGCAAACAGGCACAGTGTCTGCGGGGGGCCAGCCACCTCCACTTCATACAGTAGGTTGGATGCATCCAGCACCCTCAGGACCCGGTCCTGGCAGGCCAGGACGGGCGTGACCTCTTTGACCCTGCCCAGCGGCAGGCAGACGATGTCGTTGATGCGGTCGCTGCAGAGGTAGTAGTTCTCGTCCTTGCAGTCCACATAATGGTTGAAGATGTAGTTGCCTCCAAGGAAGAGATGGCTGCCGCTGACCCACCTACGATCACGGTAAAGGACCAAATCAAAATGAATGCTTAAAAGACAAGGTGATCCGCAGATCGCACGCGTTGCCTTTTTTTCGCAGTCAATCCCTCTATGTTTTGTGTTCTTAAAAAAAAAAGTCAAATTTTGTGCATTTTCAAACAATGACCTCTAATGACCCCTACATGACCTTTGACCTCAGTAATCCGATGAAGAATTACGTATTCCCACCCAAGGGTCACTGCATCTAAGTTTCATCAAAATCCACGAAAGCATGTAGAAGTTGTACCTTTTTTTTTCACAAACTTAACCTTAACTTTAACATACATACAGGGATATGGTCATACAGAATTTAGGACCAGTATTGTGGTAAGTGTCCCCAAAACTTTGTTTAGGCGACACAAAAAAAGATACTGAAAATGTATAGAGAGTGAGATCACAGAATTAAAAAATGACATTTAAATATCATTGGAAAGTGCAACAAGAGACTGTTCTTATAAAGGTTTCTTCCAGTTATAGATAAATTATAGGTTATTTTAGACAGGGTGAAAAAACTCCTTATTTTTGTTGGCACCTTCTTTTTGTTTTAAACAAAAATAAGGTGCACACTTTTACTCAACCGTAACTTTCACGTGCTAATAATAAAATAGAAAATGGTGCTCAAAACTGTCTCAAATTAAAACCACAGGCTGTCGGATATAACATCAAAACAGCCAGGCCAAATTTCCATCTTACATTGTCTTGATGCTCTCGGTCAGGTTGGTGTCGAAGCCCAAGAACTGTTTGCCCTTCTTGGTGAAGCCTTTGACCTCTGACCCGGAGGTGATGAAGATCTTGTCCGGGATCATGCCCAGGGCCCCGCCCAGCTCCAACCGGTTGATCTTAGGGCCAGGGAGAGTCTTGAACGCACTCTGGTGAGAGAATAAAAAGATGGATAAAGATGGTTTTAAGCCACTTCCATACCCATCTGTGTCATTGAAAAGCAATAGCCATTTCAGACATGGCTGAGGCTTTTTTTGCTTTTGGACTAACCACTGGTTCCCGTTTCTTCATGTTGAAGCACTGCAGGACACCGGTCTGATCGGCTACGGCTACACGCTGGGCTGCCTTGGCTTTCTTCTCCGGCAGCAGCCGCATGCTGCGAGGGGAGGTGACCCCAACCTGGCAAAATGAGATATGAACACAAATTAGCTGCTGCAAAACTGCATACATTATAATATAATGTTCATTATCATCATCATCATCATACGAGAGGTTGTCATCAACGTCAACCGACGCCTTCTCGAAAGACTCTAATGGTTGCATTCCATGCATCCTGGTCCAGCATCAGCATCCTCAGCTCAGTGGTATCTTGTTGTGCTGTGTCCCTCTTCAACTGGTCGACAAAAAATAGTCTCCCCCTGCCCCTGCTCCTAGCTGCATCGACAGGTTCCCACAGTACTAGCGGGCTTGCAGCTAGCTCTAGAGGATGCACACAGTGGCCTGCCAGCCTCATCCTCAGCTCCCTGACCTTAGCAGAAGCTCTGGGCAAGGCGTCGTAAACCTTGATGTTGGCACATGGTCTTTCCAACTGCCGTTTGGAGCCATCTGTAGAATTCGCGTGTAGATGCCGTCTAGCGCTCTCTTGTGCTTGGCTGTCATTGTCCACGTCTCAGCTCCATATTGAAGTACAGACTCAACTGTAGCCACGAACAGACGTCTCTTGATGTCGTCGATGAGACCAGCTCTCCATACTCGATTCATACCATGAAGGGCCTTATGGAGCTTATTGTTTCATTCATATTGTTGAATTCAGAGGCCTTCATTATTTAATTTATAGTTTGATTGATATGTAATAGGCCTACTATTTGTTTGAAATGAACAATCTTGATTTCTGTACCAACCTGGATATAGTCAGCCCGGTGTAGATTTAATTCCATCATCTTGGCAGCACGTTATCCAGCAGACTACAGCATAAGAAACCACAGTCTACTTCCCAAGCATGCCAAGGAGTTTAGTTTGCTTTGAAAAAGCAAAACAACCACCTGTACAATTTGGGCAAATAATTTATGTAATCAAAAGTTTATATTAAGGTTCAAGTAAAACTAAAAGGGTATGTATTCTCATAGACAATCCGTTATCACAAAAACCTGAATCTAGGACCATAAACATAATATTGTAGTTTTTGTACAATTTTTTTCATTGTTTAACTTTAACTTAGGAATCGAGTCCCGGCATGCCATAGACTTTGTAAAAAATTGTAGGCTACGAGACCAACTCACCAAAGTGGCATCAGGATACTACATTTTCCCTGGCTGTTAATGGCTAGTGTCATGTCTGTTCTTATCTAAAAACCTTTAAAGCAAAATGTTGTCCCGAATAAATATGATCTCAAAATAATCGCAATTTTCACGAAACAGATGCAGTGGCATTTCATGATGAAGGAAAACTAAACTAAAAGCCCCGAAACCACTTGTTAATTTCTCATCATCAATCAATATACTAGCAATATTTCATTATCGTTTATTTCAGGTGCACGATATTTCAGCTACACAATTAGAAAAAAAGTCCCAATTGATATAATTACCTCCCTTTTACTCGGTTGTTACGGACGCTTTTCGCGATCAGCTTGACAGAAAATTTCCTGTGGAATGTGTGATAGCGCCACCAAGCGTCAAAGGAGATTCGCGCCGGCGCGCCTTGAATACAAAAGCCTGCACACAAGCATGACATGTTGGTTGTTCTTGTGGCCCCTTCTATGTCCAGAGAAATCGATAATCAAGTCAGAATGGATGGAGCAAGGTTGGACGATTTAATTCTGAAACTGTACGATGTGGAGGCTGTCAAATTTGGCTCCTTCACGCTGAAAAGTGGCATTCAGTCGCCTGTCTATTTCGACCTGAGAGTCATGGTTTCCTATCCTGAAATAATGGTAAGTAAAGCAAGGGCAGTGACCTGGTGACATGACACTCAGTGACAGTGTATCACTCACTGACACTGACAGTGACATTGACATGATTGACAGTGTTGACTGTTGTAGTCGAATACTTTTTTTCCGAGCAGGGCGACCGTAAGGACTAAAGGCAAAATTCTGTTTCTGACGCTGCTTTTTTCTTCATATATCATCTCAATGAAGGTCAGTAAGTGCAAAAATGATGATACATGAATCTGGGACTGAGAAATATTTCCAATTTTGTTAAGAAATACTTTAAAAAATTTCTTGACTCTCCATAGACTTTGTACACAATCGCTGAGGCCGAGGTAGCGTCAGGTTGCAACATTCTTTCCCATCTGTCATGTCTGTATATGAGTATAAGCATAAGTGTTTATAATTAGCCCAGGTTGGACTCCGTTGTGTACTATCGTATTGCAATGAAGACGTCGTCCAACCTGGGCTAGTGTATAATGTATTTTGCGTAAGAATAGGTGATTTAGCAGATTTTTGAAGTGAATCTAGGGAAAGAATGTTGCAACCTGACGCTGCTTTTTTCTTCATATATCTTCTCAATGAAGGTCAGTCATTGCAAAAATGATAAGACATGAATCTGGGACTGAGAAACTTTTCCAATTTTGTTAGGAAATACTAAGAAAATGTTCTTGACTCTCCATAGACTTTGTACACAACTGCTGAAGTAGCGTCAGGTTGCAACATTCTTTCCTAAACTACAGGATTGGGGTCCAAAACTTACAGGATTACCAAAAACAGGAATATAATTGTTACAAGATCTGATTACTTTTTTATGAATACTTTTTGAATACCTCATTTAAACTATCTATGAATTTGTAATGCCTGTAAATTTGTGTAACAATTAATATTTAATTGTAATAATTTTTCCTGGCTTAGGAGCAAGGTTACATTCATATGTATGTTTTACTGTTAAGACTAAGAGAGATTGTTCTAATTTATATTCTTGTCGTATTTTGGTAGGCTGAGGTGTCTGAGTTACTGTGGGAGGCATCGGTTGAGAGCAAAGCTGACTTCAGTGTCGTGTGTGGTGTGCCTTACACGGCCTTGCCATTGGCAACGGTAAGTCACCGTTACAGGATTCAGGAATCATTTGGGAAATGTATTGAAAAAAATTTGGGAATATTTATTTTATCTGTCATTTTGTCTAATTTAATTTTTTGGGCGGCAAACTTTACAGTTGATGGCAGTGAACCACAATAAACCGATGGTAATACGACGCAAAGAAGCAAAGGATTATGGGACTAGGAAAATGATAGAGGGCGCTTTCCAGCCTGGGGACCACTGCCTGATTGTGGAGGACGTCGTCACTAGTGGCGGCAGTGTTATGGAAACAGCACAGGTATGGTAGTCCTCCATTAACAAATACTTTAAGACAATAGCTCTACCTCCTAAAGGACACCTTAGTAATTAGCACAGGCATTGTAGCAACTATCCCAAAATCCCAAAACCTCCCAATTGTTACAGTACAAGATATTGGACTTAGGACTGCTGTCTGAACAATCACAGACAGTCAAAAACAATCCTCTTCCCCTGCCATGTCTTTTACACAGGCTAGTCACCAACAGTCAGATCATGTTTCAAGCAGGCTCTCTGACTAGTCCAATTCAGTCAACAGACAAAAGCAGGCATTAAGTTGGCACAGCTGGCTTATCAACCACCTACAGTCAAGTTACATAAACAGTCACAGCCAGTCAATTCTGCTTTATGTAGACTGGGCCCCGCTCTTAACTGTTGGAAGCAGTCACTTGATTGATTTTGACTGAAAGGACAACTTTGCGCAGAGTGTATGTTTGCATAGGAGGGATAACGAACACAAAGCTGTAACTATCTCGATTCCATTAAAATCTATACACAGATTTGTTTCAATTATACTATAGTTTCATTAATCATTGATTCTCATTCTTCTTCCCAGTCTCTCAGTGCTGTTGGCATGAAAGTGAAGAATGCTGTGGTTTTGTTGGATCGAGGGCAAGGAGGAAAGAACAGATTGGAACAGCGAGGCATACACTTACAAAGGTATGATAGGAATTGGATACCTGCGAAAAGAGTATGACATGTTCTCGACAATCTTCAAAACTGGAGAAAAAAATTGTGGGAAAATGGGAAAATGTGAAACATCCGTTGTAAACAATGCCTAAAATAATACTGTGACCATTTCTAGCAAACCTATAAGTGTTCTCTTCTGTTTCTCTTTATTTTGTCAGCGTCGTAACCTTACCCAAGGTTCTCCAAGTCCTAGAGGATCATGGGAAATTGGAAGCCGAGGTGGTTGCTGCTGTGAAGCAGTTTATCGTCGACAACACCTTCCCTGACGAAGCAAAGGTCGCGTCCCCTGAGAAGCCATCCGATGCAAAGAGGCCTCGACTGGTACAATTTATGTTCTCTTCTTTTTGTTCCATCTGATATATTTACGTTTTTCAACCTCCAACCCTACTTTGCTGTTTTCAACCATATGTACACTTGTCCTGATTTTGTATCATTAGTCTCGCTATGAACAGCGGGCCGAGTTGTGCCAGCATCCGGTTGCCAAGCAACTGTTTACCATCATGGCCGCCAAGCAGACCAACCTTGCCGTCTCTGCTGACCTCGCATCTTGTCAGCAAGTTCTTGAGGTTAGAAGAATAAGTAAATCCTTAAATCCCTATTTTCTAATATATTTCACTGGAAACTTTAACCCTAACCCCCTAGGCCCTCTGGCTAGGATGCAACCTCAATCCTGCAACTGCCTCCAAGAAAAAAATTCGATTCAGCCTCCATCCTCCAAACCATCTGTTATTTCGTGAATTTAGTCTGTGGAGGGTGACCACTACCTCAATCCTCCAAAATCTTCTGCCAATTACTGCTATGGTTGAGGCAGTGCGAATGGCATTTAGAAGCAGTGCAGATGAAATACAAGAAAAACACAGGGCTCGTTTATGCATGGCTGAACATAACCAATGCAGGATATGGCCTACTGGCTTGACATAATGCATCCTCCACAAATATGCGATACATCTTTGCCATTCATCCTCAATCCTCTAAAATCATCCAAAACCGGCAGGAGGATTGAGGAGGGTTTGGTTAATGTGGCCCATCATGAGAGGGTTATGAGTTTGAATTCAGCTACGTGTCCTTGGGCAATCCACTTAACGCCAATTTCTGTTCTTCGTCTCCAGTATAAATGAGTACGTACCTGTACTAGTTTAAGTAACATGCAGTACACTGGCATTCCATCCAAGGCAAAGTGAAATAATCTGAATCATTTTATGCCAAGAAAACTGAAGATATGGGCTCTGTGCGCCAACAAAAGAGGGCGCCCTTTTACCTAGCAACAACATCCCATGGGCGGGACACATACATTTTGCTGGTTGACGCGCACGCACCGTTCCTTGTGTGTGACTCACGTACACCAGAGGATTTGTACTATGTACACGCAGTGGCCGCGCGGCAAAATATTGCAGTTGGGCAAGATGGCGTCTTTCGGTTACCCCCAACTGTACCTTCTTTGCCGGTGAGGGGGTACTTGTGAACGGAGCGGATACAGAGGCCTAGGATCCATACTAACTCAAGACAGACTTTCTTTTACAAGTTTTCGTGCTGATCTTTTTTCAGCTTGCAGACAAAGTCGGTCCCTACATCTGCCTCCTCAAGACGCACATTGATATCCTGGAGGATTTCTCTGCCGAGTTTGTGACATTGTTGACGGCCCTCGCCAGTAAACATAACTTCCTGATATTTGAGGATAGGTGAGTACGAGAATCCATTCAAATATTTCAAGGCCTCTCATAAAACCAGGGAAGATATAACGCTTAGTTTTACAATTCTTCATAAGTTGGTTCAACTTTTATTGACCGAAGTCTTGTGCCGACTTGCCCATTCGTTTCTCAGGAAATTTGCAGACATCGGTAACACCGTCAAGCACCAGTATGGTTCCGGACTCTACAAGATCGCCGACTGGGCACACATCACCAATGCCCACGCTGTGCCCGGTGCCGGGGTGGTACAGGGATTGAAAGAAGTGGGCGGGGCAAAAGGGAGGGCGTGTCTCCTCATCGGCCAGATGAGCTCGGCAGGAAACCTAGCAACTGGAGAATACACACAATGTACGATTTTTTACATATTTGTATATATACCTCTTCAATTGTTAGAATGTATACTTGTCTGACTGCGTATAGTATTGAAATTACGCAGAGTTAAATTAAATATAATTTTATTTGTTGATAAAAGATATTTTTATTACTGATTTAAATGAACAAATGTGATTTTCATTTTTGTCATGAATGGCATCTGTATTACCTAAAGTTTCAGGGCTCGTTCACAGCAATATTGATTTTGATTAATAAAGTGGGGAAAAAACTCAAAATCTACAACAGAGTCAGCTGTTTCAAAGCCTGTTTTCTCACTGACTTGTGCAATTAAAACGCCAAGAAAGTAATAAATATGCAAATTTGTCATATCACCAGAACAGGAGAGGATATTGAGCTATATTATTTACCAAATGAAAGCTTACGTTGTGGGCTTTCCAACCATTTATATAACTCAATTTCATTTAATTGCGACATAAAATACATTTTTTTTGTAGAGCGGGTTACATATGCACAATAAATGAACAGGTGTGATTCGAATAAATTGAATTAAGTCTAACTGGATTTATTGTAATATTGACTCATCCAGACAATTGTATCCATTTTTCCCCACAGCAACCGTAAAGATGGCGGAGGATAATGCAGACTTTGTGATTGGGTTTATATGCACGTCGGCACTGTCATCGGATCCAAAATTCATTCACATGACTCCCGGTAAAATAAACTAATATTTTCCCCATATTTCTTCTTTATATTTGAGAGACTTTGTTCTCATGTATACTGTATTGTTTGTTGTTTTTTTCCGTTAATGGCCCAGGGTGTTTCTCCCCTTTTTTTTCAAAAAAAAGCAAACAATAAACCCTAACCCTGAATTTTGCCAACTTTTTCATTATTTTAATTAAAGGATTTTAAGACTGACCTTCCCTTTTAAGATTGACATGAGGCCTGTTCCAATTTTGGTTAAATAAAACAGATTGTGCCATTTGTGTACAGTCTAAGAATAAGAAACTTCCCGACAAACACACGACCCTCCAGTGCAAACAGACACTCTGTGGGAACTTGTTCTTTTAGTCAAAATCAGCCAGTGACTGTTTTTTAACTGTTACGAGCTCCCAGCCTACATAATGCAGGATTGACTGGCTGTGACTGTTTATGTAACTTGATACAGCTATGCTTTGACTGTAGGTGTTTGATAAGCCAGCTGTGCCTACCAGTTGCCTGCTTTTGTCTGTTGACTGAAGTTGACTCGTCACAGTGCTTGCTTGAAATATGGTGAAAGACCTGTGAAAAAGACATGGCAGGGGAAGTGGATTGATTATTTGACTGTCTTTGACTGTTCAGACAGCAGGAGGGTTAATGGTTGCATTTTAATTCTTTGTGATCCAGGTGTGAAACTTGCCGAGGGAACTGATGCCTTGGGCCAGCAGTATTTGACCCCTGAAAAGGTCATCGCTAAGCAAGGCAGTGACATCATCATTGTGGGCAGGGGAATTTACCAGGTGAGCAGCAATGACCGCTGTTCTTCTCATGCACCCAACCACTATTCTTTTCATGCCCCAGTACCACCCCATACTGCCCTGCCTGTTACTCCACGTATCATCCCAAGCACTATATGTCAGAAGTACCTTACCGACCCGGCCCTGTACAATTTTCTGAATTCATCAGCGAATAAGAACAATGTAATATACTAACTTAGAGGTAATATACATGTACAACAAATTATTATCAAATACTTTTCTTGACTCTTGGTGAATAAATGTATCTTGCATCCTATGAAATAACAGCACCTGGTGTGCTGTCATTTTCAAGAAGAGTGGAATTTTTGCATCAATTTCCAACAATGGTCGGCCGACCATCGCTGGAATAAATCTGACTGTTTTCAAATACTGCCCCCAATTTACCAAACCTAGTCAGTCCACATTTTCTTTGCAATGGGTTACACATCCGTGAATGGGTACAAGCCAGCTAGTCTGGTTCCCTGACCCGACAAATCCCCAACGTCTATAAATTGCTCCGAACAGAATTTGTTTTCTTGGTTTTTCCAGCATTTATGAACACAAAACTTTAAACAGGTCGGTGTAACAATATTTGCTGTGTTTCTTTGCAGGCTGCAGACCCAGTAGCAGCTGCCAAGGCTTATCAGGAGGCTGGCTACGCTGCTTACATGAGTCTAGAGTCTTGAAGGTAGAAAAACAAACGGCTGCCAAAACTGTAACTTCTCTGAGAAGAAGCTCTTAATCTGCTGAGATTTGAGGCCAAGGAAACATTCAAGACCACTCTTGACTGTGAGCAGCTCAGTTATGATGTGAAGGAACGGTAGATGGTCAACTCACGAAAAGCTAGTGGAGGAATACAGCACATAGGTTCTTTCAAAAGTCCACAATTATTTTTTTTTTTAAATATTGGGTATGTTTTTTGCCCAGGCTTTGGATATTATTTCCTATTGAGAGTAAAAGCGCGTTTTTCTCCTCAATATTGTGGACAATGTTTTGGATGCCAGGATACCATAGCGAGTCTGGATTCATCTTTCCACTTGCGTCCCGGTTTTATTCAAATTTTCAAAAATTACTGAAATATTCGTAATACAGTAAGCAGGCATGCAACCTTTCCTCGGATCCGCTGATTTCCTCGTTTTTTTTACTTCTCATGAATGCCATTACAAATTGAAAAATACTGTACAAAGTCTTGATGTGTGGTTTGGAATTTCCTCGTTTTTGTCTAAATTCCGAGTTGCATGCTTGAGTAAGTCTCTGTACTGATGACGTCACACTTTGTTTACGTGTGCGCTTTTTTTATGGGGCTACGAAACCGTCGTTCCCACCAGGCTTCCATAAGAATGCACACATGTAAACAGAGCCTGGTGTCATCAGTACAGAGGCTTGCTGAAAAGGTTACCATCTGAAAGATGTGCAAAATGTAGTTTTAGTTTTCTTTTTTGTTCTCTCAGAAAGGCTTAATTAGAGAAATTCGGAATGCCAAGAATTCTTCAAATCATTGTTTTGGGGTACGTTTAATTAAACACATGGTATCTATGTACCAGATATAACTGATGTATTTTAGTCTGTGTTTCATTCTGTATTGGGTTTTATTATTATGACAAAAAGATTTTCATGATTTGATTGTGATCCTAATTAAAAGACAGAGAATAACATGACATTGCAATACTCAATTGAAATGGTGCCAATGCACACAACTTATTTTTGTCCCCAAGGACAATTTTTGCTATAAACTACCCCTTAAAGAGGAAATTATACAAACCTGTAAAATGAGCAATTTCCTATTTTTGTTTGTTAAATCTGACACGCAACATACCGGTAAATTCATAGTACAATCAACTCTCATTAACTTAATACAAACTCTGTTAGTACAAATTCTGAGTATAAAAAATTAATCATAGCAACCAAGAGCGTGTGTGTCATACCAACCCTTGTGCGCACCAATCACCGAATTAAATGCAAATTACTAACGGAAATTTCCAAAAATACATCTTTGGAAAATGACCTTTTATTGATTTCTTCAAAATGACAGCATGCCAGAAAGAAGAATTTCACACGGAGTTCAGTGTCATTACTACTTTAAACAATTAAGCTTTTCGACAATAAATTTGGAAAGCTGCAAATTACTACCTTTCATACATGATCCTGATACAACTGATACTTTGGTTACGTCCGACTGAGTTTGTTATTAAAGAGAGTCAACTGTAATTAGATTGTTATTATCAGCAGTATCAACTATCAAACAAATGTGATGCGATCAAGCTACATGAGTCTTTTGTCGACCCTGGTCAAAATTTTTTTATTACAGATTTGAAAAGAGTACGACCTCGGCATTACTGCTGCGAAAACCGCATGCTGATGCCATCTTTAGTTCAAAAATTATGGAAGTCGGAACACCAAGCGATGTGATGAAGTGATACGATGAAGTTAAATTTAAATTCTCGACAAACGACTCACTTAGCTTGATCGCATTACAAATATTGATTTGAAACAAGCTGTATTGTTACTCTACCTTGCCCAATGTAGATGTTACAACGGCTGTCATGATCCAAAATATCCCCATTACACGGTGTTATCGCATTGGATCAAAAGGACTATAAACACATCCCAAATAATTACATGTAGATGAGTCAATGGAGATCACCGGGTAATGTACATGTGCTGAAATACTGCAGTTGGTATTTTTAGCACTTTGATTAGAGATTGAAAAAAACACTGATAACGTCATTATTTATCTTAAATAACAAATTCCATCTGTCCATTACAATAGTACTGATTATTGGAGAATTTCCATTACACCCATCAACAGAACAAAACCAATTTACATGGACTCTCGCTATGGCATGGTTTCGGCCATAAAAACGCCAACCTTACATTATATTGACCTGAAATTATTTTAATACAAAACTTATTGAAATGTAGAAATTTACTTTATCACTGTTGAAACATACATGTACTGAATGTGTAGTTTGGCTTGACACATACGTGTAAATCTTCGAAGTAACGCGTGCTGATGAATTTCGAAATACAATTTGGCCAATAATTTACAAAGTGGCCTTGAACAATTCCAATATGGCAGGTCACTTTACTATTAAAAGATATACAATTCTTTCCAAAAGTCATAGCATTCTTTCTCATAAATGTTTTCGCATCCAATTTCTTATCGTCCAACGTCCTAATTACTAAAAAACAAAATAAATTTTATCTCTCAATTCTTATTTACAATGAATGTAACCAATCTATAATCTTATATTTAACAATTTAACAGATCAAGTATAAAACATCGAATTTCAATATTTACACTCATTCTTGAAGTTATCTGTAAAATGTCAATTTGCTTTACATTTTATGTACATATAATTTATTTACTGTTAACACGTGTTTTACAAGTCGTGGAATCAAAGTGATACGCATTCTTTGTAGTGGTGGGATTTAAATCCCACTTTTTGTTGACATGGCTGTGATCTGAATAGGAACTTCCGGTGAAATCGGATAACCGTTATTCGGTTTGAAAAAATTAGGATAACCGGATTTTGAAATCTTCCATTTCTGCCATGACTAGCTCATTGATTACCTGCAACATGTCCCATTGATATTTATCTATAAGCAAAATAATAGTACTTAGTCCCTCAAATGCGAAATACACGTCTCTCTTAAAAATTATGTTCAATCTGATAAAGCCTTACTACCTTAGTGTACACAAGCTGCCCAATAAAATTGTATCGCCTGATAAAATGGTTTTTTTTGTAAGCTACTGAGACAATAACGCTTACATACCTCAACTCAAAACTAGATTTTAAAAAAATCTCACATATTTAGGAACTCGCAACTGGCCAGATTTCAATGAGCATAAGATAATGATTGGTTCAAATGTTGATTGGTTGGTAGTGATAGAAGGCGGAGCCTCCGCTGGATATGTGCGCCATCTGTATTGACCTCAGACTGGGCACCTGCTGTTGCAGCTTTTCAGCCATCGCCATGGTAACGCTGCCGCACTGTGAGATGTTAAGATGCTTTAGATGCTTGGTGTGCCGGCCCAGTTCTAGCAGAGCAGCATCTGTAACCTTCCCACAACCGCAGACGTCCAGCGACTGAAGACCCTTGCGCCTCTCTACGAGGATCTTCAGCCCAGCATCCGAGACCTGGTGGCACTGGCCAATCAGCAGCTCCACCAGTTTCGGATTGTTGGTCGCCACGGCAGCGAGGCTTTGATCCGTGATGTTGGAGCAGAGGCTGAGGTTGAGGGAGCGTAACTTGGGGAAGTGGATGGCATGAGAGATGCAGACATCCGTGAGGTGGTTGCAAGCCATCAGATCCAGCGACTCCAGCTTGGTCAATGCCGTCAGGTTGACCTGGTCCGGGGCATCCATCAGCTTCAGGATCTCCTTCTCTGGGATGTCGTGGATCTTCTCGTTGAAGGAAGGCAGCTTGAAGAAGCCCATGTTGCTGTGGCTCTTGGTGAAGCGGTCGCTATAGTGCTTTGTAGTCTCGTTGTCGGTGATGAAGACGGGAGCATTCTGGTCTAAGCCCAAAATTCCAAAGTCGGTGATCTTCTTGCACCAGGCTAGTCGAAGCTTCTTCAGGTTGGGCAGGAACCTAGAATCCAGGAGAGAAAAAAAATACTCATGAGGCTTCTTAGAGTTGCTAACGTTTGTTTTACAAAACATAAACATGATACTTTCATCTGCATGAGTCACAATTAACTGAAGTGAACCAACACCCTCAGATGAGAGTTGGTATTCAACTTGTGCTCATTCTGCCATCTCAGAACAAATGTACCTAATGTGTCAAGCAATTTCATTATTTTATTTCTGGATTTGTATGCATCTGCAGTTAACCCTTTACTTGAAGTACATAATGCTCTCAAACACAAGAGGACTTAGGCAACAAGCTTATGAAGCTAGATCAAAATGAGACTGAGGTACAGAAGTGCGGCCCCTTGTCATAAAACACGGTATTTAGTAAGTTTAAATTTGCTCTCTACCTTGAAATGGCATGAACACTGGAATCTCCCACACCAAAGCATGAGTTTAGATCCAGTTGCTCCAGCTGTGGCAAGCTCTTCACAAGGCTCAGGACAACGTCATCACGGACTGACCCGCATCCCCCAAGACTCAGAGAGATCAGGTTGGCGGAGTTGCTGCTTCCAAGTCCCTTGCTCAGGTAGTGCTGGCCGATGTGGTAGCAGTTAGACAAGTTGACGGACTTCAGGTGCGACAGGGAGGACAGGTACTCGGATGCTTGGGGCTCCAACTGGGACCACTCACTGGCATTCAGGTGCTCCAAGTGAGGTAGATGATTGGCGATGGCTATCAGGGAAGGGCTGTGCAAGGAGGCTATGCCGCTGAGATCCAGAGACTTCAGTGAGGTCTGCTTCTTGACAAGACGTGCGACACCTTCATTGCTGATTCCGCTGCACTTTTTCAGGGTCAGTTCTTCTAGTGCCAGTCCCTTGACGTGGCTGATCAGGGTAAGCGCCTCGCTGCCAATCCCTGTGCAGCTCAGGTCAAGGGTGACAATCTTATCTGCATGAGCCTGCAGGTACATCAGGAAGTTGGACAGGGACATGAAGGAGGCAGACTTCTGCTGCGTGCTGAGGTAGGCATCGCTCTGGTGGACGATGTTGCAGGATGCCAGGGAGAGCCTAGCCACATTTGGCATCACATCTGCAAGTCTGTCAAACAGGACATCTGACAGGTAACGGTTGGTTGCAAGATTGAGGGATTTCACATTATCGAGGGGCTTCCTAACCTTCTCCCGCTCCTTCTCCTTCTGCAGCAGGTTCCCAGACATGAAGAGGCTGTTGCAGCAACTCAGGTCAAGCTTCTGTAGCCCGGAACAGTGGCCCATAATCCCGACGAAGACAGTCTCGGTGACATCTGATCCCCGGAGGCTCAGGTTGGTCAGGTGCGGCCCTAAGTGGTGGCCAATCTCCTCCAGGACCTGGCTGCAGTTGGCGGACCCATCGATGTGGCTCACCACCAGGCTAGGACTCTTGCGTTGGCCCAGGTGGTTGAACTTCTCGCCGGACGAGGAGCTGGCACGGAGGGTGATGACAGAGCTCTGGTGCAGGGCAGGGTCCAGAGATGCGTAGTACCATTTCTTACAGACCAGTGAGGCTTCGTGGCGTTCAGCAGATGTCAAGAATCTCAAGATATATGAGATTAACTGGAACAAAAAATGAACCTCGTTAGTTTTTTATCACAAACATTTACTGACTGATGACCAACATGACTCTGCTTTGGCTCATTGAAAATTGACATGCAATAAACTCTACTGAGTACTGTGTGATATGAAACTTCTGAATCACTTTGGTTTTAAATGTTTTTGCCTTACTATTTGACAGAATTGATATCAACGTGTAAACTAATATGAATGAAGAAAAAAAGCACATGCACAGCATTCCTTTATGACGTCATATCACTCCTAGAGAGATGCACAACATGACCTCACTGAGGACAAAACGGCTGTATCAATCATAAATTATGTTCTTTAAGTGTTTAAATGCCAGATTACCAGATTAGACCAATCTAAATACTGATGAAACTCACTTCAGTAGGCAGCTCCATCCTGAAACGGGCATTTATTACATTACCAACAAAGTATATAAACACTAGAGTCTAGTCAGACGAGGCGATGGAGTCTTATGAGAAACGATCAAGGATTACATCACGGAAAATCGGCAACATCATCTTCGCAAGTCACCTGATTAATCCTGTGATGATGAACAGGTGGTGGCTGGTACCCAGAGTGTTACATGTTTTAAAGATGCAACGCAGTACACCAGTGGGTTTTGTAAACATAAAAGTTCACTGACACCAATTAATTTGGGAACGATGGACGAGTGAGGGCGCAAGTTCAGTTTGTTGTGTACGTCGAAAATTAAGATGGCGGCGTACGTGGGAAGGAAACTTCGTGTGTCCACGATTGGAGGCGATGAATTCGAAGGCATTTTGCACTCCTTTGATGCCAATAGCAAGAAAATATCTCTTATGAAAGGTGAGGCAAATATTTGAAACTTTTGTTTGGAAACTTTGCTTTTAGTTGTAATGAAATCAGTTTCTGAAGATCGGCGAGCCTGTTTTGGCGTTTGTCAAATGTCATGTTTGTGAATTGTGTAGGTTGCGTGTTGCACCGAAACTAGGAATCATACGGATTTGTAAATTCGGTGCGCCGAAACTAGGAATCTCAATTTCGTTATCGCATTTGTAAATCCGCTAACCGTGTTGTTTCGCTCATGTACAACATGGCGCGGCTAGTAAAACAACATTATTCTTATCATTATTTATTAATGTCATGACATCAGTGACTGACATGACTGAGTAAAACATTTCACACTAGTCACTACTGTGATACATTACCACTAGGCTGTTCAGTGACGTCACGAATTTGTTCGGACGACTCGTGTTCGGCACTTCTCAACAATATACAAAAATAATTATTTACAAAACTTGATCACTAACATACAATATATACCTCACATATTTTTACTGAATGTCTCATCTCTTGTCTGTGAAAGTTTCAATTCAATACAATCAATATTAACAAAGTTACGGAGTAAGAAAGAGCGAAAAAGTCACGAAATTCTGGGTCTCCACACACGCGGGCGAACGGCCCCGGTTTTTACCGAGGCGAGTTCCGCATGACTCGCCTTTGCCGAAGCGGGCGCACGGGTTGCGAAGGTCGTACCATTGCGAAAAATACAGGGTATGAAAGGGGGGTTAATGGGCTACATTTTGAGGGGTCAAACGAAAAAATCGGCCAAGGATTGCGAAAATGGCGACAAAAAGTACATTTAAGTGACATATTTGATCACATCTGTCTTGTATTTTCTACTCGTTTGGGTTTTGATATTGAAAAGTGATATTTATTCTTCCATTTTATCTTTGATTTAAGGCAATTTTTTAAACGAAAGTCGTGCGTACACCCCTTTTAAAATAGTTTGTTCCAAGCGACATCGTCAAATTCTGCCATCCGGGAACTTTACGCCAATTCTTGGTCAAGTTCCCAGTACCAATGCGCGCTGAAGGAATACACGTCGTACTAGGGAACTGACTGTACGCCGGGCACTGGATCCTATGGACGTGATCGCGCGCTGCTCAAAAAAATGTGTTGATCGCAAAGTCGAAAACGGAGCCGGGCTACTTTGTCATCAATCGTAGTCAGATATGACAGGTTAGAATAGGATTTAGTAACTTTTCTGTCCAATACTTTGCAGTTTATTTGAAGAGTTACTTTTGATAATGTGGTTTGAAATAATATTTTCGAGATTTGTTGCTAATTGTCAATGAAGTGATTAGCTGATTGAGAATGATCTGCCGTGCCGGTGTGTCGATGTTAATCACAGATTCTCAAATAAAAATCTCAAAATTGTCTTCCAATTCCAGTTTCAAACATTGTCAAATAAACAATCTAGCCCCCCCCCCCCAATAAAACCAAAACTACTCCATTTCCATGGCAACAGGCAATTGGATAGCTAGTGTTTGTTAATGATTACTGGTCTGCTTTGGAACTTGATCTGAAAATCTGTGAATTGAAATAGCCTACTTGAACAAACTGCACCTTGGCCTTGCCTCAGTTATATAACAAATTGGGCTTGTTTCCATGGCAACAACTTTTCTTGGGGAAGGTTGGACATTAATTTCAAATGCTATGCACATGTACCTTCAAATTAGCTTTATGAATTTTAGCTGATCATTTGTGATTGTGGTATGTCCACCTTTCACTGTATTGACGAAGTATTCACAAATTGTATTGACTTGTACCAATAATAATATATTGCGAATAATACATAAATGTTGGGTTTCCATGGCAACGGTTAGAATCCAGAAGTTAAAAAAATATGAAATTGTGGGCATTTGTATGTTTATCAAATGTTGAAAATTTGGTGGGAATCGGATAAATTGTTTTGAAGATATTCAGCATTTTCTTAGTTTTTTCTACTTAATTTACTGCAAAATGGGGCCACTTCCTTCCCTATATCATAATGCAATTGGTCGTCCGAAAAAACCCACATTTTTAAAACTTTAAAACATTCATATCTTTAGAACAGAAAGTCCGATTTTCTTCAAACAAAGTCTGAAGTCCTCCATTTGGAGTGACCTTTCCAATGATGTTATTTTTGATGCAGTAGGGAGCACTATAAAATTTCACCTGAAAACCCTATTACCACTGTTATCACAGTAGTGTGAAATGTTTTAGCAGATGATGAACCAAAAGTAGGCCTAGGCCTATTCCTAATTTTTTGGCAACGAAACAATAAACTAATATTAATAAAGACATTGCTACAAGTTTCCGATTAGTGTCGCACGGACCCGTGTCGCAGTCCAACCCCGAAACGTGAAAGACAACTTCTGTTGACTGGATTCTTCCATATGCTTAACTTTTTACCTGATATGAAGACAGTTTATGGGCGCATTACTAAATATGTTTTTCTTTGTTTAATTTTAAAGTGAGCATCGTGCCTTCTGGGAAAAAGCTGACTGGATTACTTCACTTCTATGGACAAGAAATAAGAGACTGTAAGTACCTACGTGATAAATCACTTGTGTGGCACATTAAAGCATTCTGTAACTCACAGATCCTTTGAATTTCACCAGCGCCTGCAGGGCCCAATTTCATAGCGCTGCTTAACACTAAGCAGATAAGTTGTGCTTACTATAGCAGAAAATTATGCTGCTGGTTAAGCACTATTTCTTGGTGTAGATTGCGTGCAATGCAGGTATTTCTGTTATTACATCACTGATGTAGGTAATTTTCCCTCAGGGGTTAAGCGTGTTTTGCTGCGCTTACTGCTTAACGGTTTCTATGAAAGACGGAGGCTTGGTAAGCACAACATCGGTTGCTAAGCAGCGCCATGAAATTGGGCCCAAGAGGTCTCAGGATGATTTTTGCGTGATTAAACCTAAGTTACCTAACAATGTCCATCCAGTCAAAATCCAACACCAGGATTTGTTGGAATCTGTTGGAGTGAGTACTGCACTAGTAAACTGATTATGCTTCACATGGGGTCAGGCATACCACCATAATCAGAGTCCAACAGTTTGGGTGTAGCGTTTACCATTATGGTGTTGGATTTTGCAAGAGTGAGGAAGGTTCCTAGTAAATCACTCCAGGGGGTTAGGGTTAATGGGACAGAGCTCATCCACTTCTTGATGTCTCTCGAAAGTTTACAATCTAATTGAAAATCTAAAGTGTGTCATTGGTGTTGTGTACAGTTGAGGATTAAAGGGAATGTACATCATTTGCTTTTGCTGCAATTTTCAGAAATAAATGGATTTGTAGGATTAGTATGTTATAGCAAATATTGTTAAAATGACTTGTTTCGCGTTTTGGGCTTGTAGATGTTGGAAAAACCAAGAAAACCAGACATGTTCTTGTAGTCTGGTTCCCTGAATTTATAGACTTTGGGGAATTGTAAAATCAGAGAGTCAGTCTAGTAGGCTTGTACCCCTTCACAGGTGTGTGATCAATTGCAAAGAAAACACGGAATAACTAATTATGAAAAATTAAGAGCAGTTTTGAAAAAAGCCAGTTTTCTCCAACGCGACCAGCGTTGGAAAAATACCATTTTTCTTGAAAATGTCAGCATTCCAGGAGCCACGATTTTACAGGATGTTTTAGACTGTCAATCCCTAACAATCCAGCAAGGTATTTTGTGATAATTTGATCATTTCGTTTTGTAATGTTTGCAAATGTTGTATCTTCCCTTTAAGGAGGATTCAAGGTTCAAACCCAGAGTGATTTTCAGATGTGTTGCATTTTTTCGCTCCTTTACGATTGCATTGTCTTTTTGGTATTTATTCTGTCAGTGGTTGAGGTGGTTGACGAGCCCGGGAGCAAGACAAAGGAGAAGAATAGACCACAGAGTGAGCCCAAAAAGGTAAAATTTGACCAGAGAAAACACAATATTGTGTATGATGTTTGTACTAACACCTTTCAAAGGAAAATTGTAATTTTACCTTTATTACCCATGCTTTGTAATTTTGTTAATGCAGTCCTTGAAAATGGAACCTTTGTATCTTATTTAACCTGATTATTGATTTTCGTTTTGCCATTTTCAGGGGTATTTTGGTGCCTTTTTGGTTTTTATGCTAATGCCGATTTCCATATTTATAAGCAAAAGTGTGATGTCAATTCAGGCAGAAACCTCAATGTTACAGTTATTTCAGCACCAGAATTTTGAATATTTTGCTGTTGTAAATTTTCTGTTCTTTGGTGTTTCGCTGTTTTGTCAGTACATGGCAGTAAGTCAGTGCGCAAAGTTTTCTAACATATGTTTTCTATGAGCAGATTTTGGGGTGCACAATTTGAACAGAAAACCCCTAAACTGAACAGTGTCTTTTTGAAATGACATCACGGTGACAGCACCTCAGTTGTCTGCAAAAGCATGGATTTGTTTTTAACTATTTGAGGAAGTCCTCTTGCCAATAAAATTAACCAAAGCGAAGGCAAATAGTTTTCACACAGTTAAGAGGAGTAAAAAGTTGCACAAAATATGTTCCTAAGAAAAGTCATTTCAAGGCCCCATTAATTTTATGACACCTCGTGCATAGAACAGGGCACTGCTAGAGTCAAGAAACCGGCAAGAATGTTTATTTATGACAAGGTGCGTGATTTGTTTCTATAGGAAGAAGATGATCTGTCCGACACGGAAGACGACAGCGATTTGAACCTTCAGACATCACATGGTTATATCTACCTTAAGCGCCCGGGGGCCAAGTTCAGGCAAGCTGTAAGTCTTGGGTACAAATAAAAATCTGTCTCTGCTTCCAAGACTATTTCGATGTTTAAAAATTATCATTCAAAGTTTCAAATTCAAATTTTGAAAATTTAAAATGTTATTAACCTTTTTTCCCCCATTCAGGTGGATCTGATCAAAACGCAGCAGTTGATTGGTGTTGCTATGGAAGCAGAGAAGCTGGGCCGTAGAGCCAAGGTGTCCCTCTTACAGGTCAGATTTGGATCGGACTCACTTCATTCTGCTTTCTATTCCAAGAAATTTCTGGCATTTTTTCCACTTGTCATGTGTATTCTCATGTGTTAGTTCGTTAATAATACCCTTGTTTTCCATTTGGCAGATTTGTTGCGTCAATCAAGTCTTCATCTTTGACGTCTTGTCTCTTGGGCCATCCGTCTTCACCCAGGGCCTGGCCGAAGTCTTGGAGTCTCCCGCTGTTGTCAAGGTAACACGACTAACAATTACACAAGTTTTGCATTGTGTGGTATCTCCAGGGCCAACTTCATGGCTCTGCTAGCCACGGAATTCCGCGCTTATGATCACCATTCTTTGCCAACAGTGCTAGCAGAGAAATTCTGTGCTAACCCTGTAAGCACAGAATCCTTGTACACATGCGCAAAAGGCGAAATTCCTCGCTAACCTGTGAAATACGCTTACCGTAAGCACAGAATTTTCTGCTCCAGTAAGCGGGGAGTTTTCGCTAACGGTAAGCAAAGCCAATTTGGCCCAGTTGAGAAGCTTTAGCCTAACCTTCACAAAGCCTTCAAAAATCTATCAAGAGGTTTAAATAATTTTGAAGGATTGAGGAATGTGCTATGTTATTTTGATTATTAAATTAATGAGTAAAAAATATAACATTTATAATTTCAATGGCTTTTCTACGTAAGTTTTGCAAGTAAAAAAATTCCATTCTCTAATTTGATCGTTTTATTTTAGGTGATGCATGACAGTAGGTGGACCTCTGATCAGCTGTATCATCAGTATTCAGTCAAACTCACCAACGTCTATGACACACAGGTAAATATCTGCTTCACAGATGATACATTTTATCTAAGCTAATCTGTCGTGCATTAGGGCCCCCTGAACAACAGTTGTAAATGATTCAATCATAAGTGAAATCACAACGCAGTTCACATGTTATTCAGGAATTTCACAAAGCCGTGCGCCACCAAGAGTTTGCCACGGAGAGGTCATTTTCCCAGTGCATTGTGGGAGATGTTCGACAAATTTGCAGCGCGGGACATTTGAAATTGTTAGTTTTTCCTGTCAGTAGTTTCGTAAGCTGATGATTCGAGTATCTGTTTGCCCTTTTCTTTTTCTTTTATCAATATGGTGTTTTTGTAAGGTGGCAGAACACTATGCCCCAATCTATAACAAATAAGCTCAAGTTGTCTTCTGGTACTCGTTCAAATGGGCTGTGTTTTGTCGACCGTAAACTTGAGAAATTGTCTCTCTGTGGCAAACTCTTGATGGCGCACTGCATTGGGAAACGCCCAAATTGAAAATGAAGAATGCCAAAGGAGTTGTCGTTGTTCATTTGAATAGCTTGTCAATTGACTTGAGACTGGTTAACTTGTGACTTTCCACCCACTTGTGTTGATTTTTGACGGCATGACGACGCATGACTGGACTTTTTTTTTTGCTGTTTGTGTTAGGCTGCTGATGTGCTGATACGGATGCGACAACTGAACGGCGAGCTGCCCCACAAGCTGTGCAGTCTCCCAGAGTGCCTGCTGGAATATCTGCACATGTCCATGGGAGAGGTCTACCCGCAGTGGATGAACGAGCAAGCCAGGGAGGTAGGACACCAGACTATGATTCGTGTTATCTACAGTCACGGAATATGCTGTATCAAAATAGCATTTATTCAGGTATTCTTAAGGTCATTGTGGCTATATTAGTTATGCACCTGTTATTCATTAAACCCATGATCTGTTTGAGAGCCAGGTGCATCATTGTCCAATAGTAAGTCATCCTTTCATGGAATCTACTCATCCTCTGCATCTGAGAAATGACGCACAAAGGGACACTATTGGGCAACAGTTTTTGAACCAACCATTTACAGATCGACATACACCTACCGAAACAGTGATGCACCTTATAAACTGGTTGACATTTCAAATCATAACGTGACGTACCCCTCTGTGTTACACCATTTCCAGGGGTCCCTGAGTCCATCTTATAACCTTATATCAACTCCATGACATTGCTTTTCGTTCTGTACCTTTCCAGAACGAAGCGGATTCCTGCTGGGTGAAGCGCCCTCTACCACCCAAGCTGCTCTTGTTAGCGGCCGGTAAGGCCAGCCACCTGCCGGAGCTACGTGTCGTGACGCTCCATCACCTCCTGGCAGAGTTCACGGCATCCGTTGAGGTGTTCCTGGGCTGCATCCGAGACCTGCCGGATATGAACCGCAGCAAGGCCAACGTAAGATGGGGCAAGGATTTTTCTTGTCGTTTCTATAGTCAAATCCTTTTTCTCAGTTCACTGAAGGAAGTGAAACATTACTTATTGTAGTCAGAATCGAACCATACATATTAGACATCGCGGCCTTTGGTTTTTGCAGCGTTTGGAATCTGGGTATTCTGTGTATTTGGCTCAATGTCATGATCAACGCCTTTGAGAATCTGTCTGGTATTCTCTATTCAGGTCAGTTCTTCAGTGGTTCCCAGACAGTTGGAGAGGTTAGTGTACGGTCACCTACCAAGTACCAATCCCCCGGTGTCCAATCACAGTACAACACCCATTGGATATGATCCATTGCAGAAAGGTGCGTAATTTATGATTCTGTTTGTCCGTGTGTTTTTGTGTGTCATTGCAATATGAAATTTAATTCAATTGAAAACCTGAACAAAATTGCTCATGATTTCTGTGACAAAACAATGAAAAGCTGAAATGTGATCTTGTCATTTCTTCAACAGAAACACTGACTCATCCACAAGAGAAGAAGCAGAATCCAGTGCATCACCTATCATCCTCAGATACCTCAGCTTCAAAGACGCCACCCACCGAGCCTACCCGCATCACCACAACCCCTTCCCAGCCCATGACCTCTAACGCGGAGAACTTCTGCGTGCCCAAAACAACCACAAGCAAAGTGGCATCCCCTCCGGAGAGGCTCACAAACGGCTTTGCGCCGTCCACAGGTGACGGCGTGCAAAGTAAGCGCAGTCACCCACGAAAAGCTGCTGGCAAAAGGCAATGTGCTCCTGTGTTCTCGCCGACGAGCTGTGACACAGAAACGGTGACGAAAGTGGATGTAGACAAAGGAAAGAACGTTGTCTCAACGGAGAAAGAGGGAAACGGAGACGGATTCTGGGACTTGCAGAGTGACGACCCTAACCCGGCGACCAATCAGACGTCAGAAGTGCCATCTTCAGTCACGGCAGCGGCGAAATTGCCTGAGCAGGATGCAGCATCGCCCTTGCTGAGTAGATCTGAGATAGAGCAAGAGAGTCACAGTGGAAGAGTTTGCAGCGGTGAGGATGATAACGACAGTGATGGTGATGATTCTGGAGACGATGATTCTGATGATGACAGTGATTCTGATGATGATGACAATGATGACAAGAATAGTGGTCATGACAAATGGACAGAGCTTAATAAGGAGAATGCGAACACTTCCAGAGAACCCCTTCCCAGCCCAAGTAGTCACACCGAAACCATCCAACGTCTCTTAAGCCTCTCCCCTACTCGGAAACACACACTTCCCACTCTGGAATCAACCAGTCGTAAGGTTACCACTCGGAACAAAGGCAGCACCTTGGCCGGCAGCTCCATGGGGAAACCATCAAGTTCTGACCCACGGAGTACAGTGGACTCTGGCACGGGTCGCCTGTACAGCTCCGTTTTGAAGGATGCTGGGCTGCTGAAAACTGATAACAGACGTAGTGACGTCCTGAACGTGCAGTCCCCAACACAGTTCCCTGAACTGGATCAGGAGAGCCAGGAGAAACCCAAGAAGCATCTTTGCAGGCACGGTTGGGACCAGCCATCCTCCGGTTGGGAACCGGGGGATTCCGGTAAAGCACCAGTGACCAAAACTGGGGAACTCACTCAGGACGAGGTTCCTGGAAGCACCAAGATAACACAGAGGAACCCAGGTGCTGTTCCAAAGGCGAGGTCAATGTATGCCACTTACCCGGAGGAAAACGCAGACCGGTCCCAATCTGTGGGAGTGGACAATATGGGAAGCGCCATGCAGCTGTCAGAAGAAAGACCAATCAGACCAAGCATTGGACGCGGGAGAGCTAGAGTATTGGCGCAAAGCGAGGACATGTTACGGAGCATACGCAGACCAGTGGTATGTATTGATACACACTTCTTCCTTTTGTCGTCCCATTTTTTGTTTCCAAAGACTGTTGTGGCCTCCTTGTTTTCTGAACAGCGTCAAATGCAGTGGATCACTTTTTGCATTGCTAAGGCTTATTTTAATTAAATTCCTGCCTTGCGCTCCCAGTGGTTGATACCTCAACCAGTCATCCATGGAGCTTGTTGGAGTCGGCTGACCAACATACCCGTGAGCATCCCAACCCATGACATTTGTTCTGATCAATCTCACACAAGTTTTTGAATGGCACCAGTTTACTGCACCTCAAAAAGTTAATGACTCCTCACTTTTCATTCCCCCTTCTTTCTCTCTAAATGCAGGAGCTTCAAAACAGAAGTTTCCGGGTCCAGCAGTACGACTTTCCTTCTAGAGAGGAGATGGCCATGGTCCCCAAGAACTTGCCAGCCCGGGCCAGCGATTACTACAAGGGCGCTGAAGCACCGGATGGCAGCTACCCTTGAGATGTACCCGTACCTCAAAGATGTAGTGGTTCCATCGTAGCTCAACCCATCCTCAGTCAAACCTTGGCAACAAGATTCTAAGCAGCTGAGTTGTAGTCTGGGTCCTCACAGGTCAATCATAAATCAATCATAAGTCGATCACAAGTCATTCACAAGTCAATCACAAGTTAATCACCAGTCAATCACAAGTCATTCACAAGTCTATCACAAGTCGATCACCAGACAATCACAAGTCAATCACAAGTCAATCACCAGTCAATCACAAGTCTATCACAAGTCGATCACAAGTCAATCACCAGACAATCACAAGACCTTCAGTCTCAAGTCAGTTACAAGCTATTCAACCCCGTGTTCGATTACTTCCCCTGCGCTTACCTGTGCAAGCGCGACTGCGTTCAATTTTACTCGAACCACCTGGCAAGTGTGACGTCATTTATTACGAAATCAAGACTAAGATTGTGATTGGTCAATTTTGATGCCACATTTTTGTAACCTGTACAAAAATGCTTCTCATCGTGAGCATGATGTTTACGCACGCAGGGAGCTTAAATTACGTGCATATAGTAGGCGCCTGCTGATTGGTCAGTTTCTCGAGGTCATACGTAGTCTAGTTGCATAATTAATCGCCAAATCTGTTTACGTAAAATAGACATGGTCGGCTTTGCCAGGGCCAGGGTCTGTTACATAGACGAGATTTACCCTGGCAAAAAATTAAGAAAGAAACCGGTAAACTTCCATATCAGTAATGATGTATGGTTGTCAATTACAAAAGCCAGATTAAAATCCCACTTTAGAATGTGATCATTTTATTGTTTTGAAGTGTCTGGAATCAAATCCAAGAGTGCTGAAATCACAGGGATCTGATTTTAGTTTCAAATTGATTTTGTTCAATTCAGGCATCGAGTTGGCCATCGATTTCAGTTCATTAGTGTATATTTTGTGTCAATCTTGCCGTCTTCTGTAGAAATAATTTTTTATTTATGGTATTGTGTATATAAATGTGATTTTCTTTTCTGTTTGCCTTATTTTTTTGTCCTTTCCACATTTAATGTGATTTTATAGTAAAAGTAAAACATTCTTCAATTTTAATTATATTTGTATAAAAGTGAAATCTATTGTGCTTAATTTCTGACATCGGCAGATTTCCTCTTTAGGATTTTCAAATTTTCAAAATTGATATTATTTTTCAACATTAATTTTGTAAATCAGGAGTATCATCGTTTCAGAAGCTTTTGGACTTTAGGAATATCGCCATTTTTAAATAAATGTCTTCACTTCGCCCAAGGGCACAACAGCAGCTTTGCATTTGTCACGAATTACATGTTTTTGAAAAAGATACTTTTACATGGACCTGATATTTCCCATTTATGAGACATGTCCAGAGATTTTAAATTTAAATTTTTACAATTTTTTGTTGTTGTAGTATGTAAAATTCTTTGCGCCCAAAGTTTTGGTGTTTATATTTTGGATTTTGTAATAAATTTTGAAAACTTACAACAAAATTTAATAAATTTGTTGTTTCTGCTGTCTGAATATACTGTTTATGTCGTCATCGGCACCACGAGCTAAAACTCAGTTGCACGTGAGTGCGCTGCACGAGCACGTATTTTACAGAATCGGGATATTTTGGGTTTCACGAACTGACATCCTCCACAGTGCAGCACTTTTAGAGCACACCCCCTACATTTTTGGTTTCACAAACTGACATGGACACTTAATTTCACCAATTAAAACGTTTTTTAGTGACATATGGATGGATTATTTCTTCGTTCTGTATTGCCGCATCATGCTTGGGTGTCAGTTCGTGACAACAGAAATCTTCCTATTTTGCCTCAGTGTCTGATGTGCGCACACTTCTGGGTGTCAGTTCATGAAACTGATCGTATGGTTATGTGCTTAGTCTATAGGCGAGTGTTATATTACAGGGACAAGGGGAAACACAAAGCATTGTCCTCGGGCATATAGAAATTCACGACTATGTTTCCGTAGATGCATTGTGTCAAAGGGAACAGTCTTTCCTAAAACAGCAACAATTTGTATAAAAAAAATCTTCACTCATAGATGTCTTCTGCAACAATTTATTTGCAAGCCGTACTGATATTATCTCTGAAAGGAAGGGTTTGAACTACATGTACTTCACATTATTTACGGACTTGACACTGTGCTTGTACGCATGTTCCTCCTTTATATGTGATTAAGTTGCCTCAAAGAATGCATGTGAAAACCATATTATTTGCCATTTGTTATGCCTTTACATCTTTAGGTCACAAACAAATTGTTCTGCTTCCAAATACATGGCATTTGAAAATAGGTAGGTAGGTAGGTAATGTTTTTTTGTTTGTAAGTTTTTTGTGTACGATCATATGGTGGTGTCTGCGTGTAGTCGAGGGTAAAAGGTAGAAATTGATGATTTTCAGGTTTTTTTCCTCATTTTCCCAAAAATAAAATTAGGGTAGGGGCTGTCAAAATAGGGTAGGTAGGTTAATCGGAAGCAGAACTATTATTTTTTTTGGCCTTAGCAGCAGACATTTGTAGGATATGATACAACATGAATACATACATACATGTACATTTTGCACATGAGAAGTGTCGAAAAAAAATTTATGAATTGAAAAATTTTGATTTCTCTAATTTGCTTAATTAATCGTCTTTGCCAATAAAACAAACTCCCAACATTTGAGTACATTTGTAAAAATATGTTGAAGATTACATTTAAAATGTGTTACATTGTACATCCAAATCAGGCAGAACAATAATGTCAAAAAGTGATGGATGTTGTCGTTTAACACTGCAAAAATGAAACTTAAATTTATCTAGATGTGCCTGATTTGGACATACCATGTCACATTTTACTCTTGCCAGGAGTAAGAAGCTCATATTGCCCACAGGTTCCCCCACTTTCAGCTATTTCCTGCACCAGCTCGTTCAATTTCCTTTTCTGATTGACAACCAAGTAGCGCTTTTTCCCTGAGCCGTGTGACTTGCTCTTCAGGTTGAAGCGGTTGCAGATCTGATGGATGGCCTTCCGCTCCTCGGAGGACAGTTCCGAAGTGAAGATGAGGTCGTCCCGTCTTCCCGAATGCACATAGTCTTCCAGGATCCTGCGGACTGCCTTCATGTCGATCTCGTTGGTGCTGTTCTTGGGGACTGCCACGGTGTAACCCAGGCCCTCCCGGGTGAACTTCTCGCTGGCTTGGATGGGCTCCACGATACCATCCTTGCCCAGGGCTCCTCCGCTCCAGCCCATCATCTTCAGCATCTTGTGACCCAGGTTGGTGTCTTCGATGGCACTGGCTTTCTTGGGGGGCAGGGACACCTGACCTTTAGCAAGCTCATTCCGTTTGATGGCACTGCCTTGGGCCATGTGGAGGTTCTTCCTGAGGACAGGGCAGGTCTTGCGTAGCAACGTCAGAGCATTCTCGGCCGACACATTTCTTGCCTCACGCTTGTTCATGTGCAGACCACCACAGACCGTCACGCCATTAATGATGGTTGTACACTCGAATCCAGATTTGCCGCCAACAGTCCGGATATCTTCAGATGTTTCAAACAGGATCGGGACATGGTTACTCTGCGCAGAGTTGATCAGGATGCTCGTGGCAGGCACCGCTTTAGAAGGCTCCATCAAGACAAAGTTTTCCAATGTCCACGTCGGCGGTGGTGCGCCGCACTTATTCTGCTTGTTCACCGGAAAGGTCTGGGAGTTGAGTTGCCGATCATGCGGGACGACCTCTTTATAGTAGCTCCTGCCATGTTTGCTCTGCTTGTTGACGTTCTGGACGGCGAACCCTGAACCCTCCAAGAGGAGCACGGCTTTCTCTGCAGCAGCTGTTTTGGAATCGGGCTTGTTCTTGGCCTCAACACTGGCCAGGAGTGTGTCTCCCATGTACAGGTTGCACAGCCACGTCGGGTTGTCCAGGGGACTCTTTCCCCGTCCCCTTCTGGCATGAGGCAGGTGAGGGGGTGGGATTTCAATGTACTCCACCTCCGGTCTCAGAGACAGCCGCAGGCCGGCGTTGTGAAGCTTGTTTAGTGCTGACCCACCACGGTTGCTGGTGCTGGTTTGTTTCTTCAGGTTGTATGCCAAGTCGGCTATGACCTTATCGTACCCGGCAGGCCCCGCCCCCCGTTGGGAAGGCTGGCTCCATGCTGCTGATTGGCTAGCGCCACCTCTCTGTCCAAGCCGGGCATCATATCCAGAGATTGCTCGCTCCTTTGCACTCTGTCCACTCTGTGTCTTCTGAGCCTTGTTATTCAGAGCACTATCCTCTTCGTAGCTTCTCTTGGTTAGTGGATTCAACTGGAGCAGGGATTCGGGTTTGCTCTGGGGTTCATCTTTGGGTTTGCTCACAGTGACTTTGGGCGGTTCACGTACAACTGGGGCTGCTGGCTCATCTAACGTTATCCCTTGGCCCATTTCCTGCACTCTGGCCATCAATTCGGGTGGATATCTTCAACAAAAAGAACACCAGACAAAGAGTTTTAATGGCATTGACTGTTCTATCGTTTTTTCATCTTTGTGAAGGGGTGACAGCTAAAAAGGGACTGCTTTTCCGAGTGTAACTTTGCCATTTTCAAAACAGGGAAATATGAGGTCATGTCGTACGACGTCTTGCTGATGTCACTTTAAGTCACTATCATGTTTCGCAATTTAATATGCTGTCATGGCTATTCATCCACTGTGATTCCTTCAGCCATCATCTTGACTCTGATCATCAACTCTGAGGGATACCTGCAAGTCAAATTATTTAAATTCATGAGTGATAGGTTTTGACGAAAAAGTTTTGAAGAGACTTTAAATACCCAGGGAGTCAGGTTGGAGTAGCGGTACTTTCCTCGCCTTCCACCTCTGTGACCTGGGTTCGATTCCCACCTGGGCCAACATGTGGGTTGGGTTTTCAGTCCCTACCTGATTCCGTGGGTTTTTCCCAGAATATTCTTCTGGGCTTTTCCTCCCACCTCTAAAACTGTAATTTCTTCTCATTGTTTTTTCTCTAAGTTGGTGTGATGTTTCCCCCGGGATGCTTTGCTGACTATAGTATATGATACAGATACAGAAATAACCAATTTCATCTCTTTTTTACTTTATGCTACCGTATATATCAGAAAATATTCTTCCAAGAAATTTAGTTGGTTAGTAGGCCTACTGTTATTTTAAGAAAAATGATATTGAAAAAAACAATTTTCACTGATTTTAATGTTATTTATTGAAATTACATATTGATCCATCGGGGTTTTTGCACAAATACAAATAATGTTATCATATTTTATTCATAATATTTTAAATAATAAGCCACTGATTTTAAAGTGGTACTCTGGTGTAGCCTAAGTGCTTTGTTTGTAGGCGCAAGCGCATTCACCAGACATGCCAGATGATGAACGCCATTCAAATTGCATGGGCAATGATGTAAATTAATTGGACTTACGTTGCTCCATCAAACTCCACATTTGACCACACCATGGACAAGGAAACCAACTGGTTTCCAGAGTAGCGCTCCCAGTTGTTGATCATGAACTGTTTTCGTGCCCGCCAATGCTGCGAGGGCTCATATTTGTGACGATGTTCCTCCAGAAATTCTTCCATCTCTCTCGTGGTCGCCATTTTGCAATTCCGAGTAGAAAATTGAATCCTAGACGTCCAATGTGTATTGCGAACGTTCTTCTAATACAGATGATAAGTTACCTGTCTATTTTCTTGGCGACTTCTTGACCACTTGGTGGCGCGCTTCAGGAATAACAAGAGAACGGCAGAAGTCATCTACAGTACATGTATCTGGTTCGACAGTTTCAAGAAAACAATCTGAAATATCCTTTGTTTTACATATTGACAGATATCTTTCCTACCTTTGGTTAGTTCAGGGTTGGAATATGTCATAATTAATCGACCATGAACGTAGGCAAAGCATGACAGAAGTAAAACTGATTTTCATTTTCTCGTCTTGACGGTCCAAAAACTTCAAGTGCAAAGTTTGGTCTTGCAAGAATTTTAGAAAGATTCTTGTGTGAAATTGAAATGGCAACGTCTTCCAACAAGCGTGTGTGTCTTGCAAGCAGGCCAGGTAATTGAGTACAGACCTACCTCGTAATTAAGAACAGTTACTATAAGTGACCTGTTTTCATATTTACCTACATGTATTTCGAAGTTTGTTGTATTTATTTAATTTACCCCACTCTCAACTCGGAAAACCCAGCACTCATGACATGGGAAATTCACCATGGCTGATTTCTCATGTTACAGTCATGAGCCTCAATTTTGCTTGGTTTTCCAAGCTAAAGCCCTACTCTAGGAACAATTCGTGAAAGTGTAATCGGTTGTCATCTTGCATTTTTTTTTATTGGAAGATTATGCCTTAAGTTTGGGTCTGCCAAGGGGGGTCATGTCATGAACTTTTCAGATATTTTTGTCCATTTCTTTAACACTCATTCCAACTTTCACCCCAGCTTTTTCAAATTTACTTATTTATTGTTTTTATTCCAGGTGCCAATGGGATACCTTCTGTCGAGAACTTCCGTATGGAGGACTGCCCTATGCCGGAGCTTGAGGACGGTCAGATTCTCGTCAAACTCCTGTGCCTGTCTGTCGATCCGTACATGGTAAATTGAGTGCCAATGAAATACTTGAACGCTACTTTCTAATCTATAGACAAACCGGCGGCAGTCATTTTCTGTGGTGGCACCAGGCTCGTGCGAGTCGCGCTCAGGTAGTACATACGCAGTCCGGGCTCCTTCGACCAACAGGAATACAAAAATGAGCGTGCGACTCGTCTATAAGAACGCGTGCAGCATGCGGGTGAGCGTGACACCACTGCAGAAAATGCTTCTTGATCTGGTCGCCGGGTTCAACTATAGCAATTGCCCCAACTACAGTTGAGATGGTCCCAACCGTTGGGATGATGTCATATTTTGGGCGTAACAGTTTTAGGCATAAGCATGACTGCCAAGCCTGACTGCGAGTTCAATCACTTTTGGATTATACAAATGTTCTTGTGTTACCATACTAATGAGGTGGTAAAATTTTGTTTCTACCCTCCAGAGATGTAGGATGAACATGGACACTGGCACGGACTACATGTCACCATGGAAACTAGACACCACCATTGATGGGGGAGGGGTGGGCGTGGTCGTCAAGAGTCGGAGCATGGGCCACTCCAAGGGTGACGTCATTGAGGGCTTCCATCTACCGTGGCAACTCTATGTAGCGCTGGATGTGCAGGGATTCAACTGTCTCATTGTCAACAAGGTCAGGGCCGGAATTTTTATCTGTTATTGCTTGTGATTGCTAGTGATTACTTATGATTCCTTGTGATTCTTTTGTGGTTCGTTGCGATTCCTTGTGATTGCTTGTGATTACTTGTGATTACTTGTGATTCCGTGTGGTTCGTTGTGATTCTTTATGGTTCGTTGTGATTCTTTGTGGTTCGTTGTGATTCTGTGTTTAATTGTGATTGCTTGTGATTCCTTGTGATTGCTTGGAAAACAGAATCATAATGATTTCGCCAGAAGTCGTAACAAGTCGATCAAAGTTATCCAGTCTCAATTCAAGTAACAGTGTATGTAAGTAAACTGTGACGAGTTCTTTGCAAAAGAGATGAATTGAAAGTAACATATGTTTGAATGTAAACAGCTGAATTCACATCTTGAAGAAGCTTATTTTCTGGTGGGACTTCTTTAATTGTTAACCTTTCCAAAACAACAGGTCGACGTGGCTTTGGTGAAAAAGCACTGGTCCCTCATGCTCGGCCTGTACGGCGTTTCTGGCATCAGCGCTTACCTGGGCATCAAAGAGAAGGGACATGTGGTGCCAGACGGCGACCAGACGTTTGTCGCGAGTGCGGCAGCAGGGTCATGCGGATCATTAGCAGGACAGGTCGGCTTAAAATCTTTCTTAATTGATTGATTAACACCTGTTACTAGTTAGAAATCCCTATTATTTAGGGATAGGGCTAGGGTCATTATTTCTTACTTGGCGGCGATCAGTGCCTAGTTGCAGCAGTGCACTAGCCTATAATTGACTTTTTTTAAGAGAGTGTGATTTTTGGCAAGTTACGGTTACATTAGATGCACATGTGATATTCCTTTGAAGCTTGAAGTACAAAGAATCTGTTGTAGCATTCCTGCAAAATGATTTTGCTGGTTTCCGGAAGTTTTTCAGCAACAGTATTGTAAGGTATGATTAATCTGCATTTGAGTTCACCATTAGGTTAAAGGCATGATCCACCTCTTTGTCTGCACTCATAGATAGCCAGGTTAGAGGGCTGCACCAACGTAGTCGGCATCTGTGGCAGTGAGGAGAAATGCCGCTATCTCACAGAGGAGCTGGGCTTTAACCACGCCATCAACTACAAGACGGAAGACGTCGGGGAGCGACTACGAGAATGCTGCCCCAAAGGAGTGCAGGTGTACTTTGACAATGTCGGAGGCTCCGTCAGTGATGCAGTCATTCAGCAGGTGAGGCGAAGTTGATGAAAAAAAGAATTCTTTTCAATTCCACTTCTGAAAAACACATCATCATCCCCCTGGCATTCAAGCCAGACAGGGTGATATATTGCGATCGCGTATTCCTTCTGTGTGTCCGTGTGTGTGTGTTTCAGTTCACTGTAAGTTCAGTCATCAACCTCAACCAAACTTGAAAGGTGGTCTGTGGAGAGAAGGCCAAAGTCAAAAAAATCTTTTCCAATATGGATATTTACGAGGTCTCTAGAGAGATACTAATGACTTTAGCATATGTAAGTCCAGTGTCTCATCGAAACTCTCCATTCAACCCAAACTCCCCATTCAACTGAGAACTGGTACCTGTTGGGTGGACAATCAAGGCCGTCACTGAAAATTGTCCTTACTAACTGCCTGTACATGTACATGTATACAAACTGGCAGGATGCCAGGGTGTTCGTGCAAGTTCTACGTGCAGTATTTTTGACAATTTATTCAATGCTTAAACAGATGACCCCCGACTCACATGTTATCCTGTGCGGCCAGATCTCAGTCTACAACACCGACCTGCCCTACCCACCGCCCATACCCGAGGAGACACAGCAAGCCCTGACGGAGCACAATATCACCCGAGAGCGATTCCTGGTCCTCAACTACATTGACCAATTCCCTGATGCTATAGAACAACTCTGCGTCTGGTACAACAAAGGAGAAATCAAGGTATAAGCCTTCATGCTTTCAGTAGCTTATAACTGTGGACTTTCATTCGTGAACAGCAGATGACGATTCCATCTTACGCAGGAGCGTCATGTGTGGTACACATTGATTGCAGGCGCCAGTTCGTACACGCATTTGAACCCATAAATTTCAAATTTCAAAGACCACAAATTCAATGCTCCAGACCACGAGGCCACAGCACACCGACTTGGCTCATTTCGTCAGTTAATTCTCCAATTCTCTTTGCTATCTAAGTTCTAACCCTGAATAAAATATCAACCACTTTAACTACCGGTACTCAGTTCAGCTGTGGTTATCCACATTTATTCTGTTAAATTTATCTGTTGATTTTTTATTTGCAGTACAAGGAGACTGTGGCCGAAGGACTAGAGAACGCCCCTTTTGCATTTGTGTCCATGATGACTGGAGGAAACATTGGCAAACAAATAGTTCATGTGGCTGACCTATGACCCCAACCCCAGCACATACCCAAGTAACGATGTTCCTAAGTGAAAAGTTCAATTATCAAAACTCAAGCTGCCTTTTTTGCCAAAAGAAAGTATAGTAGGGTCTTTGAAAACTGGCAGAAGTTGAGGACAAGAAACTGCCGGGTTTTGACCCGGTTGCCTTTTGCTGTGGCCTGCAGTCATTGGTAGAAGCAAAACCTTGTATCTGACATTAAAAAAGGTACTCCTTGTGCAGTGGTCACATGACGCTTACGTTCACACTCTAATTTTGAATTCTTCCTAGGGAAAGAATGTTGCAACCTGACTCCACTTTTTTGTTCATATATCATCTCAATGAAGGTCAGTCATTGCAAAAATGATGATAAGACATGAATTTGGGACTGAGAAACATTTCCAATTTTGTTAGGAAATACTTAACAAATTTTCTTGACTCTCCATAGACTTTGTACACAACTGCTGAAGTGGTGTCAGGATGCAACATTCTTTCCCTTCGTAGTATTAATTGGCGAATCCCCATGTCGTGTCAAGCACTTAAACAATGAAATGTATTGCTACAAATTGTATTGAGGCTGTAAGCACAGTGACTTGGAAGTGAAGACTTTATTTTCAAAACATGACATATCCATTTGAAAAAAGTATTTAACAGCCGTAAAAGTTGCGTTTTGGGCAGCCAGGAGAAAGCAGGATTCTAATAGGGAACAAAACAGCGTATGTTGCGTTTTGGAAATTAACTCCTCAACTTGTTATAAATGAAAATGGTTTCAAAAAGAATTTTATCAGCAGGAACTTTTTTACAATATTTTGGCTGATACTTTCTTTTTAGTTTTGTATAAATATTATTAATACATAATTGTTCTCTAAAGAGTTTTTTTTTTCATTTGGCTTAATGTTCAGGGTACTTCAAGTGGAATTGAAGTGTATAAAGATTAGTAGTTTTGCAAAAGGCTTCACTGTCGGTTTCGTGACAGAAAGAAGATACATATTTTTAAGTTCCTATATGCTATGCAGTGCCTTTTCAGCAACTTTTTTTGTGAAAAAAAAAAAATCTAATACATTTTCAGAGAAATGGCTGTAATTTACATGCTGCACATGACGTAGGACAAAAAGGCAAGGCAAATTTAGACCTTTTTTAAGTACAACTAATTGACAATGTCAATTATCTGATATATTACTCAATGGGTATTCACAGTGTTCAAGTTATTGTGAAAAGTGAAATAAGACACAAAATATTGCACCTTTGTTTTGGGGGGTTTCGTTTTACATCCTTTGTTTTATATTGTACATTTTATGATTATGTATATCATAATTGGTTGGTAATCATGGTATACATGATGTATTGTTATTTTTGCTGCGTGCTAATACGTGCAAAGTGTCTGAGGTGTGCAATGTTGCATGGAATGTTTCTAATGAGAATAAAGTATGCGCACAAGCCAAGTGTATATTTGTGGTTTGCTGTTACTGAGTATGTTTAGTGTCGTTAAACAATTTCAAAAGAAAGCTTTTTGATTACAAAGCCATTGTAAATTCCAAACTTTGAAGGGACTTCAATCATCTTGCCCCGAATTTGTCTATTTCAAAATTTTCATACCAATGTATTGGAGCCTCCTGCCTATTTCACCTTCTTTACTCTCTGAATACTCAAATACCTTAATCTGTTAATTTGTCCGCTATAAAAGTACCATTAACACCCCCCCCCCCAGCCCCACCCACGGTGATTAAAAAAAAGAAGCCCACATTTTTGATAGCCCGCCCTCTGTTGACAAGGTAAACGTTTTGGTTATCAATAATTTTGTCTTTTATTGATCACCGCAGTTTTTGTCGCCGCAAATTTAAGCTGGTTACCTATTGCGCCGTTGTCTTTACAAAGAGAAAGAATGGCACCAGCGAAACTTATTGCCTTCGGAAAATTAGTCAGGTTCCCTGTGCAGTATGGGTACCAGACCCATTATGAGGCAAATTAATGCCTGCGGAATATGCACACACAGTTATCGGATAGCCACCGAGATTTAGTCCTTTTTCTACCATTTCCAGACGTTTGTTTATTTGTGCAGCGCCGTACCGGCATATGGCTTTAGACATCATCTGAACGAAGCGAAATCTGAAGTTTTTTTGGAATGGAGGAATGCGAAAATGACCCGAGAACTCGGACGTTGGACGTGACACTGCAGGGCGGCGCGCCCTGGGGCTTTTCCGTGAAAGGCGGGTCGGAGCACCGGTGTCCGCTCACCATCGCCCGGGTAAGTACACCGTCGGTGCATTGGTTCCCACGTACGTTATGCATGGCTGTGCAATTCGGGGAAGAGGGTGGAAGTTGAACTTGCAATTAAAACGGAAAGAATATAGTATCCTGAAGCCACTTCTTCAGCGGTTGTGTACAAATTCTATGGAGAGTCAAGAAAATTTCCAAGTATTTACTAACAAAATGATAAGAAATGTTTCTCAGTCCCAGATTCATGTCTTATCATTTTTTGACCTTCATTGAAATGATATACACTGTCAGTGACTGTATGAAAAAAAAAGCAGGGTCAGGTTGCAACATTCTTTCCATTTTTGTGGTTATAATTACTGGTAAGGTCCTGTTTTGTTTTTGTTTCTGTTTTGTTCTGTTTTTGTTTTGTATTTTTTTTGCTGTCCTTGTTCGACAATGCCTGTCACAGTATGTCAGAACCTAGCCTGCTCAGGTGTTTTTTTTTATACTTAACTAAAGTTAGGTCTATAAATTTGTATCATTGACATACAGCTCCATGGTATAATTAACTTGTTTTTTACTCATAAATGTGTGTTGTTGTAAGATGTTGATGATGGTCAAACATTTTAATTAAAACCAAACAAACAAGCAAACAATTGAACAAAAGATGTAAACATGGCATTATCACATATGCATGCATTTGAAATGTGTATTTTGTTTTTGCTTTTTTAGTCTTCACCCCACCCCCTTGCAATTAAGGACTATTTCAGATTCTCATATTCTACTCGGAAAATGAAATAATTTTAGTTAAAGCAACTGATGTGATGGCAGCATGTTCAATGTCATGAATGTTGCATTTTTATTTAGGGAGACAGGCTTTTGTTTGGCTTTTTGAATTTAAAACAAAGTTCAAGTTACTCTTGTTTTGTAACAAAAGTTATTTGTATAAGTGCCCTTGGCCACGTAGGCTCGTCACATCAACATTTACCAAAGGGATCAGAATCCATTCTGAAAATGTCAGTAGTTCAAAGCTTAACCTATAGATGATTGTCAGCACAGCATTTCATTAGTCAACAATCCTTTACATCCTGTATTGGCCGTTTCCTTCTCAAAGACATTTCCTGAATGACTTCTCTGATATCATGAATGAGACTGTCTGAATGCCTCAGGCTTAAACACACAAGTCAGTTCATCTGGCACCCTTGTGTTAAGCTGAATCATCCTTCACGTAAAAAAAAAACCAAAAAAATTTAAACACAATTAATGCTGAACGTCTGAAGGTGTTAGATGATATCGATCCTCTTTTAGTGTAATATGACAGTAAAATTTGTAATTTGAAAAATATGTCATGTTTTCAATCTTCAGATTTGGCAATAACTTACCGCCTTTTTCTTTGAATCTTTATTCAAACACATGGTGTCTTTTAGAGTTTGTTTACAATGTACTTCAAAATAAGTGAATTATTTCTCGGTTGGATTTTTGCTTTCTTCAGTGTTTTAAGTCTTTCTTTATTGGGTTCTTTAATTTTTTTTGCAACAATGGTAATTTCAGCCCATGTTCTTATTGTAGCAGTCAAAATATTAGTCGTGGTGGACAAAATGAAAAAACGGTACTTGTTTTCAATTAAAGCCATATCTTCAATAAATATTTAACTGATCAGAAAACAAATTTTGGTGTTGAAAAGCTAATGAAATACACTCTCTAAATATGTAATGATATTTGCGATGTATTTCTTTTAAAAGCTGTGAAAAAGAGGGGGCTTTGAGGGTTTTTTTTTGGGGGGGGGACCACCCTGTATTTGGGTCATTCCATGTCAGACCAACGCACTTTTTTACCTCATGTCTTCTGATTTTGATAAAAATTGCTGTGCTTGTAGGTCCTAATGAGCAATGAATACACACCAATTTTTAGCCCGATCCGACCTACCATGTGGTCAGGGCAGAAGCCACAAAAAAATGGCATTTTTAGAGTAAAATACCACCCTTTTGGTATAAATATGTCAAAACTATGGCAATTTTCATCGAATATATGTGAATTTGGTATTAAAATAATGAGGATTGCATGCTCAAATCACTTCTTTTGTCAAAATTAAATTTTGTGACAAGTAGGTCACGTGACCTTTAATATGCTATCGTGACCTTTGACCCAATTTTTGTAATAATGTATCATTCCGAAAATCAACGAAATGAAAATAACTTGCTAGAGCATGTCTTCCTCTATCAGAATCTACTAAAAATCAGTTGGGGTCTTCAAAATTTACAACTTTATGACTATTTTTGTACAGTTGGTAGGTTACAAATGAGTCAATTTATAGACTTTACATAAGAAATATACCAACACGACTTACTATTCTGTTTCTAAAGTTACTAAAATATATCTTGGTTTGTGAATTTCTCATTCTGAGGGCTGATGAGGTCTAACCAGACTCATAGTGTAAATTATCAGCAGTGGCGCACCCAGGATTTGGCTTTTGGTGGGGGGGGGGGGGAGGGGGGCGGGGCGGGGGGGGGTCATAAATCGTTTTTGTTCAAATTTCTGTAGAAGATTGGACCAACAAAAACTAGCCTAAAATCAAACAAACAAATTGACAATGTTGGGGGTGGGTTCAAGCCCCCCCCCCCCCCCTCCTGGGTGCCACTGATAATTAGTTATCCCACGAGCGTGCTTGGAATATGAAATAATGCAATGCTGCCATGACCCATATGCCACTCGATGCACTACATAATTCCGTGTTCCAACCAGCGCAAGTGGGATTTATAACCAATTTATCTTCAAGCAAACTTGATATCAAATGCGTACATGCGGTGAAGATGTACGTGCATACGGTACATGTAGTGTATTGGTCCGTCCAGGAGGAAATAACACAACATATGTACACGTACATTTTTAATATCTGGGGTGCAATATAGCTGTGCAATATTATATAAAATCACACAGTTGTTGCTAGAGATGGACTAATCAGGGTCTAGGATTCAAGTTTGCTTGAAGATAATACTTAATATTACAATCAAAGTTACCTTTACTCATTCATTACTGTGCTTCTTGAACTTTAATGACTCTCACAGACTTGGCATTTTGTTCCTTTGAGATGAATTTCACCTGGACGTGAGTCCGCTGTACTGGGTGTGGGTAGAAAGCATGGAGCTGTTGTGTGCCCTGAACAGTCACTGTTGATGAGAATCGACTCTCAAGGAATTCCCCGCACTGTTGCACTTCACTCTTGTCCACAAAATCAAACTGTATTCCTGGAATATTCACCTTGGCCCACGAATACAGCTGCTGAGCATTCAAGATTTGGTCTTCATACGGTCTCTGAAGACTGGCTTTTGCGGCCAAACGCTTTACAGTTCCACCCAATCCATCACACGGTCCTTTCCCATGTGATGTGGCAAAGAAATGCCACTCAGCATCAGATGAAAAGTCATCCTTGTGACAGGTCAAGTTTGCAAAGTTCTTTCTGTTCTTATATTGTGCAGAAGATCCATCTGTGAAGTAGAATACTTTGCGCACCTGCATTGTCTGCGCAAGGTATTTGTGTAGCCTTCGTTGGAAACAGTAAACTGCGATGGTGTCATGGGTGAGGCTGTTAGAGATAACAACAAAGTTGAGATGGAGAAGCTGGTTGTCTTTTTTGAAGTAGATCACAAACGGATGCAGTGTTGCTTGGTCATTTGTCCAGTGAAATCCCTGAGATGAATCTTGAACAACAAATGCATAATTTTCTGAGAAATCCCCAAGAACAATTATTTCACCATGCTGCAACTCTGACTTCAGGTGATTCAGATACTTTGCTTGCTGATCAGCAATGAATTCATGCCGTTTCAGCTGAAGAAGCTTCTCCGAAAACCGATCGCAGAATGAATCAACCTCTGCTGTCATGGTTTCTAATGTTGATCTGTCTGTTGTTACCCACTGCTTGTAACATATTTCATCGATAGCCTCATCTTCTATCTCCTCCATGATATGCTGCTTCAGGTCAGCAACCTTGGGACACATAGAACAATTTCCCAGGAAACAGTCCGTTGTGCCAGGATTACAGGTGATTTCAGCAAGCAGGTTTTTGTAGGATCCACGAAAACGAGGAATGTCAACGGCATGGATCATCAGCTTTACATTTTGATGATGGGTACAGACACACACGGAATGTGTACCAGTACTTCCAGCTACAACGCAATACTTGGGCCTTAATTCGGCAAATTTCGAAAAACCCACCTTCAGTTCTGGATACTTGTCCTTGAATGCCCTGTATGCTTCATCTAAGTTGCACAAAAGCAGACGCTTCTGGCAGATAATCCGTTGGTTACCTTCTCGGATGGACACACAGTCCTTCTTCCCCGGCATCAGTCTACTGATATCATCACTGTCATAAAAACTTTTCACGTGGTTGACGACATCTTCGCTGAGAGTTTTCCCAGAGCGAGGATTGGGTGAGGACAAAATTCCTTTTTCAGCAACCTGAAGGAGACATGATTGAACAAAAAATGATAGAAGTCTAACTATCCGACTATTGGGGGAGCATTTTTTGTGTGATGAGGGCTTTTTGTAACATGGTTCCGTATAAAAAAAAAAAATCATGACTATGCATGCATTATTGTCAATTAACTATTGTTATGAAGTGATTGTTTGGCCAAAACCGCCATGGAGATTAAATTAAAAATAAACTGATACAATGTTGCTTACAACAAAATTATCAGCAAAATACATTACAAATGTAAACGCAGTACTGTTACTTTATGCCAAAAAAAATTTTTGTTTCCGATTACATGGCTTTCGAAAATAGGGTAGGGAGGGAAATTTTTTATTTTGCCAATTTCTTTTGTGTACCATCATATAGAGGCGTCTGCATGTAGTCAACGGTAAAAGGTAGAAATTGATGATTTTTGGTGTTTTTTCCTCATTTTTCCCATAAAAAAAATAGGGTAGGGGCTGCCATAATAGGGTAGGCAGGGAAACCAGAAGCAGAACTATTTTTTTGCTTTATCTGGATAAAGAAAGGCAAAAACAAAGAGAAAAAGAAAATCAATCTCACCAGTCGTTTTGCCTTCCTGG